ATATTCTCAGTAATGAAGATAATTAAGATCCACTTCCAAATTCCCACATTCCCACATTAGCACATTATAGTTGGTTGACTAGAATTTGTACTTCTCTTCTGTGGTTCTTCTTGATCTTGTTGTGGGGGATCTCCGAGTGGTTTTCTTATGTTGGCCTGAGAGTTACTCATTCCTGACTGATTGAAAATGTAACTTATTCCAATTGCTCTGATATTACTTTCAATTTGGATTTTTTGCTTTAGATATCAAGGAAAGTAATCGAAGTGGGCATTTGACAAGCTATAGGATGCTTGAATAGGCTAGCTATATAGGATGCCCTGCTCAGAAGCCAGGCACATTCAGGGTTTTTCTTGAAACACATCGGTAGTAGTGGCATTTTAATTATCCTTTTAAGATCAAATGATTGGAAGCCATTTTAATTTTATTCTTCCAGCAGTAGTGCCATATCAAGTATCGAGAGAGAGAGAGAGAGAGCACATAGCATCTGATGCATTTTTTTCATCTCACAATTTAAAAGGTTCTTTGTTGATGTGACCTAAACAGTCTCAAAAACTAAAACCTCGTTGGAATATATATTGTCTCCGAAATGAAGCCCTGCCTTTCATCAGGGGCAGCAGCAGCAGCCAGCACACAATATTAATGCTTCCAAGCATCCAAATTTACTGGGCTTTCTTTTCAAATGATGCCAAATTGGGTAACAATCATTATTCATGAAGATATATATATATATATATATATAGATTCAGACTCCGGTCGAATCGAATATTCAACTACTTGTTTTGGCTATTGATCTTGACTTTTAATCCAAATTTCATTGGAAACTCAAAGATTATGATGTGTTTTTCAAGTATTAATGCTAAATACATAGGCTAATTAAGAAAGTGAGAGGGCTTTTAAAATTTTGAAAGTTAGTCAAGACAATACGGAAATTCAAATCTAGTCTATAAATGGACAATCTATACACCATGTTAATTAAGAGAGAAATTTATACATGTGATTGTATTATCGTTATACACGTCATGTTACCAATTTACATATATTATAGTACGTAGTATTATTAAATATAAACATTTATATAATATGACATGACACCGAAAATTTCTTCTTTAATTACATGCCACACTTTGAGTAAGTCCTTAACAGAAATCCGCAGGGTTGATTTTGATACCACCAAGATCAACTGACATTTTATCCTTCGTATTCCATTAGCAAGATTTTATATCCCTTTGACTTTGACCTCATTATAAACTATTGCTTAACAAACAGGCTAATTAAACAGTTCCATCAAAAAAAAAAAAAAAAAAAAAAAAAAATTAAAATTTTTTCATTTTTTTTTCCAAAAACAAGAAAACAAAAACTAACAAACAAAACAAAACCAACAGAGTAAACGCTGGATTTGATATATATATTTTTTTAGACAAAACAGGTAACAATCATATTCACAAATCGTGATTAAATTACAGATTCCATATAATTATTTTTGTGTGTGTGTGTGTGTGAGAGAGAGAGAGAGAGAGAGAGAGAGAGAGAGAGAGAGAGAGTAGATGCTTTTATTCTTAATCATATTTCTTAGTCTCTTGTGTGGTCTATTATCTCTTTGTGGTGGCCAAAATAAAGCAATGTCGTTCTCATTACAAATAATGCTATGTACTGATAATGCAGGGCTTAAACTGAAAACCCAATCATAACCCTTAATTGGCTTAGACTAATTCCACGTCTTCTTTCCTCATCTTTTTCTTTTATCCAATTACTCATGAAGATAATTATGCAGAGGCCCGCAGGGTTGTTAATCATGGCACATTGTGATCTTAGAGAGATTAAAGAGAGTTATATATAGAGATTGCTTCTACGCCTTTTGCAAAAACTAAAGACACATATGCAGAAATGTACACCACTCTCATTTGTACATATGCTTTTTGTGCCTTTGTTCCTTGCACTACACTACTCTCATTTGCAGTACAATAATTCACCTAAATTAATCCGTACGTCGATAATGCGTGTAACGAATGATCAAAATTAAAATATAATTTGATATTAGAGTTTAATATCAAAATATTATACCATGTTCAAATGCGACAATTTATTTTTTTTAAATGTTTTTTTAGGTGAAATATTGGGATTCCAACATAATGTAAATGAGGTAATACATTTGAGAAAAGAAAAGACATCACCAAAATTTGGAAAAACATCAACCACTTTTTTCTTTTGCATGTTAACATGTTTGTAATGTTTAGTTTGGCAGAGGTATTTCCGCTAATATAGGCAGGAAAACGATACTTTCCCTTTCATTTTTTTTAATTCCCAGAATTGTTCCTTCTTCTTTTTTCGATCAAGGGTATTTCCGCTACTATAGGCAGGAAACAATCCTATAAAAAGCAAAAGTTTTGCCATTGATAGTAAACAGAAATATTCTTTTTAAATGACAAAGATACACCGTTGAATCAATATAGAAACGAAACGATTACGTTTTCAAGTTAATCAGATACGTAGCTATCTATATTTCTTGGATTATATACTAGCTTTTCCATCCAAGAAAGGAAAAAGACGACCTAATTCTGTTATAGCTTCATGGCATATATCTTGACAATACTATCATAGTTGATAGAGTATGATTTTTCATTTAATTGCAATGTAATTCAAAATAAGTATTATCTTATATTGCTTGAGAATGAGTTTGAAATTTGAAATTGCATTCTCGTGTTTGGTGAGTGCACTTCGCACATACCCTTGGATGAACTTGGGAAATTTTTCCCCCACTTGGGAAAACATTTAATGCAAATTTTTATTACTAACTTACCCATATTCTAGTTTTAAAATACCATATTTTACCCTTAGAAAAACTCTTCATATTTCTTTCTTTGTAATAAAAAAAAAAGGTTAAGGGTATTGTTGGAAGACTGAACAATTTTTCATTCTTAATAATACTGCACAAACTAAACATGGGAATGAGATAAAATGACATTTCCTTATCGTCATTTCCCAACGTTTCCAAACATGGGAATGAACATCCTCCAATCCCATCTCATGGGATTAGACATGGGAAGTTCATTCCCAAAGAAGTTCAATCCGTGAACCAAATGAGCCCTAATACATTAACAAAAAAGCAAGCTTCGAGAGTACCAATCATCTTCAATTTACGACCTATATATTGCAACTGAGTTAATTTCATCGTAAATAACAATATATACATGATAATATTGAAATAGAAAGCTATAAACGAGGAGCGGAGCTACGTAAAGGTCTAAAATGGTTGTAGCATCCCTGCCTAAAAAAAAATCTTTTGAAGTTTTCTGCATGCATGTTATGTAAAAAAAATTATGCCATACCAATAAAGTATTTCTGAAATTAATGCTAAGCAAAGGTACGTAATGATGAAGCGCCGTAGTTTTCTGAGTTTTAAAGTTTATTGTTATCCAGTTGTATTGAAAAGTTTTCACATAATATTTCATAACCACACCGATAAAGTATTCTGAAATTTACATCAATAAAGTATTTTGAAATTATGTGATCTCACCGATGAAACATTTAAAATTTAAAATTTGATTTTAACATTGACGACACAAAAAGATTTCATATACTAGTGCTTTCCATGACGGCACGGACGGAGTATTCTGGATATTAAAATGCTGTGGTCATCATCTCTATCGGTATTGTGAGTGTCGTGAGTGATTGAAATTCAAATATTGTTTTTGTTGCATGAATTTTGAAGGAAAAAAAAAAAAGTAACTGAAATGAAAATGTGGAAGAATCCAACTCATTGAAAACAAAATCCAACCAAAACAATTAATTTGATGATATCCGCAAACCAAAACAAAACAAGCAAATGCAATGAAAGCGAGGATGCCATGAAGGAAATCCAGAAACAAGCTTAAAAACCATCAAAATTCAAAACCACCACCGTCCAGAAAACCTTACCATATGCGCTTGCAACGCAACCGAGACTTGTCGTTTTGTTTACTAATGGGATCAGGCCTCCTAAGTTTCTAACACGTGCAGAAACGGCCGTTAGCAGTTTCGGTACGTCTTGGCCGCAATCCCAAACGGCGACTTGTACCCCGTCGTGGGTCCCGGAACACCCTCTTTCTTTTCTGTAAAATAAAATAAAATTTATTAAAAGAAATATTTTCCTAACTCTTTTTATATACACGCATTATTTAATACATTACTCTCTCCACACAGCGAATATAACCAGAAGCAAAAGAGAGAGAGAGAATCTAGAGCAAGAGAGAGAAGGAGAGGAAGAAGAAGAAGAGGAGCTGGGGTCATACTCACCGTCTTCTTCTTATCAAATTCGTAAGCTTTTACTTTGTGTTCATGTTTCTGCCAAGTTTTCTGGTTCATTTTTGCCATGGTTTAGCTTTTTCGTTTTGTTTGGGGAGCTACCATTTCTTCAATTCCTGGTAAGGAAGAGAGAAGAAGAGCTCATGGGTTATTTGCTATTGACGGGGAATTGGGAATGGATCTCTTTCGTTGTTTTTCTTTGTTAGAGAACAGTTGTTCGTATTTGGATTTAGCTGCTGCATTAACATTTTGATTACAGTCTGGGATGTGGATAATCAGTTTTCAATTGATTATCTTTTCCTTTTTCTTTTTCTGGAGTTTTCCATGTTGGTCTGAATCCCGAGATCTGATTTGGGCAATTTTCATCTTTGGCAATGGATTGGATATATACATGCAAGTTTATGTTTCTCACTCAAATTTTAGCCGTTTTACTTGTTATCAATGAGTAATGAATATTTGATACATAAAGATATGATATTGATCTAAAATGCATTGCTGCATGTGCTTTTCGATATAGGAGATTTTTCTGGGATTTGCATTAACCACCCCTCCATTCTCTGTTATGTTGTATGATATTTGCTATGTGAAATCAGTATTAGTGATATCTTGATTTAATTCAAGGATTGTCTGTTTGGCTGATACCTAGCTCATAATTGCTTTTGCATATGGAGTAATTAAGGCGTATAATTTCATTTTGTTTACTCATTGATTTTGTTTTCATGGGTAACAAAGGAAGGGTTTCTTTCCAGCTGGTCAAATTGGAGAATTCCAACAACATGTTGGAGGGTCCTTCCTATCTTGTGTCAAGGGAGTTGCCGAGCTCATGCGAGCAGGAGAGCAAATGGATTTACAATACTCACCGTGTTATGGAGCTCTCAAACAATAAGCGCCCCCTTGCAGACGGGGAAGAACTCACATTGAGGAAGGCATGCAAGCTATCAGATGCTGTTCTAGGAGGTGAAGCAGTTATGGATCTTAATGGCCTTTCTCTTTCCCCTGCCAAGGACCAGTCAAATGACCAGCATCATGAAGGTGGAAATTCTGATTCAAGTTCACTAATCAACCAACTTGGTCGGGATAACTCAATAAGCTGTCTCCTTCGCTGCTCGAGGTCTGATTATGGCTCAATTGCCTCATTGAATAAAAACTTCCGCTCTCTAATTCGGAGTGGGGAGCTGTACACACTGAGGCGGAAAATGGATATTGTTGAACATTGGGTTTACTTCTCTTGCAACCTCCTTGAATGGGAGGCATTTGATCCCGATCGCAGACGTTGGATGCATTTGCCTAGAATGACGTCAAATGATTGTTTCATGTGTTCGGACAAGGAGTCGTTGGCCGTTGGTACCGAACTTCTTGTTTTTGGAAAGGAAATAACGTCCCATGTTATTTATAGATACAGCATTTTGACCAACACGTGGTCATCCGGCACTAAGATGAATACACCTAGATGCTTGTTCGGTTCTGCTAGCCGTGGGGAAATTGCAATTCTAGCTGGGGGTTGCGATCCACGTGGCAATATCTTGAACTCTGCTGAGCTGTATAATTCAGAAACAGGAACTTGGCTGACTCTTCGAAACATGAATAAACCTAGAAAAATGTGTTCTGGGGTATTTATGGATGGGAAGTTTTATGTCATTGGTGGGATAGGAGTGGGCGATCCAAAGCAACTAACAAGCGGAGAGGTGTACGATTTGGAGAAGGGGACCTGGACTGAGATACCAAACATGTTCCCTGGACGAAATGGAGGAGCTGGGGCAGCTGAGGCGCCTGCTGCAGCTGAGGCACCTCCTCTGCTTGCAGTGGTAAATAACATATTGTATGCTGCAGATTATGCAGAAAAGGAGGTGAGGAAATACGATAAGGAGAAGAATGTGTGGGTGGCTGTTGGGAGATTGCCTGAGCGGGCTGTCTCGATGAATGGTTGGGGATTAGCATTCCGGGCATGTGGAGATCGGTTAATTGTGATTGGTGGACCTAGGGTATTAGGAGGAGGGACAATTGAACTTAATTCTTGGGTCCCTGATGGAAGCTCACCACAATGGGACCTGCTTGCCAGAAAACCGTCTGGCAGCTTTGTGTATAATTGTGCGGTGATGGGATGCTAAGATCTGGTTTCAGTGACACCGTGTGTGCTGTGTGGAATCCTGGGTGGAATTTGCAATCTTCGCTTTTCAAGGAGATGGGGTTCCGGCTCGTGGGTAATCTCTGCCCTCCTTTTTTGGGGAAATTCAGGTTTTTATTTAGAGTCATAGATACATTCACAGAAGGAGGCCTGAAGAGTTGTTTTTCCTTTTTTCTCTTCTTTTGAACTTTATTGCGTTGCGTCTTTTTTCCCCCTTTGGTAACTTTTGAGCTTCTGAAAGGTTGGCATCATGTAGAATGGGCAAAGGTGAATAAACTGAAGTACTGGTACATGTTTTAGGTTGTGATGACTATTTTCATAAGTTTTATTGAAGCATTGCAGAATTGTGTAATGGTTCAAGTTTTTCGTTTCCTTTATTTCTCAAGCAATTATATCTCAAGTTCTCAAAAAAGAAAAGAAAATTGACTTCTGTTTCTGTTCTACATTTATTATCCCATCGTGATTCTATTTGTTCTTTTACACACTGGTGTTGCACAATCTGAATGGACCCTAAACTATAATTTAGGTGGTTGGTATTTCTTTTGATCTGGTTGAAGAACTTTAACTTGAATTTCCCCTCTCTTTTCTTTTTTTCTTGTGAACTTGATTTCTTTGTTTCTTTCTCCTCTAGAACTGCAATTGTGAAGTATAAATGTTTATACCACTTTGGCTGCTCAGTTTTATTGCTAAAGTTGAATGATTTGTGGAAAATTTCACTCTCTTTAAGGTCTGTTAGCTGGCAAAAGGTACAATATATAGGATCAACACTGATCAATAGTTAGAGAAAAGATATTTAATGACAATGTATTCTATCATTTTGGAACTACCGTATATATTTATCCATAAACTAACTTTTATGTATATTTTTTTTGAGAAAGATATTTAGGCTTTGCCTTTCCATGCTGATCAAATTATACACAATGTAGAGACATAAACAGAACAATATGGTCAGATGAAAATACATATGATAAAGCGTACAAAAACAAAAAGGAAATGTAGTTATATTATCTAGTAATCCATCTTTAAGCTCTGGTTTATCGAGTTGGAATGGTCATGAGCTAAAGCACAGGCTGGACCCCATTGACCATGCCTTTGGTCATTCAGTGTGATCTAATGAAACCCTGGCATTATTTTCAAGGCTTCATGGCAATCCTGGGGTTGAAATAATGGGTTTTAAGCCTCATATATTACTGGTTTTCAGAGAACATGGTCTTGAAATTAATGGCCTATCAGAGAGCAACTACATGGCGAAATTCACTGTCAATATGTTCTGCCTCAGATCAAGTTAGATAGTTTTTCAACCACAGGTGGGACATTTACATCAGGTTTTCCTCTTTATTATCCTGATCGTTTCCTACATAGAGCACGTTCCCTCATTTGAGGTTCTGTGATACAGCCACCAGGAACTATATATGTTTGGTTATTTTATGCATGCAAATTTTATGACCTTCATTTTTTGAGTATAAGCTGAGTTTTGAAAGATTCATGATACTCTTGGATACGAATAATTTCTTGTGGTTTTGTTATTTTGTTCTTCATATTTTCCTTCTGTTTTCTTGATGATTCTGCTGTGCATTCCATCTTATTGTTATTTCATGAGCATAATAAACATACCCATTTTCTTGTCATACCCGTTATTTTTCCCTGCATAACCCTTCGCATTACCGTTTGGTTAGGCTACAACTGTATTATAATCATTGTGAAAGTCATTTATCTTTTGCTATGAGGATAGTCATAGTTATCTAGTTAGTGAAAAAAGAGAGGCCAGGCATCTATGCATCCCATCTATTGTGATTAAATAGGCTCTTAATTTTCTTGATGCAGCCGCTTGCCACTGCATCAGTATATTTGTGAGGGTTTTTTCTTTTCTTGTTCTTTACCAAAAATGATGATACATTGCTTTCGTGAATTATCTTCTAGACAAATCTGATGTAGTATATGGTGTTTCGTTTTATTTGGTAAAGTTTTAATTTTCTTTCTTAATGAACTTGATGAGACAAGGAAATGAGGAGGGTGCTAGGGTTTCTCTTATGTGTTTGCAATTTAATAGCAGATTCTGGAGTGAGGACATGGCTTGATTCTATGAATGTACACGAAAGGAGGGGTATTTTGAAATCATAAATTTGGAAACACAAAATAAGTAAGAGTAATTCAAATACATTGCTGATGTAGCAACCGCTTGTGTATTGATAGAGATGATGAGGCTTACATGAATGTGTCCAGAAAAGCTGTGGTAAGTTACTTTTGTTGTTATTGATCCATACGTCATAGGCAATGGCATTGACAGATACATGCATGTTTCTTAGACATGTGTTCTTCAGCTATGACAGTTGTTGCTCCTGAAAAGCTGTATGTATGAAACCTGGTTTTTGTGACTAGGGGGAATGGCTTTCGTGACTGGTTTTTGTTGGTATTTACAGGGGTTTCTTTTTTCCTGTGATTGGCGACGAAGAAAGTGAGATTCAGCACTCTATTTGTCCCTGTCTGTTTGTTTAGGAAGTAAAGGTGAAATACCATATCTGTAATCTCAGCTGTTCCTCTGGTTATAATTGAATTGATCCTTTTAATCCCAGATCAGTGGTTTGAGATTTTATTTTATTTTTGCCTTATTTATAGAATTTCCAGCCAATTTTTATCAGAACATGGAATTGGATATTTGTTAACTTAGACAGTTCTAATTCTTAAATTCTGTTCTAGTCTCCCCAGATTTTCTATTGCTCTTCTTGAGAGAGAGAGAGAGAGAGAGAGAGAGAGAGAGAGACAGACAGACAGACAGCCAGTGAAAGTTTTTCAACAGAAGTAAGTATATAGAAAAACAGAAGGCACAAAGAAAAAAAAAATTACAATATGTGAAGTCTGCAATCATTCAGCAGACCTGTATTCTTTTTTGGGTTATTTTTAAGTCTCAAAAAATCTAGTACTTAGATATCATTCAGAAGACATTGATTAGGCCTGTAAATATTCTCACTTTTTCTCTATTTTCCTTGTATTTTTTAATTGGGTTGTTTTGGTTTACCTTTTTATCAGACAGTTACAGGGTTTATAGGTCACATGGTCATATTCTTTTACTGTACTGCGTTACCGCCGAAAAAGCAAAGAAATTCCATGTAGGTTGCCTGGATCTCTGCAAGACGGTACTTTTAGCTGCAGAAGAAAAAAAAATGAAAAAAGAAATCTTTGTTGGAGGCAATCCACCAGAAAATAAAGATAATAAAAGTACCAAAAACTGTACCTTAATGTGGAAAACGGATTCTGACTGTGCTGCTGGGTTTGTGCCAGGGACCCCACGAGGACCTCTGTTTTCAGTGCTCACGTGGGCAGCGCGTTTGCCTCATTAAACTCACTGCCTCTGCTCTGTTTTCCACCTATCAAAATGCAGAGGAAAGAAGAAGAAGAAGACGATGATGAAAGAAGACGACAAACTTCAATTCATTTTTGTACTTACTGGCATCTGCTTTTACAGCTTTCTTTTTCTTTTACCTTTTCTTTTATCCTTGTGCGGCTGTGCATGAGTAGTTTGGTAAATTTACCATTGGTAATAAAATGGCAGTTTCTTTCTTTCTTTCTTTCTTTCTGCTGATATCATCAAATTCCATGAGCTATTTTTAGAAAACATGGACATTGTTGGGTTGTTTTCAAAAAAACCCCAGAAAAGGAAAGCAAAACTGGACCCTGAACTTTTTACTTTTTATGAAAATTGAATGAAAATGGAAAAACAAAGAGAACCATTTTGAGGTGCAGGTGGAAAAAACTGTGTGTTACAGCTAGAGACTGTACTGTTATGATCTTGCGTTAAGAAAAGTAGCGGTTTGAGTGCAGCAGAGTTTTACTGCTGGGATCCTTTCCTTTGCTGCTCACCAAAAAGAACTAAAAAGGAAAAATATCAAAAGGGAATTTAGAAAGAAAAAGGCTCAATCAACTAAAACAATCCCATCTACAAGATGTCAATTTCTTAGGTTTCAATCATTGTCACATTTTGGCAACCCACAAGACAGTAAAAACAAAATCCCATCCAAACCCAGTTCTTAAATCAAACGTTTCACAAGTGCAAGTTGTTCCTCTCTCTCCCACACGCAACACTCGATCAAAACCCAATCAACACTTGGTCACAAATGCAATTTCCTATTCTTTTGTGGGTTGCATTACTATTAGGCTAGAAAGTGTGTTTTAGCCTTTCATGTTTTCATTGACATGTTTCGAGTGGTCCAAAGTGTAAAAGCCTAACATTGTGGCCAAAATGTAGGTGCGTTTGCCATTGTGGGTTGGTTTCATCTGCACTATGTATAAAGGGAGGCAATCAAAAGTAGGGATAAGTGTTTAAAATTGATATGACGCAACGCAATGCATGAATGAGAGAGGCGATCAACTAAATCAAACTACTGCTACCCATCGTGTTTTTCTCTCCTCCTTCCTCGCGGCACGCTTTTGGACCACCTCAAGGCCCAAACATTTTTAATGCAATCAATTAGTAATTTTCAGTGCTATCACTTTAGAAACACAAAATGACAAAAGATACCAACTTAGAATGAAAGATCCTAGGTTAAAAAAATGGAATTGGTGTTGGTTACCGAAGGGTTTACACGTGAAGGGGTGCTATGGGTAGACTCGAGTGGGCTGTATAGACCTAGTTAATCATACTTATATGATTCATCTCTGTCGGACTCCTCATACGGACCTTCATATTAGCCATATGATCATTTCATTAAACTTAAGTGAAGTTACTATTCAGATAAATCATGTGGCTAATATGAAGGTCTATATTTATGGTCCATATATGACACCCTCACCATAAAACGACTTCGTCCATGCGTCCAAATGCATACGAGGAGTGCAGATAATAACAACTCTTGAGAAGTTCTCTAAAAAGTATCTTTTGGACTGGATTGAGGTATTAGGTCCATTTCAATAGTCCAATGTTCGTGAGAACAAAAATTATGTACTTGTAATGGGCCCATTTGAAGCCCATTCACAATGTTCTTTTAAAGCCTAAGCCCAGACCAAGCCCAAGAATACTTTTTTTATAAGCCCAAGAATAGTTAAGTCTACGGGTGGACCCGCGCAATCAATAACGGTATTTGGTGGGAGTCAAATTTCAGTCTCTGCCTCTCAACGAAAGCAAAGCACAGCACAGCTTTTACTCGCAAAAATTCCCGTTAAAAACCCTAAAATACCCTCTCGCTCCATTCAAATTTCCCACTCGCACCACCGAACCGAAATGGCTTGAAACCATGGAATCCGCGCTACCTCCAGCCTCCGACCTCTCGCCCTCGATCGTCTCCTTCCTCAACGACAAGTTCCGGACCAATGCAAATTTGAACGGGGCTCCGACTCTCCTGTCGGAGCTCCAAACCCAGTGCGGCGACTTGGATCGAACCCTAATCGACCTCAACCGGAGCCTCGGGTCCTCACTTCTAGCTTACGCTTCGTTCTCCGATGGGGTCCACGGCGTCTTAGGCGAAATCAATGCCCAACTGACGGGTCTCGGATCCTCCACTCGCTCTCGCAGTTCAGGTTTTGTGTGTGCTGCTATTGAGAAGTGTGCAATTCTCATTTAGATTTTCGATTTTGGGTTAAATTTCGTTTCTTTCTGTTCAATTCTGGTACTTTTTGTTTGTAGATGGAGAAGGAAAGGAGAGAGCCGAGCAGATTTTGGGGGAGGAGCTGCCGGCATTGGCGAAGGAAGTGGCGAGGGTTGAGTCGGTTCGAACATACGCAGGTGCTTTCTTGGGCAATAATAAAAGTGAATGAATAAATTCAAGGAACTAGTTTTAGCTGAAAGCTATAATTTTTTAGATTGTCTTTGTTTTTCGATTAGCTCATTTTGTTTGGAAAGACACCACAAAAGAATAATTGAAGGATTGTTCCTCATTCCCTGGATAATAATAACATCGTTTATGAAATACTACATTGATGCTTCAATTATTTGTGCAAGTAGAGAATGAGATGAATAAGAAATTCAATCTACTTAGCCCAACCAATTTGTCTTCTATCTTGAAAATTGCTGATCTTGAATTCTTGATAAGTTGTCCATTTTGCTCTGTATTCTTGTGTTAATGCAGTTGTATGTATTGTGAATGCTTCCACTGTTCTAAAAGCGGTTTAGGCAGTAAGAGATGGCTAATGTTGAACCATGAAGATGAAAATGTTTTTTTGCGATGCTACCAGATGGGAGAATCCCAGTTCTTCATGGTTCCCAATCAAATATTTTGAGTTGAAATATGGACAGCACGCGATTAAGCTCCAACCAGTACAATCTTATCTTCTTAATTAGTTGAAATATTAAGGCTTTATTAATAATGCTTAAATTAACTATTTTGAATTTTTCAAATCATCCAGGCAGATTTGCTTTTCACATTTTTGAGAGATTTTTCGTTGATGTGAAGTTGTCCTTTTACTTCTGAGTTACTGCAATTTTCATACTGTGTATTTGGGTGCACTCGCTTGGCCTCTTTCTTCCCTGTTTTATAGGCATGTGCTACATTTTTCTTTGTTACAGTTATTAGCTGCTGCAAAGCATACTACTTTCTGTTATTTTGAAATCAAACTGTCTCACATATCTGGGTCTTTTATTTTCATCTTTCAGAGACAGCATTGAAGCTTCAAACTATGATTGGTGATATTGAAGATGCAGTATCGTCTACCATGAAGAAAAACTCATGGAAGCATTCGTCGAAACAGAATTCAGAAGTGAGCACCTGTCCTGTCGTTTGTGAAAACAAAATAATGTAGGGATTACAACTTCTGAAATCAATATTTCTTATGCCTAATTCGCCTTTTTCTTTTCCCCTGCAGGAAATGCGTCTGGTTGCTATTAAAACACTTAAACTGATAGAAGATATTTTAACTTCAGTTACAAAGACACACCCTCAATGGGAACATCTTGTGTCAGTAGTTGATCACAGAGTAGATCGAGCTCTGGCCATTTTAAGACCCCATGCTATAGCAGATCACCGGGCCCTCCTTACTTCCCTTGGATGGCCACCGCCTCTTGCCATTTTGACTTCCTCAACTCCAGATACAGGGAGATCAACTGAAGTTCTGAATCCTCTTTTCACAATGCAAGGAGACCTCAAAGACCAGTACTGTGAAAACTTTTTTGCCTTGTGCAGCTTACAGGAGTTGCAGAGACGAAGAAAATCGCGTCAACTAGAGGGCTATAATCGGGAACTTGCTCTGCATCAGCCACTTTGGGTGATTGAAGAGCTTGTGAATCCTATATCATTGGCATCCCAACGCCATTTCACAAAATGGGTTGATAAGCCAGAATTTATATTTGCTCTTGTCTACAAGATCACCAGGGATTATGTTGACTCTATGGATGAGTTATTGCAACCACTGGTTGATGAAGCAATGTTAACAGGGTACAGTTGCAGAGAAGAATGGATTTCAGCAATGGTATCTTCCTTATCAACATACTTGGCAAAAGAGATATTCCCAAAATATGCTGGACAACTGGATGAAGATAGCGTAACGGGTAGTCAGTCACAGGCTAGAATATCCTGGCTTCATCTTGTTGACTTGATGATATCGTTTGATAAACAAATCAAGTCTCTGATAGAACATTCTGGAATCTTGCTTTCACTTCAGGATGATGGGAACTTCTCAAAGGTTTCTTCTCTATCTGTTTTCTGTGATCGACCAGATTGGCTTGATTTATGGGCAGAGATAGAATTAAGTGATATACTAGAAAAGTTGAAACCTGACACTAGTGATGAGAGAAATTGGACCATGAAAGTCCAAGGAGCAGTTCTTTTATCTGCTACTGAAGATTACAAAGCTCCTGCAGTTTGCAGTGCCTATCTTCGTTGTCTATCATCTGTGGTTGATCGTTGTCGATCATTGCCTAGCATCTCTATGAGGTCCAGGTTTCTCAGATTAGCTGCGGTACCTATTATACAAAAATTCTTGGACTGCTTACTCGTCAGGTGCCAAGAAGCTGAAGGTTTGACTGCCTTGACGGATGATGATGCCCTAGTTAAAGTTGCAAACTCCATTAATGCTGCTCGCTACGTCGAATCTGTTTTAAAGGAATGGTGTGAGGACGTCTTTTTCCTTGAGATATGGTCAGGTCAAAGTGATCAGCTGGGAATATCAGTTGGTGATCAAAATGGTAATGTAGAACCAGTGGAAGGTCTTGAAAGTGGTATTTTCTATGAGGAGATTGTAAAGTTGGAGGAGTTTAGAATAGAATGGGCTGAAAAATTGTCTGTTGTTATATTGAGGGGATTTGATGCTCAATGTCGAGATTATATGAAGAACAGGAGGCAGTGGCAGGAAAAGAGTGAGGACGGTTGGACAGTGTCCAAATTTTTAGTTGGTGCTCTAGATTATTTGCAAGGTAAAATGTCAGTTGTAGAAAATGGTTTGAACGGGATAGACTTTGTTGGGGTGTGGAGAAGTTTGGCAGTTGGGATAGATCGCTCATTTTTCAATGGTATTCTAATGAGCAACGTGAAGTTTTATGATGGCGGAGTTGAGAGGTTTGGCAGTGATTTGGAGGTTTTATTTGGGGCATTTGGAGCTTGGTGTTTGAGACCTGAGGGCTTTTTCCCCAGAGTAAGTGAGGGCTTAAAGTTGTTGAAGATGGAAGAAGAGAAACTTCAAAATAGTTTGGCAGGAGGTGAGAAATGGATGAAGGAGAATGGGATTAGACATTTGAATGTACCAGATGTAGAGAAGATTGTGAAGAGTAGAGTCTTTACCAGTTGAGGGCTCCCAAGTGTTGTGTTGTACATGATTTAGGATCCCTTGGATTGACCCATTTAATTTAATTTTTTTTTAATTTATAAAAAACACACAATAAAGGGAAAAAGTTTGTCTTTTTTACCCTGGGAAGATAGTTCAGTTCATTGTAGTTGCAGCTTGAGAAAATTATTCCCTTTGATTATTGTTAATTCAAATGGATCCTCTTAACATCTGTGTAATGTTGGAATGATGATAGTTGTTTATGGCATGCTTGAATCTGGTGGGTTGAGGCCATCAAACAAAATTTACTTTTTATATGAGTTTGAGAACTCAGTGTGAATGATGAGAGATGGCGAGGGGTTTATTTTATTTTATTTTCTTTCAGTCTTAACATGGTGAAGCTTTCAAGTTGAACTCTTTTCAAAATGGCTTCATAGAGAGTGAATTGTAATGCCATTCTCATGCATTTTCATTGCAATCATGCTGTAAAGAGTGTATTTTTTGCTTCTTTTTGGGGGTTTTAGTGGGAGGATATCTTGATCATCTTGATAACCTCTTGTTATGTCATCCTTTTTCTTTTTCTTTTTCCCTCATGGATTCAAAATTGGAAATTTAAGTCCCACTCACGGCAAAGATGGAGTTGAAGGTAACTTGACATAACATAGTGCAAGCATATGGGTGAAAGGTGAAGGCTGTTGGCATCTTCCCAGACACAGAAAAATATAGGCATTTAGGGTAGGCAATGAACGTACCTTCTGCTGTTCCCTACACCGGGGGCTAAGCTAGAACCTAGCTACTAGGCTACTATCTGGCTACCTATATGGGTACCAATCTACAGTATCGGTACGTACACTCTTGATATTTTGTCAACAATCATTAATTTCGACAAAACAGATTGGTATTCGGTACCAACCGCTCATTTCATATGAAATTTTTTGGGCACATGCTTCTTTATCATCAAGTTCAAGTTCTGTTACTTGGCAAGAAACACTTGTTGTTTAGATTAGATCAGTATACCAGTACAAAGTACTAGCACATTAATTATTTGAGTAAATCTAAACTACACCAAATAGAATCAATCTTTAACCACTTCCACTAACAATGCTATCAACTGAATCCTGCAGGCTCATTTGCACGTTTTAAACAGCTCTCAAGTTTCTGAGATCATATGAATAAAAACCAAACAGAATCTAGCAAAGATATAAAGTTTGTGGCCATGCCATTTACACCAAGTCTTTACAAAAACAAGATGTACGTTTTTTTTCTGGCATGGTGGCATGCATGTGTGTTTTTGCATATGCAACTCTTTCTGGAATCTCAAGCTTTACACAGAAGCTAATGACCACTAGTAGACTAGTGGTAGGTCTCCAAAAGTACTTTTGCCTGAGCTGTAGAAGACCATGTAGCATACAGTGCAGTGCATGGACCACAGTTTTTGAGCATTTATATTGCTGGGATTATTGGGTCATAGTCATATGCGTAAAAATAGGTCAGCCAAGAAAACGATCTGTCATAGGAGGCGGGCTAACTAGATGATTATAAAGGGTGAATCTGAAGTGTTGTCAAGCTTGAAGATGAAATTTCAGGCTGTAATAGACAGGATTGTTAATTAGTAAATGTACTAAGAAATTAAAAGGGTTTGTAAAGCAATAGCCGGGCTATGGAACGGTCCATTCTGTAAATGTACTAAGAAATTATTAAAAGGGTATATCTACAATCATCCACCTACGAAACGGGTATCGATATATATGCCATCGAAATGTGTCACTATCATTGTCCTCAACAAAACATAACAATATGTTATCGACTAAAATAAAACTGACTTAACGAATAAGAATTGGAATTTAGTTAGCTCATGATTTTCATCAATTACCTAGTCCAATAGTGGGTTTTACTGCCCTAGCTGGAAGGACATTCGATTGCATTGTATCTTCTGCAGGCTACAAATTAACTAATCGGTGCATGTTGGCCTGCCATGTACAATGCATAGGATAAAGGCAACAAAACCTTGAAGAAGAGGGGTCCAGAGAGAGACTTATGACTCAGTGACTCAGTGATTTTATTAAGAACATGTTCGCATCACAAGGTGCCACGTGGCAGCTGCAGCGGATGTGATTCTGGGACAGAGTCCTGAGTTGGGGTACCGGAAATTTAGGGGCCAAATTGAGAGAGGAGGGGGGGTTGGTAAATAAGGCCAAAGAGCCATTTATTGTCTTTGTCCAAGCAAACTCCTCACCACCTCAGGTGGCGCCTTCATACGCATGTCTGTTTAGTTCAGTCATTCACCCACTTGTGCATGCATTGTCACATCAACCATCTTCTTCTTTTCTCACTTCACTTCACATTTTGCTCAATTTCCACACCGACCTAAAAAAAGACATCAAACCTCCTTCCAAATATAATCCAATTCCTGCAGCAAGCCACCCTTCAAATTGTAATTATTACTGCTTTATTACTGCTTTGAAATCATTGGTTTGGTTTGTACATAATGTTAGTAGTAAGGCTGTTTCGAGGACAACTTGAAATATTGTAAGGTTGTAACTCAAATGGTTAATAGTATATGTTCCTGCATTATTGAGCGTACGAGTATTGAGCTTTGCTTATTGACATTTTTTTAAACGTAAATGGGCAAGATTGCAATTGGACATCAGATCGAGTTGATGTGATTGTTCCTAAGTTAAAAGACATAGCTCTCGTATCAATTATAAAAGCAAGAAATCAAAGTGAATCATATAGGTTTATTTGAAACTATTGGACCACATCGCTACAATATCTTGTTTGTGTTTGATAAGTCTATGGCATTTAACCACAATAATTCAGCTATTAGGATAAGTTGACTCATGTTTCTACATGAGATTATTCTCAATTTGAATCTTCAATTATGTATAATTTAATTGAAATATTTCAATCTAATCTTATATTTTCTTTTTTATTCAAAGATGAGGAGCTAAATATTTGAATTCTTACCTAAATGTGTAAGTAAAATGTTCTATCACTGAAGCTATAAGAGTCACGTTCATCAGGGAGTTTGTATATCTATGTGCTTCTCGTACATTAATTATGTAATGTCCACCAAAATTTGCTTTCTTATTAGTTGTTTTCTAGCAAGAGTGGGGGCTAACACTGTGCTTTGTGAGTTAAAGTTATCGGTCTCCCAACTAATATAAGATTCGACATAAATGTATTTGTCCAATATGTGGTTAGGAGAAGATTATGTCACGACCTTATTTATTTTTCAATGTTTTTTGTTTTTCTTGAAATAAAATCATGGAGAGCATCACAGAATTGCGATGTTTAACCAACTCACTCATTAAAATATTTTTCTGATTTGTTGTCCACAATTCTTTTTTATTAATTTGTTCACATTAAAGACTCAAACATGATCAACGGGTACTAGCCCAATGAAAAAAGGCCATTGATTTACAAATTAGTGGTCTCAAGTTCTAATCCCATGGCATCATAGTAGTGTGTGAGAGAGAGAAACCCTCATTCCCTATAATTTAGACTATCGCTTGTACTTTAAAAAACAAAGACTCAAACATGAACCAAATTAAACAAAGGTTTTTAGTAGACAGAGAGGATGGTAGACTCCCAAAAAAAGACCAAACAAAACCAAAAAAGAATTAAAGATAGAAGGCAATGCATCAAACAAAGAAACCCCATCGTCCTTAATCAAACAAGGACAAAGTATCTTTTTGGTAGCATGTAACATCTAGACTAAACACTGATTAGCAACCTAAAGTAGGCCACGTGTCCAAATGGGGGTAGATGTGATGCCCTAATTTGAAACAGATAAAGGTGTTTGGCTGTTTCCATGATTTTTTTAAAACAAGAAGAGGGTCCTTGTAGTGCCAAAATGTTGTACAAATGGGACCTCAATATCGTTGGTGTCTTTTTCGAACTAAAAAGATTTCTGTCTTCAGCCTCAATTTCCACTCTCTTTTTAAGCAGGGTTGGCCTCGTACTTGAACCTCCCCCCCTACTAGACATTTCATAGCGAGAAGGAAAATAAGCAAAGTGTTTTCTTTCCTCTCACCTTCATATCAGCCATGTCAAGCAGAAGATCATCCTCAGGAGCTTCTAAACTCGCAGATGATGAGATTAAGGAGCTCGTCTTAAAATTAAAACCTCTGCTACCCCAGCTTGATCATAGGCGCAACGCATCGGTATAGCCTATAGGCTTAGGCTTATGCATTACAATTCTATTTTTGTTTTTCAATTTTCACATATATATATATATATATATATAATTTGAGCTCCTCTATCAATTCTCATATTAGTTCATGTCACTAACATAATGATGAAGGTGATGGCATGATGGCATGATGGATGGTTAGAGGACACCTAGGAAAGAGAACTTGATGTGAAATGAAAGTTGAAACCAGATGCATATATAATCTACTGAGTTTCATGCTTGATATATAGATGATTAAACTTTGTCATTCAAAGCTGCAAGAGCTATATATAGAAAGAAGCTAGCTTAGCCTCAAAATATCTTCATAACAAGCTTATATACTAGGTAGTAGTAATAAGAAGTAGAAACCTCAATCAGCAAGAATTCGTTCAACTAATCATGCATGGATTTTGTGTTTAAACAGAATTATTACTCTCTCTTTTTTAAATTTATGCAGAAGTATGTTTGTCTGATTAATGCTTATAATTAAGCAATTATATATCATAACGTGGTGCTTATATATATATATGCAGGTATCAGCATCAAGCATTTTGGAAGAAACTTGCAGTTACATAAGGAGGCTGAATAAAGAGGTAGACGATCTGAGCCAAAGACTATCTCAACTCCTGGATTCTGCAGACATCACTGATGTTGATGAACAGCTTATTAGAAGACTTTTCCAACGTTAATAATGCCTCTCTCTCTCTCTCTCTCTCTTTGTCTCTCTGGGCGGCCTATTTTAATCAAATGTCTTAATTTGGTTGGACTTTCCAACCAGTGAGAGATATTGATTAATTTATCAGAGGAATATGATATATATTTATTTATGTTTTTTTTTAAAAAATTTCTGAAGTGTACCCTATTCTCATCTCTCTGTATTGTTAAAATGCTAGCCAGTGATCATTTGATCTTTCTTCAACTAAATATATAAATAATAATAATAATATTTGGTCCCACATTAATCACATGGAATTTGCAGCACAATACTGACCAGAAGCATTTTCTTAGATTTACTTGTATCACAATCATTCAATGATTAGGATAAAAACCAAGACAAGAAGAAGAAAAATGAAAGCAACCAACAGGGTTGTTTGTCTGCTAAAATATTGTGTGCTTTGCTATATTATATTAGGTTCATTTGGAACCTGTTTCATTTAGGGGAGTAAGATGCCAAAGATGAATGGTAAAAGACACTTGCTAGCTGCTACTATTTGAGAGCTCTAGAATTTGGCACAAAAGGATAAAACAGAAAAAAAGAGGGAGAGAAAACAACTTGAATAAAAAGAAAAGAAAGAATAAGATATTTGTGTAAAAATCCAAATAAATTGAAAATGCCTCACTCCTCATGCACAAGGAGCAATCCATGTAGATAAATTAAACAAATTCCAATTACAAGATGAGATGGAGGTGGCAGACATGGGCTACGTGAAGTTGGCTAGAGCGAATATGCTTCCCACTCTGCACCGAATTCGAATCCCCGTTTCTATAATTTAGATTATTTTAAAGTGAAGATGGATGTGGCTATTTACATTTTGTTCATATATCTTCAACTTTCACAACTTACAAAGTGCAAAGTTGTCAATGAAGGACACAAATCATCAACAACAAACAAACACCACTTATAATTCAAGAACAAAAATGATACATAAAAACAGTCAAACCCCAACAAAAAAAGGCCCACATCTTTTTTTTCTTTTATTCCATTAATCTAATAATAATTAGTGGAGCGGTATGTGGAATTTGTCAAGAATGGCCTTGAAATTAGCTACAATGGCTAAGCTGTTGCTGGTGTACTCCATGGACCTCTTCATCTTGCTCTTCACTTTATCGACAGCCGTTGATCCCATCTCTTCCAACCCATCCAAGCACGTCTCTTGATCTGTCACAGCGCTGCTTATCCACGTCTGTATGTCGTTGACTTTAGCCTCGGTTAACGCCTTCTGTCCCATCGCCGAAACCGAGTCGTTGAGCCGACTCAGCGCGTCCTCGAGCTGATCCACGCAGTCCCGAGTCGCGGGATCGGAGTTCATCGTATTCAACAGAGACGAGACGTTTGAGAGCTCGGCGACGGAGATTTCGAGAGAGAGCTTGAAAATGGCTTCTGGGTCGGGCTTTGGAGAGGCGTTGAGGGAGGAGATGGAGGTGAAGCACGAGTTGGGGTAGCGAGTCACGTTGCAGATGGTTTTGATGGCTGACTCGGCCGAGTTGGAGTTGGAGAGATAAGGGGACTCGGAGTTGGACGCGTGGATGAGAGCTGCGAGCAGGAGGCCGATCACCAAGGTCAAGCAGATGAGGGCTGAGATGGTGAGAGTGGAAAAGATGGGCTTTTGGGGTTTGGGGGGATTTTGGGTTTGAGGTTTGAGTTTGATCTTCAAGTTGGTCTGGGTTTACTTTGCCATAGCCTTTGAAGATGTTGATAGATTCCATGGCTGCACTCTGTTTTTGGGAGGGTTGGGTTAAGTTTGAAGAAGAATGGTTTTATGGGTTGATGACTTCAAATTGAAGCAAATGATAAATATTTAATAATTTAATTAAGCATATAATAAAATATGACCTATGCAACGTGAGGTTTTGGACCAAGTCAGTGATAACCCAAGCCCACAGAGATGCAAAATAGATTATATTTTATAGAAAAATTGAATCATTTCAAACTAATCAAATGCAGAAATGAAGTTCGGAAACAAAAATTATTTGCAAGCCAATATGGGATATAGTAACTGAGAAGTAAAGCCTAGTAGGACTAGGAGAAACTAATGGTCAAAACTCTTTGTTCAATCTTCATCCTCTTCATCTGCATCTCCACCAGCAGCCTTCTTGGCAGCTGCCTTCATGTTTCTTCTCTTCACTCTGCCGGGGCGTCCGGCGCCTAATGGGCTTGTGAGTGAGAAATCAATGTGCTTCTCTGAATCACATCTCACCAGGAAGGATGAGATGTTCACCACTTGTCTCCCAACTCTGTACACAATAAAAGAACAAAGCATAGTGAAGATGAATGTTCATCATGCTATGAAGCTCTAGCAACAAAAGAAAATTGGTCGATTTTCATAATCCCTTAGCAATGCGCAGCTTCTTCATTCAAACCACTATATCAGATGTTGTATCAGCAGAAATGACAATACAACTAGAAAAACAACATCTTTTGAAGCATCACAAAGGCTTTATACTGAAAACTTGTTGGGTATAGGGTGGTAAAATAGATGAGCTCTAACTCTAAGACTGCTTTATTCAACTTTATAACAAATTAGCTCTAAATCTCTCCTCCATCCAAATAATGAGCAACCCAGCACCGCAAGCATATAACCAAGGAACATTTATTTGATGTATAACTAGTACTTTCATTTGTTTCTAGCTTTACATGGAAAGCAAGCATTCATTTGAGATTGACCATGTAATCAAATCAGCATTAATAGACTAGAACTAAAACTATATAGCAGACTTCCTTGATCTACATTGCAGGCAAAGGAACAAATAAATTTACCTGATATGCCTCTGCCTGATAAGCACACGGGCATGATGGATGGACTTTGCCATACCAGTCTTGAACACAATTGTCTGCAGGCGACGTTCAAGGAAGTTCTCCACAGTCAAAGCCAAAACATAATCAAGCTTGTTCTGACCCTCTTCCAAGAGTCCGTACCGGTTCATCCTCCGGAGGAGAGCCTCACCCTCGAAGATACGACGAGGGTTCTTCTCATCCAGGGTCAGAAGCATCCTTGCATTGTTCCTGATACGGCTCAGAGCATACTGAACCCTCCACAGCTCTCTCTTGCACCGGAGCCCATACTCTCCAACAAGCTTCAGCTCAGCATCCAAACGCTCCTTCTCATAGGGGCGACGAGGCTTCTTGAACGTCTTTCCATCTGAATTGTCCAACAATTGATCATTACAAAATGAGAATTTAACATCAACCACCTAAAAAGTAAAATGTACCCAACTAAGCTTTTTGAAATTTCCATTTTCTCCAAATCCCAATAACATTTCCAATCTAACATCGAATTTTAACTTTTCTTTCTTGTGTATGAGGAACAAGAATGAAGCCAGCGTCTCAGTGAAGACTGTATATAAGTAAATCCAAAATTTTCGGCGCCAAAAGAACAACAGCAAAACCAAGGACAACAATCAAAAAGCTGATAATCAAAATCAAAACTTTGCCACTGAACAATATCAATTCACTAACTTTCAAATGTAAAACTTCAGACCCAAAACACTCATTGTTCGGAATAACACAACTTTCTCAAGGATCACAGAAAATATTCAAGTATCAGAGAATATACAATATATGCATATATGATATCAAATATCAAATATAGAGAGTTAGAGAGAGAGCTTACAGTTGCGGTAGAAGGAGACGTGAACCATGGTTGTTCTCCGTCAAGACCACACGTCCCCTCTGCTTCGATGAAAACACAAACCAAATTCTGAGCTCTCCTTTTAAAGAAAGAGAACCTCTTAAAACCCTAACGCTGGTCAATGCGCTAGTGTCGCGGTGATACCAAACTTGCTACCTATTTTTTCAATGGGTTAGCCCATATTTTATAAGACCCAATTCTATTTTTGGGCCTATAGATATACACAACCACCCACTATTTATTAAACCTAAATTCTTCACTGTAGGCCTTTTAGTTACAAAAATATAAGCCCGAATTGTCGTTCATGTAGGGCAAATTCTTCTCAAACCAAAAGGAAAAAAAATCCCAACCTAATGGACATTATATTGGTAAATGCATGTAACAAAAGAATTAAAAAAATGTTCAAGATGTATTCCAACGGGTCCATAATTTAATGGTAAGAGTATTTGTCTTTAGATCAGTGGTCTCAAGTTTGAACTCCAATGATACCTCAAGCCATAAAGATAGCTCTCTTCTCTTCATAATTTGGAAATTTAGGTGAAACCGACAAACGACAAAGTTGCAACTTGCAACCACCAAATGGTTTGCATTGAATAGGCATTGAGTGAGTGAATTTTGCTGTCAAATCTGGATTCAGTTAGGTACACTATTATAAATGGCTCTAATATATTACATATTCAGGCCAACCCACCATATATTTCATTTCCTCAGAATAGATTTGAATGATGCATGTAATCTACTCAATCTATAAAGTTCAAAATACTGCCATCGAGGTTTAGCTTAATGAAAAATAACAATTTGCATATCAATGATCTCAAGTTTGAACCCCATAGGTCATAACAACGCGTGTTTTTCTGATTTTCCATATTACACCATATAAAATGGTTCAAGGCTTCAAACAACACCCTCTTTATGAAGCACGAAACCAAAATCATAAGCATTTTTGCTGTTAGTCTCATTATCTCTCTGTAACTTTTATGCTAAAAGGAGAAAAGCCAGAATCTGAAAAAGAAAAAGAAAACTTGTGTTGGGGACCCTGTTATTGGACGGCTGAAAGACTTTATATTCTGACCTTACTTGCACTGTTGCACAAAGAAGAGATGCTTTTTGACTCAAAAACACTGAACAACCATATATTATAATTTGGCTGACAACTTGACAAGCACAATTCCAACTAAACCCAAGTAAGATGAAATCTCATTGTGTCATTTTTGTTTTTGAGGAACTCTCTCACCTTGTCAATGTTGGCCTGCTCTCACCTTTGCAGGCCATCATCAATTTTGGAAAAAGATGTCTACTTCTAATCCAAATGGACCAAATCCTAAACTTGATGATGAGGATCAGTGAATGTGACCATGAACTTAAAGCGATGTTTGTGAGCACAAATAAACAAATCTCTTTTATAGGCAACCACTAAAATACTACAATTTGCCTACCCCACCTTTTTTGTTTTTGATTGAATACCTACCACACTATTTGGGCACAAAAATTTACTCACACACCCAAAAAAAAAAGGAAAAAAATTTGTGATATATGATGCTCGTGAAAAAGGTCACTGCCAATCCCACGTGGCATAAAATATTAAAAAAAAATTAATTAGCAAAAATAATAATGTTTTAAATAAAATAAGATAATTTCATGAGGGAAAAAAAAAGGATTAAAAAAGGGATTAAACTAATAAAACAAAATAAACCCCTGTTGTTTTGACAATTGCAGACTTGCAGTTACGATACGTACCATCCAGATTACAAAATATCAAAAAATCCCTCATTTCAGTGCCCGCCAGTCGTGCATTTTTCCTTTTCAGGTTTTTTTTTCTCTTCTCTATCACCATTCAATTCCCATCCTTCAGTTTCTCACTATCTTTTTCTTTCTTTTCAAAAAACAAAAACAAAAACAGGTTTTTTGCTTGTAATCTTTTTTTTTGGGGGAAAAGAAAACCCATTACACCCTAAATCCTCATCATCTTAAATACCAAGACAACATTTCATCTCCGACTCTATTTTGGCATTTTCTCCTTTCTCTGTCTCTGGGTCTGCGAATTGAAGAACTGGGAAATCTGGGTTCAAATGGCTTCCAACATAGGCATAATGGACAGTGCTTACTTTGTTGGACGGAATGAGATTTTGACATGGATCAACAATCGTCTTCAGCTCAATCTCTCTCGCATTGAAGAGGTTCTCTTTCTTTTTTCCTGTTTTGGCGAATGTTGTTTTAAGGCTTTTTGAGAATGAGAGTGTGAAAAGAAACGATCTTGATCCCTGGGTTTCTTTATCTGAACATTGTTGCAATTTTTGTTGATGCTAAGTGGTACAATTTTCCTTGGCTTTTGTTTTTCTGAATGATTCATTTATTCATTGCTCTCCCATGTTAGAAAGCTTAGATATTTGCGTTTGCCTTTTTCTATATCCTCGTATGGTTTGAGTCCATCAAATCTGTGTGCTTTCCTTCTTAATTTTCAGTTAAAATATAATCCAATTGAAGTAATTGCGTCCATGGTTGCCGGAAAGTTGAATGGTTTATCTGCTTGATTTTTCAAAGTGTTTAATTACGCTCTCTGGTGCATTTTCAAAGGAAGGTTTTGTTTTTTAGTGCATTTTCGTTGATCCGTGGATCATAGGTGCATAATATCGCCTGACTTACTGTGACAACGAATTGTGGGTTTTTACTGTTTTTTGTTCGCGAACTAAGTGATAGGAAGTAGTATACCACTTGTGATTGAGTTGTGTTTGTGTATGGGGTAAGCCCACATATAATGTAGAACAGCTTTAACAGCATTAGCCCCAGTCTTGAACTCAACTCTGAGTTTTGCATTTGAACAATTTATAAAAATATACTGGTCTTAACATGGATGAGTGGAACTAAGGTTAGATGTCAAGTTGAAAATGGCAGCCTTGCCTGAGAAATAAGAAAGGAAGATAAACTTGAGGTAACATACAATGATTCCAAGAGCTATCGGCTTCCATTAGTCTCATAACTACATATACTTAAGGCCTGTATGATGTGCAGATAAGCTATAACGTTGGGATTTTGAAATATGTTGTAGAATAGTAGGAGTGTGATGGTACAGTTATCTGTCTGGGAAGCAAAATGATTATGATCCTTTAATCAAGTTGATGGATCATGGAAGTGATTGTTGATCCCATGGAAGTTGGATATCTGTTAGATTTTGTGCAACTAGTTTTAGTTTGATTGTTGATATTTTTTCATTGGATATTTCCCCAGGATTTAGGTCACATCGTGCAATTTTCATCTTTTAATTTTTCCATTTGAAAATGAATTCTAGTATTTCTAATCATGTGAACAAATGTGGCTAGGCTGCATCTGGTGCTGTGCAATGTCAAATGATGGATATGACCTATCCAGGAGTTGTTCCAATGCACAAGGTATAAGCATTTCTCTGCAATTTTTATTTCTTAGATCTGTACATTGTATTTGAATTAACATTTTTTATTGCTAGAATGGCTCCCTGCCCCTTTATTCCTAACAGGATGCTTCCTTTTTCTTATAATTGGTTATTGTAGGTCAATTTTGATGCTAAGACAGAATATGATATGATCCAAAATTATAAGGTTCTGCAGGAAGTATTCAACAAGTTGAAAATTGAGAAGGTATTTTCATCTTGGTGCTCACTTCTCCTTTTTCATTTGGTTTTCAAGAAATTAATATGGAAACCTCCTTATCCATATGGCTTTTGAGGAATAACCATATTTTGAAATTTCTTTACAAACACCTCCAGTACGTGCACTCACTTTTAGAATAGTAAACTATCCAAAGCAAAATTCTGTTTGTGGTGATGTATTGATCTTCACCATGTATGTACTTTGTATGCATAGAAGCAAACTTATGATGCAAGTGCTAGATTGAATTATGTGGGAGGAATTCTTTATGTTTTTGAATGCTAGTGGTCACAATGTTGATATGGTCCCATTTGTCCATACCATACTATGGTTTTGTTTGATCTAGAATGTCTTCTATTCATATGTGGTATATTTACCAGTTGGTTGGTCTCAACTTTGTTGGGGATAATAAGAAAAAGAAAAGATCACTGTGCATGACCAGTTTTCTAGGATAAAGCCAGCATTTACATGTGTTGGTTTCTGTTGGTTGTATTTAATTCTATGTAGATTTATGCATGTGTTGAGGTTCTTTGGTTGTAAATGACTGAAGAAGAGTAAGGTTGAGATGTATTTCCATTGTAATATTTGATCCCAGTTTTATTGCTTGTCATACTGAGGAACTCAACTTGTAAATGGTGGTGGTCTTCCTTGACATGGATAGTTTGTGATATTGCAAACTTAGATTTAGGCGAGTCGAGAAACCAGACTGGGGGTGGTTTTTGGCACAATTGAGAATTTATATTCTTACTGATCTCAATTCTTTTTCTCCTTGGCTGTGCTGCAGCATCTTGAAGTCAATAGACTTGTTAAAGGCAGGCCTTTGGACAACTTGGAGTTCTTGCAATGGCTGAAGCGCTACTGTGATTCTGTAAATGGTGGCATAATGAATGAGTATGCTCTTTTTCTGAATTTCTTCTCTCCTTTCAAATCTTGAGGTTCATGTGTGTTGGTATTACATCAACGATCCTTTTCCTTAAATTTACATCTTTTAACCTTGTAGAAACTATAACCCCGTGGAGCGAAGGTGCAAGGGTGGGAAGGATCGGTATCCGAAGGGTTCTCAGAAATCCTCAAAATCTTTGCAAGCAAACAATTTACCTAACCCTGGCTCTGGTGATACAGTTGGTCTCAATAAAACCTCTGGTCAGTTCGCCTTCCTAAACTTTCTACTCCATTTATTTTATTTTTAACACCTAAGAGTGCCTCTCATTGCTTGATGCTGAACTCTTTAGGACCAAAGCAAGGGAAGCCTTATGCAGCGGCTGGGGGTGCTAATTCTTCAGGAGAGGTTCAGGCTTTGTCCAAGGAGGTATCATTATCAGTCTATTGATTGTTGCCTTAGGAAGTCATTCCTCTCTCTCTCGCTCTCCAAGAAAAAGGTCTTCGGTTTTTTAAATTATGCATTTCAGTGCACTGTTGATTCCTAAAAGGTTTTGTTGTGTGCTTCTGTTGTACAGATTACAGATCTCAAGCTCTCCGTGGACCTTTTGGAAAAAGAAAGGGATTTTTACTTTGCAAAATTAAGGGATATTGAAATTCTTTGTCAGACGTCTGAATTGGAGGAACTTCCGGTAGGAATTTCTGACAGGTTTTTAGTATATTTGTCTTACAGTTTCGCAATCAACATGTTTAATCGTGTTCTTACATGTGTTTAGCATGGCTGTTGTATGTTTCTTTCCCTGTTGCTCAAGTATCTCTTTTTGAATTTCATAGTGCTTCTGAGGTTGACAAACAATTTGTATTTGCTATAGGTTACAACTTTTAAATAACTTTTGAAGCAAAATATTGAAATTCTTAGTGGAATATTGAGCTCATGAGTACTCTGCGCTTCGGTTTTCTTCATTTCCTTTTGGAGCTAGGTTATGCCTTTCTTTTGGCTCAGCATTTCGTACTAGTATTGACTAGAAACAAAACAACTCACTCCCTCATGAATTTGGGTGATTTAGTATGATGATGTCTTTGTATTAACCAACTTATTATGCCGCGATTAAATTTCATGCAGATGGCAGTAGCAATAAAGAAAATATTATATGCTGCCGATGCAAAAGAATCACCACTTGCTGAAGCCCAGGAGTACCTCTACCAATCCATGAATGCTGATGAGAAAGAAGCTGAAACCGAAGAAACTGATCCCTAAATTTGATTTTTGGGACCAACAATGAAGGCTATTGTTGCGCCTAAAAAAGCCCATGAATCAGTGATCTCTGTCTGTTAATTGAAGAACTTATTCCTCCTTGTATGTGTTGAACGGATGACTATGAATTGAAAGAAATGAGATTTTATTAATAATAGAGCCTCATTCTTCAATTGTTCTAGGGCCTCTGGCTTTTGTCTTCTCGAGTGAACTCTGCATAACTTTTATCTTGAATGCATTTATTTTTGCTTTTTCATTTTGGCCCGGGGATTTCCAAAGTTACCATCCAAACATTTTCTAACAACGATTACCACAATAATTCAAACTCATAAAATCATTGTTAAAGGGGAAAAAATGGAAAATATAACAAATGGCTGCAAGAGGTAATTGTAAAATAAATAACCACAAAAACAAACGTGACCAAACCAGGATAATTACATATAATAAACCAGGAACATTCAGTATCCTTTACAAAAACAAAAGATAGCATTAATAACTATCAGCTAAACACAACAGCCAACATCTTTTTCCCTATAACACCAAGGGACTGGATGGCAGTGAAACATACTGCGACACTACAAGCCTCAATAATATCTAGATGCCTCATCATAGACGGATCCCCCGCTGCTCTGGTACTTATCAGCCTACAAAACATGAAAGGTTACGTTCAGTCAACTTGTGAAAAGCATGAGTTAAAATTATGTGCCTTGCAAATATTTGAATGGGACACGCAATAAAAATGTACTTAGCCATCACCACTTGCAAATGCCACTTTCTTATTTTCTGTTGTCAATTTAGCTATCAAAAGGGATATGTAACATTATAAGCATATCACTATGAACATTCATATATATTATGGTCAATAAGCATACCCTGTGAATGATCTTCTCAAAGGCTTCAGTCCCGTTCTCTGCAATGTACTTCTCTGCAGCAATTAGAATGTCATCTGGCTTACTCACATCCTTCTTCCTTGGAACATACCAAATGTTAACTCTCTGTGGGTTGAGAAAGAAAGGTCTGATATACTGTTCATAAACATATGCAGCACCACAGAAGTATGGGATGACCAACCAACAAGTAAGAATTAGCTTTGCGTATGACCAGATCGGAATCCTGTCAGAAAAGATTTAGAACATTATAGACTCAAACTCAACTGAAAGGCAGCATGGTGCATCATTTATGGATTATAACAGCCTGGGATTTATGAGAATCTAATGCAAGACTTTACAGCCCTGACAAAGATCAGTTTTTATACATCTTCCATCGATGCACCAATAAGATTTTGTTCTGTTCTAAACAGTAAACGTGTGGAAGAGATTATTATTAAAAAAACAAGAAGTTCATTATACAATTTGAAAGATTTTTCATGATAATTTCCCACCACAGTGGTGGTGGATTCCCCCTCCCCCCATGGAACCCAGGATCGAACCCCAGTGGGGTTTCTTTTGTCCAATGTAACCACAAAAAGAAATGCATATCAGCTGTGTATATGTTGTTTTTTTTAAAGAGAGCTCAAGAATGGAAATACAGCAAAAAGAAAAGTTTAGACCAAAATTTAACTACAGAATCTTATACAATTAATCTACCTTTTCAGAGGTCTCAAATCTTAAGTTACGTGAAGAGCACATTCAATGCAGACCCAGATTATAAATAAGTGAAATAAATCAAGAATAAAGGAGCTACATTTTAGAAACGAAAAGAATTACCACTCAATGGCTTTGGCAAAGGTGAGCTCAAACAAAGTAATCATAGAATACAGAATCCAATACGTGAGCCATTGGCGATCGTCAGCAGGAGACTGTGTCTCAATCGCCCTAATCGAGGCATATCTATCAACAAACCCAAAATAGAATGCCCATTACAGAGAATTTCAAGTAAAACACAAAAAAAAAAAAAGTTAAAAAAGAGAAAGAAGATAGAAAAGAAAGTGTGTGCAAGTTACAGTCTTTGAACTCAACTTACAGTGGATAAACAAGGCTAACCACAGGCCTGCAAAAAAACAAAACACCATCTATCAAATTGTCGAAAAAAGAAAAGGATTTTTTTTCTTCTTCTTCTGGGTTTTTGTGGTTGAGCAATTTTGGTAAAGTAAGTGAGAGAGTGAGAGTGGCCTACCCAGCAAGAACGTCGAAGTTCTTAAGAAGCACTTTGAGGAAGCTGCCGGCACCAGATCCCATCTTTGATTTCTCAATGTATGTTTCTATCACTCACTCTCTCTCTGATACTGAGCTTAAACTGAAGCTTCTAGAATAAGCTAGGGTTTCTCTCTGTCGGTTTCTCTGTCAGGTTCTGAAAGAGAGAGATTGAGAAAGTGAGCAGGAGCAGACGGGTGTATTTTATAGCACTACCAAAGAATACGCGCGGTGGCAAAAAAAAAAACAAAAAAAGAAGCAAAATCCACGTAGAGGAATTGTTGGGTGCTCACTGCTCATGGAAAATTACTGTGGTCCTTCAAATCCAAGGGCTAAGATGCGTGCTTATGTGTGGCCTTCGACTTTTGACACGTGGGGTTGTCTTAGGGATTCTTAAGGGGTTGATAGATTGTCCATAAAGGACTCGATCCCCATCTAAAATTACAACACTGCCAAGTCTTCGGAACCATAAGACATTTGCTTGCAATTGAGATAAATATTGAAACGAATGTGGACATTATCAAATTAAGATTAAGATCTGTATCGTGCAAACTCAACTCGCTTGTATTACATTAGTTCATTCAGAAATATACAAACCACCCAATATGGGGCATTCTCAAATAACCCAAGACAAAGTGAAGCATTGCACATAAATCATTTCAAGGGTCGGTTTCTCTGCTTCTGCAAATGTTGGTAGTGTTACCAAGTTGTCGAGATTCTTTGCCTGCTGTTGGTTTCTCACCGAGAAGTTGGGATGGCCAAGAATCCACCGAGGTTGGATACCTAGCATGCGGTTTACTCACATGTGAGGTAGTGTTAGATGTGAGCTGGGCGGCATCTGGCAGCGGGTAGGATTGGAGATCAGGGCAGAGGGGCATGACAAAGACAGCAGGTGCTTGCTGCAAACTGTGGTCTTGAGTGGGCAAACTGATGGAAGTTCCAGTAAAATGGGATGCCACTTCGGGTCTCAATTCTGCACAAGGGGGTGCTGCATTCAGGTCCGGTTTAGACTGGACCACCTTGTCTTCTATTTCACTGTGTAATTTCTCAATCTGAGTTTCTAAGGCAGAATTATCCTCTCTCAGCTCATTCTTCTCAACGGTCATCTGTTCAATTTTCAAAGAACTTGCATGAAAATATGATTGATTAAAAGAATGCACTACTAGATGTACAAGTTTCTTCTCAGCTCTAACAAAGACCAATGCATAAGGAATGATTCACACAAACTAGTATGGATTTAGCTAGATAGCTAAAGCATTGAGTACGCATATATTGTTTGAATCTTCTACATACATGACACTAGCAAAATATTTAGGGGCAAAGGAATCTGTAAAGTGCCTTACATAGTTGGATTCAGACAACAAGGATGCATTCTCCTTTTGTAAGTACTCAATCTGACCAATCAAGTCCTTTAGCAGTCGTGTAGCTTCACACAATATAGAGGCCTTTCCATTGTTCTGCTGATTTAATTCTGTGCAAGAGTTTTCTCAAATTAAGAATGACCCAGCCTCATATTAAAAAATGATTACACTAAGAGCCATCATAGTGAACTTCTAACAAATAAAAGATTAGTTACCAAGAGCATCGGCCAGCTCAAGAAAAAGGTCGTTAAAATGCTCACGCTTCTGTTTCTCCCTCTCAGCCTTGTGGATTCTCTTAGGTATTTTCCCCTGAATCTTTTTTCCAGAACAAGCCCTGCACATCAAACATCTTTGTAAACATCTAGCCATGAAATCAGAGTGATTTTTCATCCTAATAAACAGTCATGTTAAGCCACTTGGATGAGTTACATCCATTATTCTAAATGACTTCACACACGTTGATAATGGCCAGAGGAAATTCTGTTGGAAGACCCTTTAAAATCTTTTATAACGCATGAGCAGTATGAAGTTCAAAATAAATAAAGTACAAGTGGCATTTAAAAATAAAAACAGTATTACCACATCAGAAAGAGATTTATCTGAAAGAAATCAGCTTTATCAACAGGGAATCAAATTCTTTGTTCATAATAGGGCCTAAGCGAGCACTTCTGTCAAGATATCCACCTTATTTGAATCCTCTAATCAGTTACAAAGGCTATCTTTCAAAAACGAATCATAGGTATTCTTTCTTTCACATGAATACCATAAACTTTCTCTGAGCAAATTCTATTCCAAAATGTATCCATCACTAGTTGCAGCTATATTTCTATTAAAGCTAATTCAAAATGGGCCGAATTACATATTTAGTGGGCAGCACATCCAACATTCCCCAAAGTTAGGTAGATCTTGACAGGGACGAAACTTATACTGGTTCCACAACATAATGTGTGTACCCTGTATCTTTTTCATCATTCCTTCAGAAACCCCATTTCTAAATTTTCAATTTGCAACTCCTTTTCAAAATGTTACACTATTTTGCATCATCAAGTTTCTAACTAAAGTAGGACAAGCTTGACCGTTCCTAAGTACACACGGACACTTCCAGCCTTTAATTAATATGCCAAGCATTAGAATATCCAATCCAGATAAAGAAAGTTTCTAGCACTCATAACAACGCTTATGCGCTCATGTGAAAATTAAGATCTGAACAACTTACCCGCGCACTGAGGCCTCCGTTACATTAGCATTGTCAGCCGCCGGAACAGGATCCTGTGAACCCATGATCCGATAACCGTCTCTAAGAACTGAATAGGGCCTTATATCCTATAATAAGAAGCAATACCAAATTCAGACATTCTTGAATCTTGTCAGATGATCCTCCAAACAACAGTAGGCAACCATATTTATCGTTATTGGGTCTGAATTTTTGCACTTTATATATAGATATTGAATTTTTAAATGAAACCCTAGTTTGCTTTCCTACAAATGATTGTTCTACCTCATTGCTCGGTAAACAAAAACCCTTAATCAACTGAACCGCAAAAATATTACAATTAATAAATTGAAATGATAGCTTTTAATCCATCTTGTAGAAAATGATACTTGAACTACGGAAAATTCGGAATTAGACATCAATTTAACCCCAATCCAGAAAAAAGATTTGTACTGTTTAGAAAGAAACAAAAAGCCATAATTCCAGAGACCCTAGATCAGAACAAAGAAACCATTTTGTGGAGAAGAAAGAGAATACACCCAGAGGAAATGCACAATTAGATTGAGAAAATGAAAAATTTACTGAATCACCTACCTCACCTGCAGTTGGAAATGCTGGGCAGAACCAATGGGTCTTGGATTAAGAGAAATTCAATAGATTTTCGAAGAAAAACAACAAAGGATTTGGTTGAAATTTGGGGGGTATATATTTACACAGCAAAATGTCATTGACTAACGAGGTAAGGTAACTGTACGTTTGGCATTTAGGAGGAGGGGAGGAAGACAGAGAGTGTGGCGGGAGAAAACGAGGCAGGGGAGGGCGTGTGGTGAGCGCTTGCCTTTTTGGTGCGCAATGAACCCAGCCACGTGCCACGTGATCTTCCTTGTTTTTTTCATAACTCACGTTGTATTATTACATTATATATGCTAGTGGTGAATTGAAATTTTGTTGTTGTTGTTGGAGTGGTGAATTGATTTTATAAATTATATCAGCACCTTCCCTTCTTTTTTTTTCAATGAAAAGAAAAATTAAAGAAATAGTGATAGGATTATTAGCAAATCTGTTTAGTTTCTTATTAATTAAGTTTTTTTTTCTTTTCATATAAAATGGTCTCTTAGGAGGCATACATATGAACGGTATCATAATTTGAGATTATACTTGTGAACTTCTTATAATGTCAATTTCTTGAGTAGCCAAGATATGAAACCAATCTATTCAGGTTTGGGGGGGATTGCGGTGGATTCCTAGACCAATTAATTTTTGTATTGCCTCTCCCATGCAACAAGGGCAAGAAGATTTAAAGGTCAGTGAGCTTATTATTGAGAATGGTACACCATGCTGGAATGTCTCATAATTCCATTTTTTTGGCAATGGATGTGGATGAAATTTTGAAAATCCCGTTGAGCTTTTGTCTCCCGGCAGATCTCGTTTGGCATTATGATAAGAGGTCATTTTACAGTTAGAGAAGTGCTTACTATGTTGCAATGGACTTGCAATTGGAGGAGGGACAAGGATTGGCAACAACTTCAGTGAGTGAAGATGCTTCAGTTTGGAAGGTGTGTGGGGCGGGCTTATTCTGGCTAAGGCTAAACTATTTTTGTGGAGAATGCTACATAATATATTACCAAGTCCCATTGCCGCTGAAAATACGTGCAGGATGTCTATATATGCCTAGAGAAGGTTAAACAGGCTAATTCGAATTTTTTGTAATAAATAATAATCAACTTTTAAAGCAGGATTGATATGTATAATGTCCAGAGCTTAAAATAAAAGAACACACAGAGAATTATTTTACGTGGTAAAACCCCACATCTGGGGAAAATCCACGGGACTTCTTAGTCCAACACAAATCCACTATAGAACGATGATTACAAGAAGTACTCACACACTTATACTAGACACATTCTAGATAATGTTTACCGACTTCTTCATAACTCAACTTCTGTCACGGGATGATCTTCGACACTCCTTATGTTGAACGCAATACTGGCCACGATTGCTTCAAGCTCACTGGAGGAAAACCGCCACCACGGTCTTGGTGCCCTCAACCCTATGAGTCACCGACATGCATATGAATGCAATATGAATGATGAATGAATTCGATAAATCACCAAGTCACAGAAACCCTTGATGACTTACCAAGAGAAATAAGTGCAGTAGCTTTTCCAAAAAACAGATTCAATATGCTCTAAAAATTAATGCGTTGAAAAAACTACTAATGAAAGGAAACAAACATCCTTTTATTCAAAGCAAGTTTCTCTCACAAGAGAGAAACTTGCGAGACTACACTTCCAAAGCAAGTATGACTCTAAGACCAAATCAGCTAAGCCTCCTTAAACCTGATGCAATATGAATTCCTTAAAGAGATGCCACACAAGAGCCAACCAATTATCCAATAAATTCTGATTCAATGAAAATACAAAGTCTGATTCATTATGGACTCTTAATGAATTTAACAAACGTACCCACTTTTAATAGGGAACCAATTGACTCTTAAAGCAAGATAATTGGAAGATACGCATAGTGCACAACACTTAGGAATCTGCTCATATTTTAACTTCAAACACAAAGACTCTAAAAAGAACTTCAACTATAAGTCCTATCATGAATGCATGATTATGTCATGATTTATCTGAAGTCAAGTTTCTCATATCGGTCAAGTCATGCCTCGGATGTATGGGGTTGAAAGAGTAGTGCCAAAACGTCTAGTTGCAATTCCTCACAACTAATTTTCAACCTATACTATAAAGTCTAGGAAATGACAATACAATTTTCATACTAACAGCCGCTGCTAAGTTAAGAAGATGAAGGGCCCCATGGTTGGGATTGTAGGCATACACCGTGAGACTACTGGCGTGTAGTAGACGAAGCTCCTTCCGCTATAGATTTCGTCAAATTAGGATGTGGTTGAATGATATATATAGATTGTAAAGCACTACCATCGGGTTTAAGTTATAGATTTCGTCAATTTTATACATAATTTAGTCTCTAGAAATTCTTTTTGCCGGATGTCAATCCTTGATACAAAATCCGAAAATTAACAGAGGTTGCTGTCATCTTTTCTAGTTAACGGTAATTCAAGCCGTGTCTTCCACTAAAGACAGACCAATGATGGCTTCAAAGGAATTCTTTTCCTCAGGTAATGCATACCATTATTCAGTATAGAACAAACAGAAACCACATGATCAAGATCCCAAACCTTCTAAAACCAATAACCAATAACCAATATATATATATATATATATATATTGCCTGTACTGGAAACGAAATTGAACTCTACATTCATCAGTTTGTGCAAGCAGCAAACTGAACCATGATAATTATATATAGTAAACAAGCAACATTAATTCCTCTGGTTGTTATACATTGTGTAACAAAAACCAAAAATAGCAATATCAACTATGAGCTAAAGATAACAGCCAGTAAGGGCCTAGATGGCAGTAAAATGTCTCTGCTTGTGATCATCAATGGCTCTGCTCCTCAGGTACTTACATTACAGCTTGTTTTCTACTACCTGTAATCCCTCCTTCCAAAAGATTTTTCTTTTTTGTCTTTTTTTTTCTGGTTGGCTTTTTCCTGTTGAATGGAGGCTTTTTCTGGCTGTCTAGCAGTTATTTCCTGCTTGGCTTCTTCCTACAAAATCCAATTATATATATTATGATAAATTAGACCCAAAGGTTAATAAAAACACTTATAGACATGCAAACAATTGAGTCTCTTCATTCAAAAAAAAAACAAAAATAATTTCATGTAAACACATTTCTTTTACCTCATCTTCTTGTTTTAGCTGCTTCATGCTTGCTGCACTCTTATCGTATATGGGTTCATAATCCGCCTCACGCATGTGCAAAGAGGCTAGTTAATAGAATGGAAACTCAGGCAAGGAACTTCTTTTGCGGACTTCTACTAAAATTCCGCCTATTGCATGGAATACTATTTACAACCAAAAGACCTCATAAGTATCTTCCCTAGCTAATAATGATTGGTTCGACCAAAAAAAGAAAGAGGAGCTAATAATGCTTGGTTGGCTTGGATTAAGAAAACTACAATTGGTTAATAATGCTTCCCTAGCTAAATTGGGATGGAAAATTATTCTTCTTTTTATAAAGCAATTGCAAAACCCAATTATATTTGCGAGTCTGGATAAGCATTTTAAAATTTCAACCTATTTTATTTCAGGAAATGAGATGGATAGTTGGGAATGGTTATAATATTAAATTTTGGAATTTCAATTGGGTCTTGTTAAACGAACCCTAAAATTAACTGAGTACACCCTATGATTTAAGTATATCATAATATTTAAATTAAAATGTAAAATTAACTAAGTACATCATATTTTAACTACCAAAAATACCCATATTTTGAGAGTGAGACCTCTTCCTTCTTTAGTCTCTATTGTAGTTGGTTTCTAACCTCTTCAGTCGTGTATGTAGTTGACTTCTACCAAAAATACCCCTCATCTTTTCTGGTTAACGGTAATTTAAGCCGTGTCTTCCACTAAAGACAGACCAATGATGGCTTCAAAGGATTTCTTTTCCTCAGGTAATACATACCCTTATTCAGTATATATAAAGGAAACAATTTAAATTTCTATTAACATTAAGACTATTTCCTTTTCATGTGTATCTATATATATAAAGCAAAGTGGAGAATGGTGAAACATTCAAAATACCAGAAAATGTCATTGGTTAATGAAAACATTAAGAATTAAAATTAGTAATTAAATGAGGATAATATGGTAAAATTCACACTTTTTCATATTAAAAAAATTAAAATTAAAAGAACAATTAGATAATTGATCATATTTTTATGGAACACAACTACCCATTATCATTTTTAATTCTAAATTTTTTTATTTATAAATTTATAAAAAAGGCCTCTCGCAAGTGCGGAAGCGCATGTGAAGAGGCTAGTTCATTACTGAAATAAACAGAATTTTAGCTAACAAATGCTAATTAAGGCATTAGTCTAAGTGAGAAGACGGTGAAGCAAGATAGAACCAACAGAAACCACATGATCAAGATCCCAAACCTTCTAAAACCAATAACTAATATATATTGCCTGTACTGGAAACGAAAATGAACTCTACATTCATCAGTTTGTGCAGCAACAAACTGAACCATGATAATTATATATAGCAAACAAAGATCATTAATTCAATATCCTTAACAAAAATAAAAATAGCAATATCAACAGTGAACAAAAGATGGCAGTAAAATGCCTCAATAATATCTAATGAAAGATGTACGGATTCCCAGCTCTGCTCCTCAAGTACTCACATCACATTACAGGTTGTTTTCTACTACCTGTAATCCCACCTTCTTTTTTTTGGTTACATGTAATCCCTCCTTCCATCCGCTTTTTCTTTTTCTTTTGTTTTTAATTATTCCGCTTGCATTCTTGGGTTTTTTCTGGTTTGCTTTTTCATGATGCATTAAGGCTACTTCATGTTTGGCTTCGTCCTGCAAAACCCAATTATATTATGTGAGAAAAACTATATCCAAATGCTAATAAAAACACTTATAGACATGCAAACAATTGAGTCTCTTGATTCATGGTCATTAGAAAGAAAAAAAAAAATCAATTTCATGTAAACACATTTCTTTTACCTCATGCATCAAAGAATTCTCATCCAAAGTGGTGTCATCTTCTTGTTTTGGCTGCTTCATGCTTGCTGCACTTTTACCTTCTTCGGGTTCATAATCCCCGCACTCTCTGAGAGTCATAATCATCATAAACAATAAAATCCAATGTACAGATTAATGTTATGATTAAAACATGAGAAACGTGAAGAAAACTTACGGAGTAAAGCCGAGCGTAAGCATGAACCAATTACGAACATCGATTTTCACACGAAGAACAGTTGAATGCAAGGTCTCGATCATTCCTTGAACAATTTGAAACGTGGTGATACAAAGATGTTGAACCTCATCACATTCTTCGTTAGTGCCAGTCTTAACATGAACGAAGTCTTGGTTCCCAAGATGAACCAAATAGTCAGTCACAAGACCATCAAATTGCAAAGGTGGATAAGCAATGTCAAGGCCGTTCAATTTAAATTGCTGGACTAGTGAATACGCAATATCACCGTCATCGACTACCTTCCTCCTCAAGGAATATGCTATAATCTCATCCGTCCTAAAATAATTTAAGGCATATATAGTCTCACCTACAACCACGGCTCTCCCTTGGAAAGGAGTACAAGTGCCAATTTCAACTTGTTTCCAATTCTTTCTACCCACATGGAAAGCAACGACATCAAAGTTTCCATGCAAGTCAGACAATGTATACAAAATAACGCCATAACCAACAGCAAAACCAGTTACCTCCGTAGTAAACTTATAAGAAAATGGAAATGAAGGCATTTGCACCCAATCCTTCTTATCATGGTTATATTTCCCAAAGAATAAGCTTGAACCTTGTACGAATTCCGTTTCGGTTTCAAGAAAATAAAGTGTGCCGTATGCCGACACAACTGTTCCATGCTGCTTAAACTGTACAGTAGAAGGTGTTAAGCAATCTAATACCCTAGTTTTCGTATCAAAGATATACCCTCCAAATGAATCAACGCAAGGTTTATCCCAACCCTCCTCTGAAAACACATATAGTTGGGAGCGGTCGAAAAGCCTTGCACCCAAATGGGTAGAACCACTAAACTTGGCTACACGTGCTACTCGTGCACTCATATCATCAACTTCTCCTCCAAATTTGAATTTAACTTCATATATGGCATCAGTGTATTTGCCCCTAAGGAAAGTTACCATTAAAAACAAAGATCTATCTTCCCCTTGATTTATCGTCGTTGATGCATTCTCAACCATGGGCAAGCTGGACAGAGAAGAGAGATATACAAAACAAGTCAAATTAATCTTTCCAAACAACTTCCAGACCTAGAGAGAATTAATTATGAATGAAGCCAAAGCTACACAATCTACATAGCAAGGTAAACATTTTATATCATATAACATATATAAAAAAACTAGCGATGCAAATGGGAAACAAAAATTAAGACGATGAAATCTACATAGCAAGCCATCGACTGACCCATGTTTGCGACTGTCGGCCCTACTGCAGCTTAGTAGGCGAAGCTCCTTCGAAATTAATTTCTTCAAATCGATCAGTTGGATTTTCTGGGCCAAAAGCGCGGCTAGATATTTCTCGTTCTCCCCCAGTTCTCGCTGAGACTTCTCCATCGCCCATATCTTGCGCAGAGATTTCTTGATCTTCGATGTCTTGGCAAGGAGTTCATCCTGGCATGAAGCCGTCGTCAAGGCACGGTCTTGATCGGAGGTGAGCTCACCGGCCATGATATTGAAATGCTTAACTGAGGCAAAATGGAATTTAGGGTTGGTTGTGGGTATGAAATATAACCTAAAGCGTGGAATTAATTCAATTGATCAATATGCTTTCCATTCATCCGTAAAGTCATGTATTCATATAATGACCTAATTAATCTTGATAGGAGCAGGAAACTTTTTATTCAAAAATTATTTTTATTTTAAGGAAGAATCAGGAAACTTTTATTAATATTATTTTAATCAAGGAAGAAACAGGAACCTTTTTATTGCTGATCAAATAAAACGCAGGAAATTTTTATTTATTTTTGGTTGAGAGAAAACAGGAAACTTATAATTGTTTTTGAATATGCGTATGGTATTTATATGTAGGACTTACTTTCTAATTTAGTAGGTGTGGGTGTATTGACCGCTTTATTCTATTTAGTTTTCCTTTTTTTAAAATTTCTCTCCCTTTATTCTATTTGGTTTCCCGTTTCAAAATTCCTAGTGTTACCTGTTTGTTTATTTCTTACCCTTTTTATGATTTCTCTCCCTTTATTCTTTAGGGCCAATTGAAGAAGATGTTTAGTTCAAAGCCCTATATAATTTACCTTCTTCTCTCCCTCGCTCTTTGATTTTGTGGCCTCAGTGTAAAGCCCTATACAATTTACCTTCTTCTTTGATTTTATTGCCTCACTCTCGTTAATCAAAGGTGCTGGTGGACTGGATCTCCCTTTGACTCCATCGTTTTTACTTCATTGTCCAAGATAATCAAAGGTTACCTCACGCTTTCTCAGTTATATTTTAGTTTTTCTTTTCTTTTGAACATTGTAGTAGTATTTTTTCTATTTGGCACACTGCTGTTTTTTTTTTGTTTTTTTTACCTTACTCTTCTTTTTGAGCTCAAGTGTTTTCTAAGGATACTGTTTGCAATGTGTACTTAGTTTGCTGGAGAAGATGCAATGTGTTTTATTAATATAAGTATTAACTATTTGTTCATTTATATCTTTTCTTGCAGATTACTTTCATTGCTAAGAAATCTTTTCGGTAAAATGGATGACCAGAGAGATTTATCTGTCTTTGTTCGACGGTTGCATGGTGAAATAATTCAAAGGACAAGGTCATTGGTTCTAGGCTTTGTTATTACAGTTTCAAGTTTAATCTTACAATAATTTCTAAAGAATTGTATGAGGGGCATTTGCATTTATCTTTTGATCCTCATGGGGTACCGATAAATGCGGTGTTTGTAAAAGTTGATCAAGCAGATGCAAAAAAAATATTTCAAAGGACTTCTGCAGCTAATGATGGTATTGTTTTAAAGCCGTGGACGTATGTGTTCTCCCGACAAAAGAAGAAGTTGTTTGGCGACTTGCCTAAGAAAGCAGATTTGAAGAAGGGAATCTGGACTCTATGTTATGATCGCTTCGAACACACTCTTATATATCAAAGATTTCATGGCATCAGTAGATTAAAGATTTCATATACAGAACTGAATATTAGTTTATTTTATTTTATATATCAAAGATTTCATGGCATCAGTAGATTAAAGATTTGGTACAACTGCAGTATTAAAACAAGTACGTGTGACACTAGGGACAGCGCCTTTTATATACATGCGCGACATTTTTCTTTCCAGCAATTACTAAGTTAACTACTACCAATAATTTATTGCTGAAACAAAACAATGAATGTAGTGATGTAATATCAATAATTTACTAACGCAAAAAAATCCTCACCAGCAGTCTGTGTGTATATATATATATGTTGTCGTTCTTTTGTAAGTTAAACAACAGCAAAATGAAAAGTTCACGGTAATACAAAATCCGAAAATTAACAGAGGTTTTGCTGTCATCTTTTCTGGTTAACGGTAATTCAAGCCGTGTCTTCCACTAAAGACAGACCAATGATGGCTTCAAAGGATTTCTTTTCCTCAGGTAATACATACCATTATTCAATATATATAAAGGAAACAATTTAAATTTCTATTAACATTTAGACTATTTCCTTTTCATGATTTCTATTAACATTTAGATTATTCAGTATATATGATTTTATTGCTTCACTCTCGTTAATCAAAGGTGCTGGTGGACTGGATCTCTCTTTTTTTGCTTCATTGTCCAAGATAATCAAAGGTTACCTCGTGCTTTCTCAGTTATATTTTAGTTTTTGTTTTCTTTTCTTTTGAACATTGTAGTAGTATTGTTTGTTCTTACGTATACTGTATACTTTGGACGATTTTGTTCGCTTCGTTCTTTATCAGCACACTTATGTTGACGTGGAATTTTTAAAGCGTTTCTCTTTTTGATGTTCTTATTTTAATCTGTCATTGACAGTGTTAGTCTTTTCAAAATTTTTTTTGCAAGATGTTGATGTTTGTTCATGTATTTGACACTCTTTCTCCACAAATATTTTTCTTTTTCGAAAAATAAGACTAACGCTGAAAGTAATTTTTGGGGTAAAATTTCTTTTCATATGACTAAATCGAAAAATTAGTTGTGAATAATGTGGCCAGTAGCGGGCCTTTTAATATAAAATTAACTTACTTTTATGTTAAAACAACATTTCACAATTTTAATGAGAATTAATAATATCTCTTTCCCCTATAACACTAAGGGCCTATATGGCAGTAAAATGCCTCAATAAAAATATCTCTGCTCCAGGTACTTAATAATAACAGATTGTTTTCTACTGCCTCTACCTGTAATCCCTCCTTCCATCCGCTTTTTCTTTTTCTCTTTTTGTCTTCTGTTTTTGTTTATTCCGTTTGCATCTTTCTGGTTGGCTTTTTCATGCTGCATTGAGGCTATTTCCAGCTTGGCTTCTTCCTACAAAATCCAATTATATATTATGAGAAATTAGACCCAAAGACTAATAAAATCACTTATAGATGCAAAAAATTGAGTCTCTTGATTCATGGTCATTAAATGAATAAAAAGACTTCATGTAAACACATTCCTTTTACCTCCCACATAAAAGAACTCTCATCCAAAGGGATTTCATCTTCTTGTTTTGGCTGCTCCATGCTTGCTGCAGTCTCCCCTTCTACGGGTTCATAATCCGCACATTCTCTGACAGTCATATTTATCATAAACAACAAAATCTAACTTACAAATTATTGTTATTGATGAATACATGAGAAATGCGAAGAAAACTTACGAAGCAAAGCCGAACATAAGCGTGAACCAACTATTGGCCTCAATATCCACAGGAAGGACTGTTGAATGTAATGTCTCGATCATATGTCTACTTTCTTCTTGAACAATTTGAAACGTGGTGATACAAAGATGTTGAACCTCATCAAATTCTTCGTTAGTGGCAGTCTTAACATGAACGAAATCTTGGTTCCCCAGATGAACCAAATAGTCACTCACAAGTTCATCAAATTGCAAAGGCGGATCTGCAATCTCAAGGCCGTTCAATTTAGATAGTTGCACTAGTGAATATGTAATATCACCGTCATCATCTACCTTCCTCCTCAAGGAGTATGCTATAATCTCCGCCACACTAAAATGATTTAAGGCATATATAGTGTCGCCTACAACCACGGCCCTCCCTCGGAAATGAGTATAAGTGTCAACTTTCACTCGTTTCCAATTATTTCTAGCCACGTGAAAAGCAACGACATCCAAGTTTTGTTGCATGTCAGACAACGCATACAAAATAACGCCATAACAGACGGCATAACCAGTTACGCTCATGATAAATGGATAACAAAATGGAAACAAAGGCAGTCGCACCCAATCCTTCTTATCAGGATTGTATTTCCCAAAACCTAGACTCCGACTTCGTTCGAAGGGAAATTTTGATTCAAGAAAATAAAGTGTGCCATATGCCGACACAAATGTTCCACGCGGCTTAAACTGTACTTTAGAAGGTGGGAAGGGATCTAATGCCCCAGTTTTCGTATGAAAGATATGCCCTGCAAATGACCTAACGTAGGGTTTATCCCAACCCTCCTGTGTAAATACATAAAGTTGGTCGCGGTCGAAAATTCTTGCACCCTGAACGTTAAAACCACTGAATGTGGCTACACGTTTAGTTGCTCCTCCTCCGCCTAGATCATTAACTTCTCCTCCAAATTTGAATTTAACTTCATATATGGCACCGCTGTATTCGCCCCTAACGAAATTTACCATTAAAAACACAGATCTATCTTCCCCTGGATTTACTGTCATCCCCTCCATGGGCAAACTGGACAGAGAAGAGAGATATATAGAACAAGTCAAGTTAAGCTTTCCAAACAACTACCTACCTAGAGAGAATTAATGAATGAAGCAAGGTCAAAAATTTTATTTTAGAAAAAAATAATAATTAAGAAGATGAAATCCCCTAGTAATCCATGCACTGACCTTGTGTAAGGATGAACGGCCCCACTGCCGGCCCTACTGGGGCGTAGTAGGCGAAGCTCATTGGACATTAATTTCTTCAAATCGAGAAGTTGGATTTGCTTGGCCAAAATCGGGGCTAGATAATTCTCGTTCTCCCCCAGTTCGCCCTGATAATTCTCCATATCCCATATCCGACCCAGTTCGCCCAGAGACCTCTCCATCTCCCATATCTTGCGCAGAGATTTCTTGACCTTTGATGTCTTGGCAAGGAGCTCATCCTGGCATGAAGCCATCGTCAAGGCCTGGTCTTGACCCGAGGTGAGCTCAACGGCAGCGGCCATGATATTGGAAAGCAAAATTGAGGCAAAAGGGAATTTAGGGTTTGGGGATGCTGCGGCAGAAGGGAGTTTTAATATGGTTGGTTGTGGGTACTCTATGAAATATATACTGAAGCTTGGAATTCATTCAAGAGATCAATATGCTTTCATTCATTCGTAAAGTATGTATTTATATAATCACCTAATTAATATGCTAGAAACAGGAAAGTTTCTTTCTTTCTTTTTTTCCTGAGAAAAAACAGGAAACTTATAATTGTTTTTGAATATGCGTATGGTATATAGTACGACTTACTTTTCTAATTTAGTAGGTGTGGGTGTATTGACCGCTTTATTCTATTTAGTTTTCCTTTTTTTAAAATATGCGTATGGTATATACATACCATTATTCAGTATATATAATTTCTATTAACATTCAGACTATTTCCTTTTCATGTGCATCTATATATATATATAAAGCAAAAAGCAGAGAATGGTGAAACAACAAAATACCAGAAAATGTAATTGGTTAATGCAAATATTAAGAATTAAAATTAGTAATTAAATGAGGATAATATGGTAAAATTCTTACTTTTTCATATTAAAAAATTAAAATTAAAAGAAAAATTAGATAATTGATCATATTTTTATGGAACACAACTACCCATTATCATTTTTAATTCTAAATTTTTTTTTATGAATTTATAAAAAAAGTCCTCTCACAAGTGCGGAAGCGCATGCGAAGAGGCTAGTTAATTACTGAAATAAACAGAATTTTAGCTAACAAATGCTAATTAAGGCACTAGTCTAAGTGAGAAGACGGTGAAGCAAGATAGAACCAACAGAAACCACATGATCAAGATCCCAAACCTTCTAAAACCAATAACTAATATATATTGCCTGTACTGGAAACGAAATTGAACTCTACATTCGTCAGTTTGTGCAGCAGCAAACTGAGCCATGATAATTATATATAGCAAACAAGGATCATTAATTCAATATCCTTAACAAAAATAAAATATAGCAATATCAACAGTGAACAAAAGATGGCAGTAAAATGCCTCAATAATATCTAATCAAAGATGTACGGATTCCCAGTTCTGCTCCTCAAGTTCTCACATCACATTACAGGTTGTTTTCTACTACCTGTAATCCCACCTTCTTTTTTTTTGGTTACATGTAATCCCTCCTTCCATCCGCTTTTTCTTTTTCTTTTGTTTTTAATTATTCCGCTTGCATTCTTGGGTTTTTTCTGGTTTGCTTTTTCATGATGCATTAAGGCTACTTCATGTTTGGCTTCTTCCTGCAAAACCCAATTATATTATGTGAGAAAAACTATATCCAAATGCTAATAAAAACACTTATAGACATGCAAACAATCGAGTCTCTTGATTCACGGTCATTAGAAAGAAAAAAAAAATCAATTTCATGTAAACACATTTCTTTTACCTCATGCATCAAAGAATTCTCATCCAAAGTGGTGTCATCTTCTTGTTTTGGCTGCTTCATGCTGGCTGCACTCTTACCTTCTTCGGGTTCATAATCCGCGCATTCTCTGAGAGTCGTAATCATCGTAAACAATAAAATCCAACTTATAGATTAATGTTATTGATGAAAACACGAGAAATGTGAAGAAAACTTACGGAGTAAAGCCAAGCGTAAGCATGAACCAATTACAAACATCGATTTTCACAGGAAGAACAGTTGAATGTAAGGTCTCGATCATTTGTCTTCTTCCTTCTTGAACAATTTGAAACGAGGTGATACAGAGATCTTGAACCTTATCACATTCTTCGTTAGTGCCAGTCTTAAAATGAACGAAGTCTTGGTTTCCCAGATGAACCAAATAGTCGGTTACAAGTCCATCAAATTGTGATGGCGGATCTGCAATGTCAAGGCCGTTTAATTCATATAGCTGGACTAGTGAATAGTCAACACCACCCTCATCATCTTCTTTAATCTCCAAGGAGTATGCTATGATCGCCCCCACCTGAAACATATGTAAGGCATAGATAATCTTGCCTACAATCACGGCCCTCCCTCGGAAAGGAGTACAAGTGCCAATTTCCACTCGTTTCCAATTCTTTCTACGCACATGAAAAGCAAGGACATCAAAGTTTCTGTGCAAGTCATTCAATATATACAAAATAACGCCAAAACCAACGGCATGACCAATTACTCCCATACGAAAACTATGAGAAAATGGAAACGAAGGCATTTGCACCCAATCCTTCTTATCAGGGTTGTATTTCCCAAAGAATAAGGCTGGGCCTTGTACGAAGTCCGTTTTGGCTTCAAGAAAATAAAGTGTGCCATATGCCGACACAACTGTTCCATGTTGCTTAAACTGTACGGTAGAAGGTGTTAAGTGATCTAATGCCCTAGTTTTCGTATCAAAGATATACCCTCCAAATGACTTAACGCAAGGTTTATCCCAACCCTCCCTTGAAAACACATATAGTTGGGAGCGGTCGAAAATCCTTGCACCCAAATGGGTGGAACCACTGAACTTGGCTACACGTGCTACTCGTGCACCCATATCATCAACTTCTCCTCCAAATCTGAATTTAACTTCATATATGGCATTAGTGTATTTGCTCCTAATGAAAGTTACCATTAAAAACAAAGATCTATCTTCCCCCTGATTTACCGTCGTTGATGCATTCTCAACCATGGGCAAGCTGGACAGAGAAGAGAGATATACAAAACAAGTCAAATAATCTTTCCAAAAAACTTCCAGACCTAGAGAGAATTAATGAATGAAGCCAAAGCTATACAATCAACATAGCAAGATAAATATTTTATATTATATAATATATATGAAAAACAGCGATGCAAATGGGAAACAAAAATGAAGAAGACGAAATCCACTAGTAAGCCATGCACTGACCTTGGGTAAGGACGAACGGCCCCATGTTTGCGACTGACGGGGCGTAGTAGGTCAAGCTTCTCCGATATTAATTTCTTCAGCGCGGCTAGAGATTTCTCCATCTTTGATATCTTGCCCAGTTCGCCCAACGATTTCTCCTTCTCCCATATCTGTCCCAGTTCGCTCAGAGAGTTCTCCATCTCCAATATCTTGGGCAGAGATTTCTGGATCTTCGATATCTTACCCAGGAGCTCATCCTGGAGTGATGCCATCGTCAAGACATGGTCTTGACTGGAGGCTGCTGCGGCCATAATCTTGAATGCTAAATTGAGGCAAAAGGGAATTTAGGGTTGGTTGTGGGTATGAAATATAAGCTAAAGCCTGGAATTAATTCAATTGATCAATATGCTCTTTCATTCATCCGTAAAGTCATGTATTCAAATAATGGCCTAATTAATCTTGATAGGAGCAGGAAACTTTTTTTTAAAAAATATTTTTATTTTAAGGAACAAGCAGGAAACTTTTATTAAATATTATTTTTATGAAGGAAGAAACAGGAACCTTTTTTATTTTTAGCCAAATAAAACACGGGAAACTTCTTTTTTTTTTTTTTTTTTTTTTTGAGAAAACAGGAAACTTACTTTTCTATTTTAGTAGGTGTAGGTATATGACCGCGTTACTCTATTTGGTTTCCCGTTTACTTGTTTCCCTTTGATTAATTGAGGAAGTCGTTTAGTTCAAAGCCCAATTTAATTGACCTTCTTCTTTGATTTTATTGCTTCACTCTCATTAATCAAAGTTGCTCGCGGACTTGATCTCTCTGACTCCATCGTTTTTGCTTCATTGTCCAAGATAATCAAAGGTTACCTCATCTCATGCTTTCTCAGTTATTTTTTTGTTTTTGTTTTTGTTTTTCTTTTCTTTTGATTATTATTTGTTTTTATTTTTATTGTTTCTATATTGGTTAGAGTTGTGCACTTAGTTTTCTCTAGGATTTTTTTTTTTTTTTTTTTTTTTTTTTTTTTTTTTTTTTTTTTTTTTTTTTTTTTTAAAATTTTTTATTTTTTTTTACTTCTTCTTTTTGAGCTCTAGTGTTTTCTAAGGATACTGTTTGTTCTTACAAGTATACTTTTTAAAAGATGTTGAATGATTTGGAAGGCTAAAGTGCATTGCAATGTGTGTACTGTGTTTGCTGGAGAAGATGCAATGTGTTTTATTAAATGTTTGTTTGTTTCTATCTTTTCTTGCAGATTACTTTAATCGGAAAGAATTCTTTTCGGTAAAATGGATGACCAAACAGAGTTATCTAACTTTGTTCGACGGTTGCATAATGATAATAGTCTACCTGTAATCCCACCTTCTTCTTTTTGGTTACATTTAAGGGAGATTCACTATTATATCCAATATGGGGGCCCAAATTATAAAAATACAAATTTATAAATAAACCTAATCCTAGACATGTATTTATAAAAAAACCCAAGCACTATTTAAACATAGAAACACACCCAAAATCAACAATTGTATATTTTTTGGGTGTGTTTATAAATGGGTTTTGAGTGTGTGTAATGATGAGTTTTGGGTGTGTTTATAAAGTGTTTTGGGTGTTGGATTTTTTTATAATTTCAACCCCCATTTTGGGTGTTTTAGTGAAACTCCCAAAAATACCATATATTTAATGGACTTTAGAAATACACCCAAAGCCCATTTACAACATAACAAAAAAGCTTTTAACTTCTTTTAAATTACAAAACTGTCATCAATTTTTTAAAACAAGCCCAACCCCAAAATCTCATAAAAATACCCAGAACACTCAATAGGGTATCAAAGTAATTTAATAATCAATATTAAATTCAATAAGGCCAACTATCATTTTTTGAGTTTTTTTGGGGTTTGTTTATAGAAATTCAATTGTGTAGGGTTTATTTATAATATTAGTGCTAGAAATGGGTATATTACTAAATATCTCTCCTTCCTTCCATCCGCTTTTTCTTTTGTTTTTAATTATTCTGCTTGCATTCTTGGGTTTTTTCTGGTTTCCTTTTTCATGATGCATTAAGGCGACTTCATGTTTGACTTCTTCTTGCAAAACCCAATTATATTATGTGAGAAACTAGATCCAAATGCTAATAAAAACACTTATAGACATGCAAACAATTGAGTCTCTTGATTCATGGTCATTAAAGAAAGAAAAAAAAATCAATTTCATGTAAACACATTTCTTTTACCTCATGCGTCAAAGAATTCTCATCCAAAGTGGTGTCACCTTCTTGTTTTGGCTGCTTCATGCTTGCTGCACTCTTACCTTTTGCAGGTTCATAATCCCCGCACTCTCTGAGAATTGTAATCATCGTAAACAACAAAATCCAACGTACAAATTAATGTTATTGATGAAAACATGAGAAGTGTGAAGAAAACTTACGGAGTAAAGCCGAGTGTAAGCATGAACCAATTACAAACATCAATTTTCACAAGAAGAACAGTTGAATGTAAGGTCTTGATCATATGTCTTCTTCCTTCTTGAACAATTTGAAACGTGGTGATACAAAGATCTTGAACCTTATCACATTCTCCGTTAGTGCCAATCTTAAAATGAACGAAGTCTTGGTTTCCTAGATGAACCAAATAGTCGGTTACAAGTCCATCAAATTGTGATGGCGGATCTGCAATGTCAAGGCTGTTTAATTCAGATAGCTGGACTAGTGAATATTCAATACCACCCTCATCATCTTCCTTAATCTCCAAGGAGTATGCTATGATCTCCTCCACCTGAAACATATGTAAGGCATAGATAGTCTTGCCTACAATCATGGCCCTCCCTCGAAAAGGAGTACAAGTGCCAATTTCAACTTGTTTCCAATTCTTTCTACCCATGTGAAAAGCAACGACATCAAAGTTTCCATGCAAGTTAGACAATGTATACAAAATAACGCCATAACCAACAACAAAACCAATTACCTCCGTAGTAAACTTATAAGAAAATGGAAACGAAGGCATTTGCACCCAATCCTTCTTATCAGGGTTTATTTCCCAAAGGAATAAGCCTGAACCTTGTACGAATTCCGTTTCGGCTTCAAACAAATAAAGTGTGCCATATGCCGACACAACTATTCCATGCTGCTTAAACTGTACAATAGAAGGTGTAAGCGATCTAATGCCCTAGTTTTCATATCAAATATATACCCTCCAAATGAATCAACGCAAGGTTTATCCCAACCCTCCTCTGAAAACACATATAGTTGGGAGCGGTCAAAAAGCCTTGCACCCAAATGGGTAGAACCACTAAACTTGGCTACACGTGCTACTCGTGCACCCATATCATCAACTTCTCCTCCAAATTTGAATTTAACTTCATATATGGCATCAGTGTATTTGCCCCTAATGAAAGTAACCATTAAAAACAAAGATCTATCTTGCCCCTGATTTACCGTCGTTGATACATTCTCAACCATGGGCAAGCTGGACAGAGAAGAGAGATACACAAAACAAGTCAAATTAATCTTTCCAAACAACTTCCAGACCTAGAGAGAATTAATGATGAATGAAGCCAAAGCTACACAATCTACATAGCAAGGTAAACATTTTATATCATATAACATATATAAAAAAACTAGCGATGCAAATGGGAAACAAAAATTAAGAAGATGAAATCTACATAGCAAGCCATGCACTGACCCATGTTTGCGACTGTCGGCCCTACTGCAGCTTAGTAGGCGAAGCTCCTTCGAAATTAATTTCTTCAAATCGATCAGTTGGATTTTTTGGGCCAAAAGCGCGGCTAGATATTTCTCGTTCTCCCCCAGTTCTCGCTGAGACTTCTCCATCGCCCATATCTTGCGCAGAGATTTCTTGATCTTCGATGTCTTGGCAAGGAGTTCATCCTGGCATGAAGCCGTCGTCAAGGCATGGTCTTGACCGGAGGTGAGCTCACCGGCCATGATATTGAAATGCTTAACTGAGGCAAAATGGAATTTAGGGTTGGTTGTGGGTATGAAATATAACCTAAAGCGTGGAATTAATTCAATTGATCAATATGCTTTCCATTCATCCGTAAAGTCATGTATTCACATAATGACCTAATTAATCTTGATAGGAGCAGGAAACTTTTTTTTTTAAAATTATTTTTATTTTAAGGAAGAATCAGGAAACTTTTATTAATATTATTTTAATCAAGGAAGAAACAGGAACCTTTTTATTGTTGACCAAATAAAACACAGGAAACTTCTTTTTTTTTCTTTTTTTTTTGTTGAGAGAAAACAGGAAACTTATAATTGTTTTTGAATATGCGTATGGTATTTATATGTACGACTTACTTTTCTATTTGGTTAGTGTTACCTGTTTGTTTATTTGTTACCCTTTTTATGATTTTTTTGGGGTTTACTGGTGAGATTGGTTATTAGGGCCAATTGAGGAAGGGGTTTACTGGTGAGATTGGGTTTTTGCAGTCATCTTTTCTGGTTAACGGTAATTCAAGCCGTGTCTTCCACTAAAGACAGACCAGTAATGTTGGCTTCAAAGGAATTCTTTTCCTCAGGTAATACATACCATTATTCAGTATATATAAAGGAAATAATTTAAATTTCTATTACTGAAATAAACAGAATTTTAGCTAACAAATGCTAATTAAGGCATTAGCCAAATTGAGAAGACGGTGAAGCAAGATAGAACAAACAGAAACCACATGATCAAGATCCCAAACCTTCCACAACCAATGACTAATATATATTGCATGTACTGGAAACGGAATTGAACTTTACATTCATCAGTTTGTTTAGCAACACACTGAACCATGATAATTATATATAGTAAACAAGGAACGTTAATTCAATATCCTTAACAAAAACAAAAAATAGCAATATCAATTGTGAACAAAAGATAACAGCCAATAAGGGCCTAGATGGCAGTAAAATGCCTCAATAATATCTAGGGACATTTTGGAAAAAGCAAAAGGAGAGAGAAAAATTTTAAAAGAAGCAAAAATGGACAAAAATGACCTTATTTATTTTTAGATTTCCTAAGGAATCTAATACATTTGCATGTCTTTAATTTGAAAGTTGAGCAGTTTTTTTGTCTTTTTTGAAAAAGCTTTGGCTTTTTCCAAAAGTGAAATTTTTTTTATGTCTAAAACATAAAAAACCTTATTGGGTGTCAAAGACGATGCCCTGCTCTGCTCCTCAAGTACTTACATCACAGCTTGTTTTCTACTACCTGTAATCCCTCCTTCCAAAAGCATTTTCTTTTTGTCTTTTTGTCTATTGTTTTCAATTATTCCGTTTGCATCCTTGTGATTTTTCTGGCATGCTTTTTCATGCTGCATGAAGGCTATTTCATGTTTGACTTCTTTCTGCAAAACCCAATTATATTACGTGAGAAACTAGACCCAAAGGCTAATAAAAACACTTATAGACATGCAAACAATTGAGTCCCTTGATTCATGGTCATTAAAGAAAAAGAAAAAGAATTCATGTAAACACATTTCTTTTACCTCGTGAATCAAAGAATTCTCATCCAAAGTGGTTTCATCTTCTTGTTTTGGCTGCTTCACGCTTGCTGCACTCTTCCCTTCTACGGGTTCATAATCCCCGCACTCTCTGGGAGCCGTAATCATCATAAACAACAAAATCCAACATACAAATTAATGTTATTGATGAGAACACAAGAAATGTGAAGAAAACTTACGGAGTAAAGCCGAACGTAAGCAAGAACCAATTACAGTCCTCGATTTTCACAGGAAGAACAATTGAATGTAAGGTCTCGATCATATGTCTTCTTCCTTCTTGAACAATTTGACACGTGGTGATACAAAGATGTTGAACGTCATCACATTCTTCGTTAGTGGCAGTCTTAACATGAACAAAGTCTTGGTTCCCCAGATGAACCAAATAGTCAGTCACAAGTTCATCAAATTCCAATGGCGGATCCGCAATCTCAAGGCCGTTCAATTTACATAGCTGGACTAGTGAATATGCAATATCACCGTCATCATCTTCTTTCATCTCCAAGGAGTATGCTATGATCGCCTCTGTCTGAAACATATGTAAGGCATAGATAGTCTTGCCTACAATCATGGCCCTCCCTCGGAAAGGAATACAAGTGCCAATTTCCACTCGTTTCCAATTCTGTCTACCCACATGAAAAGCAACGACATCAAAGTTTCCGTGCAAGTCAGACAATATAAACAAAATAATGCCATAACCAACTGCATAACCAATTACCCCCATAGTAAATGTATAAGAAAATGGAAACCGAGGCATTTGCACCCAATCTTTCTTATCATGGTTGTATTTCCCAAAGTATAAGGCTGAACCTTCTATGAATTCCGTTTTGGCTTCAAGAAAATAAAGTGTGCCATATGCCGAGACAACTGTTCCATGTTGCTTAAACTGTACGGTAGAAGGTGTTAAGCGATCTAATGCCCTAGTTTTCGTATCAAAGATATACCCTCCAAATGACCTAACGCAAGGTTTATCCCAACCCTCCTCTGAAAACACATACAGTTGAGAGCGGTCAAAAATCCTTGCACCCAAATAGGTAGAAGAACTGAACGTGGCTACTGGTTCAAGTGGTCCTCCTCCGCCCATATCTTCAACTTCTCCTCCGAATTTGAATTTAACTTCATATAAGGCATCAGTGTTGCCCCCTGTGAAAGTTACCATTAAAAACAAAGATCTATCTTCCCCTTGATTTACTGTCGTTGATGCATTCTCTACCATGGGCAAGCTGGACACAGAAGAGAGATATACAAAACAAGTCAAGTTAATCTTTCCAGACAACTTCCAGACCCAGAGAGAATTAATGAATGAAGCCAAAGCTACACAATCTACATAGCAAGGTAAACATTTTATATTATATAATATACAAAACAAAAAAACAGATGCAAATGGGAAACAAAAATTAAGAAGATGAAATCCACTAGTAAGCCATGCACTGACCTTGGGTAAGGACGAACGGCCCCATGTTTGCGACTGAAGGGGCGTAGCAGGCCAAGCTCCTCCGATATTAATTTCTTCAGCGCAGCCAGAGATTTCTCCATCTCCGATATCTTGCCCAGTTCGCCCAACGATTTCTCCATCTCCCATATCTGTCCCAGTTCGCTCAGAGAGTTCTCCATCTCCGATATCTTGGGCAGAGATTTCTGGATCTTCGATATCTTACCCAGGAGCTCATCCTGGCGTGATGCCATCGTCAAGGCATGGTCTTGACTGGAGGTGAAGTTAACGGCTGCGGCCATAATATTGGAATGCTAAATTGAGGCAAAAGGGAATTTAGGGTTTGGGGATGCCGCGGCAGACGGGAGTTTTATTCAAGAGATGAATTTGCCTTCATTCATCCGTGAAGTGATGTATTTATATAACGTCGTAATTAATCTTGAAGTGATGAAAACTTATAGTTGTTTTGAATATGCGTAGGTGTAGGTGTATATATATGTACGACTTACTTTTCTAATTTAGTAGGTGTAGGTGTATTGACCGCTTTATTCTTTTTACTTTCCCGTTTAAAAATTCCTAGAGTTACCTGTTTGTTTTTTTGGGGTTTACTGGTGAGATTGGGTTTTAGGGCCAATTGAGGCAAAAGGGTTGGTTGTGGGTATGAAATATAAGCTAAAGCGTGGAAATAATTCAATTGATCAATATGCTTTCCATTCATCCGTAAAGTCATGTATTCATATAATGACCTAATTAATCTTGATAGGGGCAGGAAACTTTTTTTAAAAAATTATTTTTATTTTAAGGAAGAATCAGGAAACTTTTATTAATATTATTTTAATCAAGGAAGAAACAGGAAAGTTTTTATTGTTGACCAAATAAAACACAGGAAACTTTTTTTTTGTTTTTTGTTTGAGAGAAAACGGGAAACTTATAATTGTTTTTGAATATGCGTATGGCATTTATATGCACGACTTACTTTTCTATTTGGTTTCCCGTTTTAAAATTCTTGGTGTTACCTGTTTGTATTTTTTGTTACCCTTTTTATGATTTTTTTGGGGTTTACTGGTGAGATTGGGTTTTAGGGCCAATTGAGGAAGTGGTTTAGTTCAAAGCCCTATATAATTTACCTTCTTCTTTGATTTTATTGCTTCACTCTCGTTAATCAAAGGTGCTGGTGGACTGGATCTCTCTTTGACTCCATCGTTTTTGCTTCATTGTCCAAGATTATCAAAGGTTACCTCATGCTTTCTCAGTTATATTTCTGTTTTGTTTTGTTTTCTTTCGAACATTGTAGCAGTATTTTTTTCGATTTGGATAGAGTTGTGCATCCCAGTTTTCTTAGGATGTACAGTGCTGTTATTATTATTATTATTTTCCAACTTACTCTTCTTTTTGAGCTCAAATGTTTTCTAAGGGTACTGTTTGTTCTTACAAGTATACTCTCTGCAAGATGTTGAATGATTTGGAAGGCTAAAGTGCATTGCAATGTGTACTTTGTTTGCTGGCTGATTAAAAGTTGCTGGAGAAGATGCAATGTGTTTTATTAACTGCTTGTTTGTTTCTATCTTTTCTTGCAGATTATTTTCATTGCTGAGAATTCTTTTCGGTAAAATGGATGACCAGAGAGAATTATCTGACTATGTTCGAAAGTTGCATCATGAAAATAATTCAAAGCACAAGGTCTTTGGTTCTAGGCTTTGTTATTACAGTTTCAAGTTTAATCACAGAATTTCTGAAGAATTGTATGAGGGGCATTTGCATTTATCTTTTGATCCTCAAGGGCCACCGATAAATGTGGTGTTTGTAAAAGTTGCTCAAGAAGATGCAGAAACAATATTTCAAAGGACTGCTGCAGCTAATGATGGTGTTGTTTTACGGCCGTGGACGTATTTGTTCTCCAAACAAAAGGAGTTTGACGACTTGCCTGAGGATACAGATTTGAGGAAGGGAATTTGGGTTCTATGTTATGATAGCTTCGAACTCAATCTTAAACATTGGACAAATCTGGTGAAGCCAAAGCCTAAGGGAATTGCTTATAATGATAGTCTTAAACTACCTATCAAGACTAGCGATGATCGTCTTAACGAATTTTGTATTTATTTGCAAAAGAGGGGTTATATCATGGTGGGTTGGGTTCACGGAGTAATTATGTATTTATTTGCAAAAGTTTGAAGATAATTAATATTAAGGGATCTTTAGATAAGTTAACTGATGAACAATGTGAGGCGCAGAAGAAAGAAGATATTACGGACCTTTTATGGATGTTGGACAACTGGTTCGAATCGATACTAGCGGGGGGAAACGAAGTTGGCCGGAATGTCAACACTTCTTTGATTTTGTCAACCATGCTAAGATTGAGAATTTCAGGTGAGTTGTCTATCTCTTTTGTTTTGTTTTATCTTTATCTTTTTTACTTTATTTCTTATTGGATGTTCTTTTTGTCTTTTCAGCTGTGATGTATTTGTCAAAAAAGTGCTGGGTCATCCGTTTTTGTTAAAAGCTGATCAAAGGATGCGTCTCTTTGATCATTATGACACTACGAGGAATTGTCCAACTACTGCTCGACGTGTCAACTTCGCTTTGGCATTATCCGCTTTTGATAATTTCAAATCCTGGAACTCTACTTCAACCGTTAATAACATGGATGGCTTTATGTTGGGTGTTTATAACCACTCCGCATCAACAAAAAAACAACAAAAAAAGAAAGCAAATTACTCTGGGACTGTGAGCAGTCTTCTTAGGTACCTCAGGAATCTGAATCATCATTATCATAAACATGGTTTGGCTGCTGGTTCTCTGGAGGATGTGGAACGTGGTGCTACAACACATTTTCGTGGGTTTTTGGAGCTGCTTTACAGGCATTTAGAATTATAGTGGGAGCGCTGTGTGGTTCATTTCATGGTGTTATTTTATTTTGTTATTTTTTTTGGTCGAAGGTGTTATTTTATTTTGTATATCAAAGATTTCATGGCATAAGTAGATTAAAGATTTGGTGTACAATATTAGTTTAAGGACTTGTTTGGCAACTGCAATCTTAAAAAATTCAAACAGTATTACCACATCAGAACGAGATTTTTCTGAAATAAATCCGCTTTATAAACAGGGAATCAAATTCTTTGTTCAAGATTTGCACCTTATTTTGAATCCTCTAATCAGTTAGAAAGGCTACCTCTTCAGTCGTGTAAATTTTAAGGTTTTTTAGGTTTTAGACATAAAAAAATTTTCACTTTTGGAAAAAGCCAAAGTTTTTTCAGAAAAGACAAAAAAACCGCTCAACTTTCAAATCAAAGACATGCAAATGTATTGGATTCCTTAGGAAATCTAAAAATAAATAAGGGCATTTTTGTCCATTTTTGCTTCTTTTAAAATTTTTCTCTCTCCTTTTGCTTTTTCCAAAATGTCCCTAAATTTTATACATAATTCAGTCTTTAGAAACCACATGATCAAGATCCCAAACCTTCTAAAACCAATAACTAATATATATTGCCTGTACTGGAAACGAAATTGAACTCTACATTCTTCAGTTTGTGCAGCAACAACCTGGGCGACAACATTATCAGTCATCATCTGACCCAAGAATCTGCTGCTTAAGAACCTGAATTTTAGCAACAAATAAATAAGATTTTTTTTCTTTTTTTTATATTGTCAGAGATAACTCCTCGCCGCTGCCAAACATGTATGTTGAAGTCTCGGAAACATGTTTAAGTCATTGAAATTTATTCAGAGATAGACAAGGTTGGGGAGTACCAGGTGCAGAGGCAGTTCCAGTCCCAGCTGCTGAGGCATGGGAACGGCTGTAATGTCATATGAGCTGATATTATACATATTTTTCTAGTAAGGAAAAGTTTGTGGCTGCCTTACTTATTTAATTCCTTTATGTTATGGGGCTGTACTTTTCATGTTATATTCAACCATATTAAGTCTTTAAAAAGTGTGAAATACTGTGCAGTATATGATCCATTATGAGATTCAGATCGTGAGTAGGTATTATGTGGCAGATTGGACAACAGTTCAAATAGAGTTTACTTGCACGAAGATGAATTTAAGATAAACTTCTTCAGAAAAAATTTATCTGACGATCAGCCCCCTTATGTTCTCTGCCTGGGTAAAATTTGATTGGGTGCCACATAAAATGGCTCAAACGATTTCAAATTTTTTAGGCTGCTGTAAATCAATGGCTTCGTCTGAGGGTACCGATGTAACAGTGAAATCAAACAATTTCATCATTTCTCCCAAATACGGTTTTCCAATTGTTGATTATTAGTCCAGGTAAAAGAATCTACTGCAATGAGTCCAGTACAGTCTTCAAGTTCAACATGCATCAATCAAGTGACAACATTAGATTCATCTAATTTTTCCTGTATAGAAAGGATATATACGTATAAAGAATTTGTTCCCAGTTACTTTACCCCAATAAAATGTCCCAAATAAGAATTTGTTCATCTTTTCGAGGATACATATGTAAAGCCAACAACAAAAAAGTCAACCCAATCCCAGAATCAAATCAAACACAGAGGGTAATAAGAAACGATCATTCATGTAGTGAATACCAACTTGAACATTGTTGTCATTCCAAGCTAGAATCATTCCACCAGCCATACTATTACTAGAGGACAATTCCTAATAACCGATTGGGACATCATTAGCTTCGTCATGCTGCATGGCTTCTATTTCCAGCTTCCTAGCGGTTATTTCTTCTTGTTTTGACTGATTCATACTAGTCACACTCTCCTCTTTTATGGGTTCATAATCCCCATACTCACTGAGTCAAAATAATGAGAAACCTTGTTACATACAAAACACAACAAAATAAAATGTTATTGATGAAGACACAAGAAACCTGAAGGAAACTTACGGTGTGAAGCAGAAAAGAAGTTCAAACCATTTATAGCCCTTGATATCCACAGAATGAACACTTGAATGTATGGTTTTGATCATACATCTTCCTCCTTCTCCAACAACAATTTGAAACGTGGTGATAGTAAGATATTGAACCTTGAGACGTGAATCGCACCATCCAGTCTGGACATGGAAAAAGTCATGATTCCCCAAATGAACCAAATATTGTGTTATATCATTAAACCATGGTAGCTCCGGACGTGCGAACTCAAGGCCTTGTGATATAAAAAGTTGGCTTAGGGAATATGCAATACCATCATAATCATCTTTTCCCATACTAAAAGAGAATGCTATAATCTTTGTCTCCCCACATAAGGCATAGATAGTGTCGCCTACAACCACGGCCCTCCCTTGAAAAGGAGGGGCACAATAATCAGAAGTGTCAAGTTTCACTCGATTCCAGTCCTTTCTACCCACGTGAAAAGCAACGACACCGAAATTCCCATTCCTCAAGCCACACAATGAAATCAAAATAACGCCATAACAAACGGCATAACCAGTTATTTGCATACGGTAGTCATAATCATCATAAAATGGAAAAGAAGTCATTTTCTCCCAAACCTTCCGATCAGAATCATATTTACCGAAGGAGTGCCCCATAACTGGTGAGAATAAGCTTGATGGACATGCAAGATAATAAACCTTGTCATATGCACACACAATAGTTTCTATTGATTTAGAGGCTAGGATAGGAGGACTAGATGAACAGTTTGACCAAGTCTTCGTGTCAAGAATAATTCCACCTTCCTTTCCAATGCAGTATAATTTTGAATGGTTGAAAATCCGTGCAGCCTGACGACAACCACCGTGGAACTTGGCGACATGTCTAACTACTGGGGGTTCATGAGTGACTTCTCCTCCGTGTTTGAATTTGACTTCATAGACTGCATTAGTGTGTTCTTTGTCCTCATAAGAAGACACGAATAAACATACAGATCTAGATTCCCCTTGATTTACCGTCATTAACGAATGTTCCCAATCTTGGGGTAAGCTGGCCAGAGAAGAGAAGAGAGATGCATACAAGTAGTCAAGTTAATCTTTTCAAATACCTACCCTGCCAATAAAGAATTTATCTAGTATATAGAAACTGGTTATTATATATTTAAAGCACAAAATAGTCAAATTGCATGCAGCAGCGAGAGAAAACTTGAGCAAAATTCTCCGAGAAAATAAACAAATAGAAAATTGATAGAAAATTTTGAAAATAAACAAACAACAGCAATGAGAATTAAGAACATCAACAATTTTACAGAGAAACAAAAATGAAGAACACAAAAATCCACTAACCCATGCACTGACCTTGGGTAAAGATCATAGGGTTCTGGGTTGGGATGGCTGGGATTGTAGTTTTCAATCACTGTCCAAGGGGGGCGTAGTAAGCGGAGCTCCTGCGTTATTGATTTCGACAAATCCAACAGTTGGCCCAGAGTTTTCTCCATCTCCGATATCTTGCCTGCAGATTTCTCCATCTCCGATATCTTGCCAAGTAGCTCATATTGATGTGAAGCCATCATGCCTTGACCCACTCAACGCGGAGGCGGAAAATTGAGATATATACCGAGTCCCCATGATAGGGCCTTTGCTATTGAAATGCTTAAATTGAGGCAAAAGGGATTTTAGGGTATATGCTAAAGCTTGGAGTTTATTCAGGAGATCAATATGCTTTCATTATAATCCTTAAAGTCTGAATTGCAAAGCATATGTATTTATATAATGACCTAATTAATCTGCTAGAAACAGGAAACTTTTTTTAAAAATAGTTTTTATTTTTATTTTAAGGAAAGAATCAGGAAAATTTTACTACTATGATTTTTTTAAAGGAAGATACATGAAACCTTCTTTTATTCTTTTATTATTTTTATTTTTTTGAGAGAGAACAGGAAAATTATAATTGTTTTTGAATATGCGTGTGGTATATATATGTACAACTTTACTTTTCTAATTTAGTAGGTGTAGGTCACCTCATAATTTCTCAGTTGTATTTTAGTTTTTGGTTTCTTTTCTTTTGAACATTTTAGTAGTATTTTTTCTATCTGGCTGGAGTTGTGCATCTCAGTTTTCTTACGACGTACACTGCTGCTTTTTTCACCTTATTCTTTTTTTTTTGAGCTCGAGTGTTTTCTAAGGATACTGTTTGTTCTTATAAGTATACTGTATCTTTGGACGATTTTGTTCTCTTCGTTCTTCATTAGCATGCTTATGTTGACGGAAATTTTAATTTCTGTTTTTGTTGGTCTTATTTTAATCTCTAAGTGCTAGTCTTTTCAAATTATTTTTGCATGATGTTGATATTTGTTGGGTGTGATGTAATTGACTCTTTCTGCACCAATATTTACTTTCTAGAAAATAAGACTAACGCTAGCTGAAAGTAATTTTTGGGTAAAATTTCTAATTTTTAATTTTAAAATTTTCAGGAAATGGAGGTTGATCGTGATTTAATTGACGACGCTTACATTGATTACATTAAAAGTCAATGGCGCAACAATAATTCAAAGGACATTGTAATGGGTTCTCGTATCGATTATGCTAGTGGGAAACAACATTACAATGGTGAGCTGTTTTTCAAGGAAAATAAACTAGGTCGAACTCCTGTGACAATTAGAGATGACCCGTCAAAGCTTTTAAGGTTCCTGCGAAACATCTATGCGCATTATAGGCAATATGGTGATATGGAAAAGATCAAGGAAGTGGACGCGATTCTCAGAACACTCTGGGTGGATTTTTTTGATATGATTCATGTCATCACTTAGTTTCTTACACTACTACAACTTTTTCATTTTTTGGTTGAAAAGACTACTACTACAGCTAGATAACATCAATCTGTAGAAGATACTTTAATGCGTCTAATTGTTTGTTTGTTTGTTTGTTTGTTTGTTTGGCTTTTTGTGTGGGTATTTTGACATGAGTTATAGATTAAAACTAAAATAAAGTACTTGCAATAATCAATATATAATGTTTTTTTTTTGGGGGAGAATGCATCAAGCATGAATGAATAGTCGTATATTGTTTGCTTGCTTAATATAAAACCCAGTTTTCCAATATTAAGAAGAGCAATAACCGCGGTATTACCAACAACAATTATTGGGCATAATATACCAAAAGGCTATAAAACTTTTGTACCGTTACCAATGGGGCCCAGTTTACATAGTAGGTGGGCCCCGTTGGCTCGGTTGACCAGATGTCTTCTGAGACCGTCTCGGCCATTGGTGACACTTGGGACTACTTCCGGACTTGTTCGTTTTGGTTTCACACACACACAGGTTATGGGGAAGCGAGGGTTTCACTTAGAAGTCTGGTTTTGGTTCACATGTTATTTTTGACAATTTTATCTCTTGAAACAAAGTCCACTCACAGATGATCCTAAGCTAAATCAACCCTAAATGGGTCTGTCCACAGAAGTACTTGGAGCTAATGTACCTATTTGAGATATACGCATGTTAGATTCAACAAAATATAAATTGAAGTTTAAAAACAAAACCCTAGAGTTTCACGGCTCTAATTGTGTGCAAAGCCTAAGCATGACGTCCATATGGTCGACCGAGCCTGTGGGGGCCAACGACCTCATAATCATGATCTGGATGTTCTATAGGTCAACTACGGTTCAATGGACACATCCTAAAAGTTTGGTCTCGATCCAACAATGGGATCATCCTTCATCTCAAAATCTGACTCCATCTATAAGCGTGACCCAACAAACGTTGATTTGAAATATCCAAACCTCCAATTTTGGATCCGTAAGTTCCTATACAGTCGTGATGGTACAGGGAAAACATCATAAATGGGGTTGATCCAACGATTCGATCGTTCCCGATCAAACGGTCCATAATAGGCGAAACTCCAATTGTTGGTAAAACGACCGAGTCTTGCCAATCCGCGCATACCCTCGAGCTTGAGACGATATGGAGATAACTACATGACAGTAAAACGATCAAGCATGATGAGGGGAGTGTTTTTCGTTCTAGGGTCGAGGTCAAAAAGCATCGGACTTGGCCGGAGTAAGGCCAAACCGGTGGAGGTTCTCGGCTGGTGATTTTCCAACTATAATCGGTTGCAATAGCCAAACCTTTTGGAACAAGAATCACATCCAACAGTGCCCTGACCTGGCCAACTGTCACGGATTCCAAGAGGGAATTTGGGGCGGTCCTGTCATGGAACTTGGCCAATGACCTCTAAATTGGCTAATCTGACTTGTGCTACCTTATAGAAACTTCCCTTATTACGTCCCCCACCCAGGGTAAGAAGTATTCTTGGAGGCTTTCTTCATTTTTTTGCCAACATTTTGTCATGTTTGTTTTTTATATCTTTTTTGAAAAGGGGAAAGAAATTTCTTTGGGAGATTATATTGAGCGTGAAATTCATTAATATTGTAGCTATAAGATAATTGTATGCACATATTTTTCCAGTATGGAGTTTGTGATTCAATTGGAGTTCGCTAGCCATAATAGATTGTACATTTTTAGAGGTGGTTGAACAAATAGGATCCTCACTTGCTAATACTTGTACAACATACTGACCTCTATTTTCTGTGATTGAAATTTCTCTTGATTTTTGTACGCTTTCAGATTGAGATAATGGAATTAGATGAATTTGCGCAAGCTGCTTTTCGTGGATATACAAGTCTCTGAACCGTATTCAGAGCCGCGTATTTCATATACTTTTATTATTATTCTAACGAAAATATACTAGTGCGCAAGTTTATTTTTATTTTTATTTTTATTTTTTTGGATTATGTTGATATCAAACCATTGCAGTGAAAGTGCTGATATATGATATTCTTGAATGTTGATTTCCATTTACTTGCAGGTTGGTGCTCCGGCAGAACGATTATAGCTACGATTTCTGTTCTACTTGAGGTATGCAAAAATGATTGGCTATTCCTCGGTCTCTATACTACTCCTTTTAGGCAATCATACTTTTTCTCTTACTACTTTTTGACTTAATCAGATATTCACACATTTGGTTTTATATTATGTATGAGTGAATCTCCGTTCATTGCATATTTAACTATGGCATGGGAACGGCTGTAATGTCATATGAGCTGGTATTGTATATATTTTTCTAGTAAGGAAAAGTTTGTGGCTGCCTTACTTATTTAATTCCTTTTATGTTATGGGGCTGTACTTTTCATGTTGAATTCAACCATATTAAGTCTTTAAAAGTGTGCAATACTGCGCAGTATATGATTCATTCTGAGATTCAGATCGTGAGTAGGTATTCTGTGGCAGATTGGACAGCAGTTCAAATAGAGTTTACTTGCACGAAGATGGATTTAAGATAAACTTCTTCAGAAAAAATTTATCTGACGATCAGCCCCCTTTATGTTCTCTGCCTGGGTAAAAGTTTGATTGGGTGCTACGTAAAATGGCTCAAACGATTTCAAATTGTTTAGGCTGCTATATGAAATCAGTGGCTTGGTCTGAGGGTGCCGATGTACCAGTGAAATCAAACAATTTCATCATTGCGTAATTTCTCCCAAATACGGTTTTCCAGTTGTTGATTATTAGTCCAGGTAGAAGAATCTACTGAAATGAGTCCAATACAATCTTCATCAAGTTCAACATTTATCAATCAATTGACAACATTAGAGCCATCTAATTTTTCCTGTATAGAAAGGATATCAGCAAAATAGATTGATTCCCGGGTACTTTATCAATAAAATGTCCCAAATAAGAATTTGTTCATCTTTTCGAGGATACATATGAAAAGCCAACAAACAAATAAGTCAACCCAATCCCAGAATCAAATCAAACACAGAAGGTAATAAGAAACGATCTTTCATGTAGTGAATACCAACTTGCATTATTGTCATTCCAAGCTAGAATCATTCCACCAGCCATACCATTACTAGAGGACAACTTGGTTTCCAGAGTAAAAAAAAATATATCTGGACTACAAGTCCGATCCAACAAAAGAAATTCCGATTTAAACCCAGGTCCAGAACAACCTCGACCATTCCTTGAGAGAAACTTCATAGTTCTGATATATAAAAGAAAGGCCGACCAAAGGCTTTTGTTCAGTTTCCATCTTTAGTCCCAAACAGAATCCCAAAACCATTAGTGTCCAGCAAACAAACCAATCCAATCAAAATGACCAGCAGGTCTTGTTAGAAACTGAATAATCCAAACCACAGATAACATATATATTGTTCCATTCCATAAGAGTGAAAAGAGAGCAAGCAAAGAAGTAGGCCTAAAAATCAACCAAATTAAGAGCAAGCCATAAATCAAAAAAGCAAAAATAGAACCAGGTCACAGCTTGAGTAAAACTAATCCATAAAAGATTACCACAGTTTCCATCTCACTCTCAGAAGAATCAAGCCAAAATTAAACAAATATATATATAAAATTAAAATAAGCGCAAGTCAACAAAGACAAAATAAAATGACCTAAACTAAGTTGTAGGAAACTTTTTCTTCTAGGTGGTGGCTGTTGAAGGCTTTGAATTTTCATATTTCACAATTCCTAATAATAACTGATTGGGACATCAGTGGCTTCATCATGCTGCATGGCTTCTATCTCCAGCTTCCTGGCGGTTATTTCTTCTTGTTTTGGCTGCTCCTGTAACCTGGACAAAAAACAGAAGACAGATGTATACAATAAGTCAAGTTAATCTTTTCAAACACCTACCCTGCCTGCCTAGGAAGAATTTATCTAGTAGAACTGGCTATTATATATTTCAAGAAAAAATTAGTCAAAACGTATTTAGCAGCAAGAGAAAACTTAAACAGAATTCTCCAAGAAACTAAACGAAAAGAAAATTGATAAAAAAAAAAAAAAAAAAAAAAAAAAAAAAAACCAACAACAACAACAATGAGAATTAAGAACATCAACAATTTTACAGAGAAACAAAAATGAACAAAACGAAATCCACTGAACTGACCTTGGGTAAAGAACATAGGCCTCCTCTTGGTTGGGATTGTAGTTTTCAATCACCGTGCAAGGTAGCGGCCTCGTTGTTATGGGTGGACCGGGGCGTAGTAACCGAAGCTCCTGCGTTATTGATTTAAACCAATCCAACAGTTGGCCCAGAGTTTTCTCCATCTCCGATATCTTGCCCAGAGATTTCTCGATCGCCAATATCTTGCCGAGTACCTCATCTTGGTGTGAAGCCATCGTCAAGGTATGGCCTTGACCCAAGGTGAGCTCAGAGGCGGCGGCCGAAATTTGAGATATATACCGATCCCCCATGATAGGGCCTTTGCTATTGGAATGCTTAAATTGAGGCAAAAGGGAATTAAGGGAGTTTTTGGGTATGATATGAAAGTTTGGAACTCGCGGAATGTAAAGATAGAAGAGCTAATATCCGCAAACCATTGTATTTATATAATGACCTAATTAATGTTGCCAGAAACGGGAAAGTAATCCTAACCTCCACTAGAAACAGGAAACCTGTTATTTATTTTCTTTAAAATTTTTTTTTTATGAAGGAAGAAACAGGAAAATTTTATATTTTTTTTAATTTTTAATTTTTAATTTTTTTGGGAGGAAGAAACAGGAGACTTATAAGAAGAAGAAACTAAAAAAATAATATACCTGTATGTTTGTTGCCCCTTTTATAGGGCCAATTGAGTAAAAGTGGATTAGTTCAAACACCTATATAATTTACCTTCTGCTCTCCCTCCTCTTGGATTTCTAACTCCTATATAATTTACCTTCTTCTCTCCCTCCCTCTTGGATTTCTAACTCCTATATAATTTACCTTCTTCTCTCCCTCCCTCCTGGATTTCTCTTTCACTCAATATCTTTTTTTGCTTCACTCAAAGGTGCCGCTGGGCCACTCCATATACGTTTTTGCTTCGTTGTCAACGATAATCAAAGGTAATTACCTTGTGCTCTCTCGTTTATAACCTAGTTTTTGTTTTAATATTGCTCATTGAGTTGGTAAGCAAGTTTATTGCTCATTGAGCCTGTCAATTCATTGTTGGTGCATGGTTGTTTTCTGCTATAGTTTTTGTTTTTATTTCCTTTTGAACGTTGTGTTGTTTTTTGTTAGAGTTGTGCATCATAGTTTTTTAAGAATACTTTTCTTTTTGAGCTCAAGTGTTTCCTAAGGATACTGTACAGTGTATCTTTTTGTTGATCTTATTTTAACTTCTCAGTGTTGTTATGCATCATGTTTGTTTGGTGTCATTCAACTGACCCTTTCGGCACAAATATTTGCTGAAAATAATTTTGTGTAAAATGTCTTTTCATATGACTAAATCCAAAAGTTAGTTGTGAATGTTAGTGGTGGGTCAAAACCCATATAAGCTCGTCGTTAATGAAAAGTCCAATAAGGAAAGCAGACTTAATTCAGCTCGTGTGATTTTACAGTAGCTCTATGAGAACTTTTGGTGGGCGCTCGTTTTTTAGTATATGCTATATGAATGAATTAGTACCCAATATCAATTATCACTATTGTTAACAACATGCTTAGGATCTAAGTGATGTTTTTCCTTTTGATGCAACACTGAAATCAAATAATCTGATTGTTTTTTTTTTTTAATCTTAAATTTTCAGGAAATATGGAGGTTGATCGTGATTTAATTGATGATGATTACATTGTTTACATTAAAAAACAATGGTGCAACAATAAGTCAAAAGACATTTTATTGGGTTCTTGTATTAACTTTTACAATTTTCATATTGATTATGCTAGCGAGAAACAATATTATCAGGGTGAGATGTTTTTCAAGGAAGATAGACGAGGTGGAATGCCTGTGACATTTGTGAATATGGATGCTAAGGCTGGAACTAAATTGAGTGTTGAAGAAATTTTTAGGTTGAACATTAAAGTATCTAATAAAAGTATTCTTCGCGCATGGATGTATGCATTTTCCAAACAGAAATCATTTAATGATGAATGCAGTGAGGCTGAAAGTGATATGGAGAAGGGTTGGTGGAGCTTGTGTTATGACAAGTTTGATAAGACACTCTCTGAATGGGTAGGCAACTTTGATCCTACAAAGTTCAATTTGATAGTTGGAAGTAATTGTCTATCTGATTTCTGGCGTGGTACAATACGGTGAGCGTAATAGTATTTTTGTTTTAGTGCTATTAATTAATTAATTTATGGATGTTAACTTCCGTCCAAAAAAATAAAATTATGGATGTTAACTAATGTATTTCATGATTTGGCAGAGATTTAATAGAAGCAATTGCTCAAATTCACTATTGTGGGTTTTTTCACGGTTCGTTGAATCGATATGAAAATTATGTTGTTGTTGGGGACCAAATGAAAATATATAACATCGGTGGTTGTTTGGACGGCTGTAGTAGTGCACATGCCCGATATTCAAAGAAAATGCAGGATTTCATAGACTTCAGGGACACTCTGCAGGATCTGCTGGCACCTGGTTTTACTAATTGGCCTGAGCGTGATACATTTCTTCAATGTTTTGACGATGCTGCAAAATTTAACTTAAGGTGAGTTCTTTTGAACATTATTTTTTGGTGAAATATATGTTGTTGTTTGTGTGTTTATGTGTTGTTTTTTTCCCTTTTCAGCTATAAGGACTATGTTGAGAAATTGAAGAACCACCCCTTTTTATTGACTCCTCGTGGAAGGTTGAAATATGTTACAAGTATTTATAATGATAATCATCTATTTACTATAAACCAGGAGTTGAACAACGGTGATGAATTTCAAGATTTCTATGATTGGTACGAAGACAAAGACAAGGATAACTGGGCTAAGTTTTTGTGTGATATATTTGAGTCTGAAATCAGTAACTCATATGATCGTCGCCCGTCGCAGCTTTTAAGGTTCATGCGAAACATCTATGAACATTATAGGAAATATACTAAGACGAAAACGATTGAGAATGTGGACGAAATTCTTAGGACACACTGGAAGGGTTTTATTGATCGGGTTCATCTGATCAATAAGATTGAAGCTTGTGTGGATGAGGGATGTTGTTCGTGATCATAGCGTATAACTACTTGCTCAGACTATTACAACTAACATCAATTTGTACAAGATATTTTAATAGTTTTTTTTTTTTTTTTTTTTTTTTTTTTTTTTTTTTTTTTTTTTTTTCTTTGGGTCGCTTGACATGAGTTACTTTATCTATAATTGTTCTTAAAATAAAGCTGCATAATATATGTTTTCTTTGGGAAGAATGCATGAAGCATGTATAAATAATCGTGTTGCTTTGCTTATTATAGAACCCCAAATTTAAAACCATAGAGAAAAGATTGACGTAGCCGCACACTGGCCACTCCTCCTCCTCTCTCATTCCCTCTTCCTTTCCACTTAAAATTATTTTTTTCAAATTATTTTTTAATACAAATTTCAATTAATATTTTATTTTATTTACTTGAAAATTAATAAATTATTGAACTTCATATAAAAATAAATCTAAAAGCTAGAAAAGAGAGATGTTTTGAAATTGAACTAGGATAAATATTAGTTATGAGATTAAAAATATAGCATTGAATATAAATAAATATTAAAATTATATATTTTTTAATTTGACTGGTTTGGTTCGGCCCGGTCCAAACTGGTTCGGTTCTATTTTTGACCAATTGTTGACTTTTTGGTCAACTCGATTTTTTTCCCCTTTTTTTCGGTGCAGTTCGGCTCGAATTTCTGGTTTGCCGGTTTGAATGCCCACCCCTACTACATTGATCTCCCCTAGATGTCTAATACCAGGAATGCATCGTGGGAAGGTGTGTCGGTTGAAGAAGTCATTGTATGAATTAAAACAATCTCCTAGAGCTTAGTTTGGAAGATTCACGAAGTCTAAGATATCTTTTGGCTATTGTTAGAGCAACTCATATCACACCTTGTTTTTGAAGAGACATCATGGTAAGATCACTACACTTATTGTATACATAGATGATATGGTGGTTACAGGAAATGATATTAGATATATGCCCTAGAAGCCAATATAAAATGAATAATTCTAAGGAAATAATATATAATAGTAAAAGAGCAAGAACATTGCTTTAAATACATAACGTACACAAAGTAACAAGTCCATGAATTAAGATATAAATGGAAAGTGGTCTAAAGAAGTTAGATGCACAAGACCTTTCCATACATATAAATATCATATCCTAAAATGTTCCTGGTCCTAAGATCACCAATTGGACAATGGTGACCCGCAAAGATTGGTACACATTATGTCTGCTTAATTGGGAGGATGACTAGTCTTAAGTCATTCGTGTAGAGACACTGAGACAGATGTGTAGGGGCTCTATGGACGATGGAGTCCACTGACGCGATCAACTCTAGAATTCTTGTTGTCTACTCATTCTTTCATCCCATGCAATTCTTGATGAAGAGCTTTAGGGAGGTTCATATCTTTGTACCCATTTGGAGAACTACGAGGTGGAGAATCAACATCAAAGGGAGAGCCAACAACAAAGGGACCACTCCCTCTACTTGAACACCATTCTTGGTTTCAACATTTGCTCCAAGGATATGAACATCTTATCTTTCTCTCAAATAGGATTTAGAGAGTCTTTGGTGCACACTTTCATAGACTTATAAATATTGGGACCAAATAAGACTTGCATGAATCCCTAGTTTATTTAATGCTTCTACTCTTACTTTGATTTCATACTAGATATGGCATGCTAAGTGATTTATACTCTCAAAGTTTGGTTGTAGAGTTTTTAGAAATCTCTACACAACACCATTCCCACAATATATATTCCCTTTAAATGATCCAGAAGAAAGGAAGGCATTGCAAAGTCATTTATCTATTGAGTTTGAAATGAAAGATCTTGGTTCTTTAAAATATTTTCTTGGGATTGAAGTATCTCGGTTTGTGAAATGAATTTTTCTTTGCCAACAAAAGTATGCCTTATATTTGTTGGGAGAAACTTGTCACACTGCCCGGGATCGGCTCCGCTGTAGCACGATATTGTCCGCTTTGGGCCCCTCTCTTTGGGCTCACGATTTTATTTCTAGGAGCTCACGAGCAACTTCCCAATGGGTCACCTATCCTGGGATTGCTCTAGCCCCAAGTCACTTAACTTCGGAGTTCCCATGACTCCGAAACCAGTGAGCTCCCAAAAGCCTCGTGCTAGATGGAGACGTGCTAGATGACAACACAAGGATTACAACAGCACCAAACTTGACCTTGCCACCCTTGCCCACGCGCTGCCACACTCGCCGACAGCGCTTGGGTGTGTAGAGTAATTTTTGGCAACGGAAAATAGTCCACAACACCGTTCACCCTTCCTATCCTAGATACTTCTTGAGGCAAGGATCATTTTATTCAACTACGGGAGGTCCAATTTGGACGGCAACCGGCCGGAATTTCACTTTGAAATCCGGCGAAAACCTAGATTTCGAAATCGGGATTCTAGACAACAAATCGATCCTATCCTATGCAACAGAAAGCTAGAGCTCGGAAAATAGATGAGAAACCATACCTTACTCGTCGGAATTGGTGGCCGGAGGAGAGAGATCGAGCGGTGAGAAATTCTGTCAAAACCGGCTCATTTTCGATTGATTCCGGCGAGCACAGTGGACGGTGGTGGCTGAGACTGTTTGGGAAAGGACGAGGGAGAGGTGGCGGTTCGAACGAGACCGGTCTCGAGGCAGGTCGTTGACTGTTGCAGCGGCGGTAGTCTTGGAGGGTGGCGGCTGTGAGAAAAACGAATGGAGGGAGAGAGATCGAGTCGGGGAGAGAGAGTTGTGTGCGTGGAGAGAGAGATAGAAAGTGAAAAATCAGATTTTTACCCTAACTCTTTTCAAAATAATTACAAGTTTACCACTGAACTTATTTTGGTCGCCAAATCTTCGTTACAACTCCGATTGAAGCCTACCACGTGTCTACGGATTCGTCTCAGCACGACCAACCCAAAAATTCTAGTAACTGCCCCAAACTCTTCCCGAATAAGAAAATGACCAAAATACCCCTACCCCAAGGGTAAATTCAGAATTTTACTTAAATAATTTAAATATGAATTAAATTTGGAGTCGGGGTGTTACAAAACTAGCATGTCAGCGTGTCAACCAGCTGATTCTCTAGTGGAGGAAGGATTGAAGTTGTGTATTGATCCTCATCAAGTGCTTGCTGATAAAGGAAGATACCCGAGACTTGTAGGGAGATTAATGTACTTGGCACACACAAGGTCGGACCTTACCTATGATTTGAGTATTGTTAGCGAGTTTATGCATAATCCTGGACAACAAGTGCAGAAATGCGAATTTTGAGGTATTTGAAGTCTTCTCCTGGAAAAGGAATTACGTTTTCCAAGAGTGATGATCATCACAAAGTTGAAGCGTATACTGATGCTGATTGAGTTGGTTCAATAGATGACAGACGATCTACTTCTAGGTACTTCACCTTTGTAGGTGGTAATCTTGTTACATGGAGAAGTAAGAAGCAGAATGTTGTTACAAGCTCAAGTGTAGAAGCCGAGGCATGGGACTTGGGAATTGTGAAGTGTTATGCTAAGACAACTCTTGCAAGATTTGGAGTATTCGTCAAGACTGCTGATTCGATTGTATTGTGACAACAAGGCCGCGTGTGATATCGCTCACAATCCAGTTCAACATGACATAACAAAACACGTGAAGGTTGACAAATTTTTTGATCAAGGAGAAATTGGAAGCAAAGATTATAGAATTGCCCAAGATTCGATTAGAGGATCAACTAGCTGATGTCCTTACCAAAACAGTATCAAATCAATTGTTTTCAAAATTTGTTAGCAAGTTGGGCATGTGTGACATCTATATATGCACCAACTCGGGGGAATGTTGCGATAATTATGTAATTGATAGAGAATTAGGAAAAAGCCTAACTTACCTTATTTATCTTCCTGTAATTATGCTATTAGTAGGGTTGTATATATGCCTTATTGATGAATGAGAAAAGGTATGACAGATTATTCCCAAAAACTCTGAATTTCAACTAACAGTAAGGTTTTGAACCCCAAAAGGCAACCTTATCAATTAAGCTTGCTAGCTTTTTGATCATGTAGAAAATACAGAGCCTTGAATTGAATGCATTTGCAAATACCTAAACTACGTTATAAGAATATATCATGAGTTATCACACCTAATTCATTTCACCATCAACCATCATCTTCTTTTAATCCCACTTTTTACATAATAAAAAAAAAGTGGTCTTGATATTCTACAAGTCCCCCATAATCAAACATCTCAAAATAAAAGAAGGAAAACAAACAACATTGCTTAAAGAGAAGGAAAGACATTGGGAATATGTACAAATGTTTTACACAGCATCTAAAGCTCCTATTCAAGCATTTTCTGATTCCTTAAGGTTTGTGCATCCCATATCGCTTGTGGTTCGTATTACATACAATTAATAAAGGAAGATAAGTAAAGATTGTGGATTATAAACATCCGCAATGGATTTCTTAAACCATATTTTTAGATAAAATTTAGGGAGGAAGGGCATGTTTACGTATCAGTAATGGGTATGGGAGAAAAGGGAATGATTTCCATTCCTGACTTCCCTTGCATTTACTTGCAATCAGGAATTAAAAAATAAGTGGGCCCCACCTCAAAATCCGTAATCACATTCCCTCAAAACTAGGTATCAGATCAACTAGGGAGGAGTAGTCGATACAATTCTCATTCCTGTTTTCTCTTAATAACTTCCAAAAATACCCTTACCACTTTACCATAATTCTAAAACACCCCAAATCCTTAAAAAAATAAAACTCACGCCAAGAAGTTCCAAGACGCTCCAACTTCTTTTTCACCTTAGCGTTGCAGACACAACCTCTCAGAAGCAGCAGCAACGCCTTGTGCTATGAAAGTCATTCTATCTATCTTTCTTCTTCTTTCTTCTTCTTCTATCTTCTCTCTTCACATTCATCACAAAACAAAGTACGGTCATGGATAAAGACTTTTGTGGAGATTATATATCTCTTTTTTGGTAGTATGAAGATTATGTATGGTTATTATTATTTGATTGTTTACTAGTTACGTAAGTGAAATATATATATTTATTGGAGTTTATTTTTTCGTTTGAAATTGGCAATGGACAAAGGTGTTATTAACATTATATCATTGAACTAAGCTCATGTTGTTCATCTTGTTCATCATATTGATTCCTCATGTTTACACCGCCTTACTGGTTTGCTGCAGGATTAGTTTGGTCTCGTTAGTCAATTTGAGAATTATATATGTGATGTGGTGAAAATGTGCAAGACATTTTAGTAATCAAATTAATTTAGATTCTGATTCATGCAAATTAGTAAACAATAAAAATGGGAATCAATCTCATTCCTTTGCTAATTCCATATGTTTCGTAAACAACTTAATGGGAATGATTCTTCCTATACCAATTCAGTAGTTCCCCGATTCCTAAATTCTATGATTCCTTACTTTCTCCATTACTGATACGTAAACATGCCCGAAGTGAGAAAACCCACCTCCAACCATGTTCCCTATTCAGCTCCTAAAATAGGGAGACCTTTAGGAGCTCCTAAATATGAGGAGAATGGACTCCCAGTGGCTCCCTATAATTTAATGATGCCTTATTTAATGAATATTTTAAACCTTTAATTAATATTTCCTATTTTTTAATATTATTTTTCTTATAGAGATGGACCACTTTTGTTGAATTAAAAAAAAAATAGCATTTATGACTCCTTAAACTAGAGAGACTAGAGAGTATGATTGAAGTTGAAAATTTATAGAGAGCTCCAAAACTGGCTTTTGTGTGTTTTTGGCTAAATTTTAACTAAAAAATAGAGAGCATGGTTGTAGATACTCTAAGATATTAAAAGTTATTTGACATGTTGAAAAGAAATATAAGTTCAAATAGTTATTAATTGTAGACTTTATATCAAAAATTTGTCCCTGAGGTTCGTATATAAATGATTACAATTTACACGGAGACTAAATGATTACGAAACCACTATGATGATTATTAAACCACTATGTGGGATGTGATAAAAAATGGTTTTAATCCTATAAAAATTAGGCATAGTTATTAGATACACGAGGAAGTAACGCCAATTATATTATCGTTCTGTTTGTGCATGTGATTGGAATCCAATTCTAGAAATTGAGAGAGAGAGAGAGAGAGAGAGAGGCACTTGGATGACAAGAAGAGGCAAATGACCATTTGAATTTGAAAAAAAGGAGACCAAGGGGAATGGAGTTACAGTGCTAATAATGAGTAGATAGTCAGTTATGTCTCCAAACATGGTAAACGACTCCCCCCCCCCCCCCCAAAAAAAAGAAGAAGAAAATTCTGGAATTATCCTATTCAATAGTTGGTAATAAATAATCATTCCCTAATTAATACCCAAACGATAATCATTTATTCATAAATAATAAAAATGGGAAAAAACACATGAGTTGAATACAAATCTTGCATAGCAAAATGTATGAGGGCGGACTTCTTGATCAACAAAACAGTAATCTTTACTACACATTGATGATGGTATTACTTCTTTAACACATGTAAATACTGGGGTTTTATATTTGTCATACATACATACTATATATTTATATGTATATCTAAATTCCAAAAGTAGACCAAAATAATAAAAAGTACGTAGCATTTGACCAAAATAAAAAGTAGAGATAGTAAAAAGTAGCAATTTCTTTACATGTAAATAGATTGTGTTTAGAGTGGGAATGCAATTTATCTATGTGTATGATAAAAAACGAGAATGTGCAATTTAAGAAAAGATTGAAGTAACACTTGCATTCCATAGATTAGCTTGTTTGTTCACAACAATAGGAGCATGGATAGCGTTTACTCAATTTCTACTCTCTACATGTATAGTTTAAGCAATCATTGTCTCACTTTTTACAGGCGAACAAATTCTACTGTTGCAGGCACCTTATTTTTAAGGTGCATAGCATGATGTATTGCCTTTGCTTCCTTCAACCTTTTTCTCTTTCCCTAGATTGATCCGCTATGATGACATTCCCATTTCGTGATAGGATCAATAATAAGTTTCTCGAGTGCAAAAGCATTCTTTATCAAGAACATGAAATGTTGGACAACATTTGTACGACCACAATATCCTAATACTTCTATTAGGGGTTAAGTAAGAAAATTTCAGTTTCAGAGGGTAAACTGACACTAAGCCTCCGTTCTAGGGGTAAAATAGTAATCTAGCCTAATCACTGACTACTGCAAAGTATGCTAGTACTACCCATATATATATATATATATATTGATATCCAACTTTCTCACATTTATTGATTCGTCTTTTATTTGCATCTTTTAGAGTGAGAGACAGTAGTGAAGCTTCAAACAAACTACAATGATTGGTGGGTGATATATTGAAGAAAAACCCATGGATTTTTCAATACATAATTCAGAATTGAGAACTCTTTGTTTGCTCAAACAAAACAATGTAGTAATGTAATTTGAACATAACAGGTGAGGGCCGCTCTTGAGATTTTAATGGCCCTATGCGAAATATAAATTGGGCCCTCACATGATTTAACATGAAATTACAAGATTAAAATAAAAAATTTGACGACTTAATGCCCTAAAACATTTTTTCTTAGTTCCAACGATATTCTATTCTAAGGGGCGGGGTGGGGGTGCGGGGGAATTTCGAATCCAAGCCAGGTGGGGTGATAAGGGGAAGGCCAAACCACTAAGCCACTCCACGTCTTCTAAAACAATTGTTCTAATTGGAATTTATCACCAGTTACCATGTAATGAGCTCAACAATCTTTTAGCAAAACATGCTTAGTCTAGTGGTGTGGTGTGGTAATCTTAGTTGGTCATCAATCCCAGGCTCAATGAGGTCATTTTATGGAGAAATTTTTGTTATTTTGAAAAAAGTAGAAAAGAAATTATCGGAGCACAAAGTGGGATTGAAACTCGTGCCTCTATTGAAATTAAAAGTGCAACAAACCAACTTCATTGGTGCCACAATTTTTATAAATATGTTGTCAGTTCAAGTTTATATAAAATATAGACGTACGTAAAATCGAGATCCTATGCGGTGGCACCACTTGCACCATGTCAGGAGACTGGTGCCTCTTTACTCCAGTCGGGCTCTCTAATAAACACTTCTCTTGTAACGTTTGTATTGTACTAACTTACTCTAAGCACTAGTACTGAGCTACATATTATCATGTATTTGAGTTAGCAGCGCTGTAGTTCCTCATAATTTCTTGACGTGGAAAGATAAGATCATGGGATGGGCTTGCATTGCAAAAACTTCATCAACGAAACCATCCACCACAAGCATCTGCAGTAAATAAAATTCCTCTATGATGAGAGGGAAAAAACCCAGCATCTGCGGCAAAAACTTCATCAACAAAACTGTTACGTACCATAACCATCCTCGTCATATTTTTAAACAGCTTAATGTGATAGAGTATTTGCTTCTTCTTTTTTAAAATTGAAAGTAATTGTTTAAAAAGCCACACTGAATGGAGAATGTATTTTCCATCGTCTGACAAAGTTGCGGTAATAATTTTTTTTCTGAAAATTTTAGTTTAAGAAGAATCAAATCACAAAAAATTAACAAAGGTAAATTAAAATGACCATAGGTGTGAAAAGAGAAAAGCAAAGAAATAGGCCTAAAAATCAACCAAATTAAGTTTAGAACAAGGAGCAAGCCATAAGGGATCAAGATATAATACCCAAAAAAGCAAAATAGAACCACGTCACAGCTTGAGGAAAATTAATATGAGCACAGTACCACAGTTTCCATCTTACTTTCGAAAAAATCAAGCCAAAATTATAATAAAGATAAAATGAAAATAAGAGGAAGGAAGTCAACAAAGTTATTGGAGATTTTTTATTCTAGGTGGTGGCTATCCAAGCCTTTTTGAATTTTCGTATTTCACAATTCCTAATATCCGATTGGGGCATCATTCACTTCTTCATGCTCCACGACTTCTATTTCCAGCTTCCTGGCGTTTCTTTCTTCTTGTTTTGGGGTATTGACACTGGTCACACTCTTCCCTTCTATGAGTTCATAATCCCCGTACTCACTAAGTCATAAAAATGAGAAACCTTGTTACATACCAAATGCAGTAGAATTCCAACTACAAATTAAATGTTATTGATAAAAACACAAGAAACTTGAAGGAAACTTACGGCGTGAAGCAAAAAACAAGATCGAACCATTCAGAGCCCTTGATATCCACAGAATGCACAGTTGAATGTATGGTCTTGATCATATATCTTCCTCCTTCTCCAACAACAATTTGAAATGTAGTGATACTAAGATATTGAACCTTGAGATGTGAATCACACCAACCAGTCTGGACATGGAAAAAGTCGTGGTTCCCCAAATGAACCAAATATTGTGTCAGATCGTCAAACCATGGCAATACCGGACGTGCGAACTCAAGGCCGTACAATATAAACTGTTGGCTTAGGGAATATGCAATACAATCATCATCATCTTTGTCAAGCCCAAAGGAGAAGGCAATAATCTCTGCCTCTCCATATAAGGCATAGATAGTCTCGCCTACAACTATAGCCCTCCCTTGGAAAGGAGGAAAACAATAAGTAGAAGTGTCAACTTTAACTCGATTCCAATCGTTTCTACCCACGTGAAAAGCAACGACACCGAAATTCCCATTTCTCAAGCCAAACAATGAAAACAAAATAACACCATAACAAACAGCATAACCAGTTATTCGCATACGGTCGTCATAATCATCATAAAATGGAAAAGAAGTCAGTTGCTCGCAAACCTCCTGATTAGGATCATATCTCCGAAAGGAAGGCTCCGAAATTGGTTGGAAGCATGATCGACATGCAAGATAATAAACCTTGTCATACGCACACACTGGTGAATTAGAGGCTGGGATAGGAGGAATAGATGAACATTTTGACCAAGTTTCCGTGTCAACAATAAACCCACCGTCATGGCCCAAAGAGTATAATTTGGAGTGGTTGAAAATCCGAGCAGCCTGACGACAATAACCTTCGCGAAACGTGGCAACATGTCTAACCAACGGGGGTTCATGACTGACTTCTCCTCCGTGTTTGAATTTGACTTCGTAAACTGCATTAGTGTATTCTTCGTCCTCATAAGAAGACACGAATAAACATACAGATCTAGATTCCCCTTGATTTACCGTCATTAACGAATGTTCCAAATCCTCAGGTAAGCTGGACAGAGAAGAGAAGAGAGATGCATACAACAAGTCAAGTTAATCTTTTCAAACACCTACCCTGCCTAGAAAGAATTTATCTAGTATATAGAAACTGGTTATTATATATTTAAAGCAAAAAATCGTCAAATTGCATGCAGCAGCGAGAGAAAACTTAAGCAAAATTCTCCTAGAAAATTGATAGCAAATTTTGAAAATAAACAAACAACAATGAGAATTAAGAACATCAACAATTTTACAAAACAACAAAAATTAAGAACACGAAAATCCACTAACCCATGCACTGACCTTGGGTAAAGATCATAGGCCTCTGGGTTGGGATGGCTGGGATTGTAGTTTTCAATCATCGTGGAAGGGGGGCGTAGTAAGCGAAGCTCCTGCGTTATTGAGTTCGACAAATCCAACAGTTGGCCCAGAGTTTTCTCCATCTCCGATATCTTGCCCGCAGATTTCTCCATCTCCGATATCTTGCCGAGTAGCTCATATTGGTGTGAAGCCATCATGCCCTGACCCAAGGTGAGCTCAGCGGCGGAGGCGGAAAATTGAGATATATACCGAGTCCCCATGATAGCGCCTTTGCTATTGAAATGCTTAACTTGATAGCAAAAGGGATTTTAGGGTATATGCTAAAGCTTGGAGTTTATTCAGGAGATCAATATGCTTTCATTAATCCTTAAAGTCTGAATTGCAAAGCATATATATAATGACCTAATTAATCTTGCTAGAAACAGGAAACTTTAAAAAAAAATAGTTTTTATTTTTATTTTAAGGAAGAATCAGGAAAATTTTACTACTATTATTTTTTTAAAGGAAGATACATGAAACCTTCTTTTATTCTTTTTTGTTGTTGAGAGAGAACAGGAAACTTATAATCGTTTTTTAATATGCGTGTGGTATATATATATACGACTTACTTTTCTAATTTAGTAGGTGTAGGTGTATTGACGGCTTTATTATATTAGTTTCCCTTTTTCTTTTTATAAAAAAGGAAAAAAGAAAAAAAGATTTCCCTCTTTATTCTATTTGGTTTCCCGTTTTAAAATTCCTAGAGTTACCTGTTTGTTTATTTGTTACCCTTTTTTTTATTTTTTTGGGTTTGCTGGTGAGATTGGGTTTTTGGGCCAATTGAGGAAGTGGTTTAGTTGAAAGCCCTATATAATTTACCTTCTTCTCTCCCCTCCCTCTTCGATTTTATTGCTTCACTCTCGTTATTGCCTTTTCTTCCTTCAACTATGATGACATTCCCACTTCGTGGCAGGATCAATAACAAGTTTCTCGAGTGCGAGTGCAGAAGCATTCTCTATCAAGAACATGACATGTTTGACAACATTTGTACGACCACAATACCATGATACTTCTATTTGGGGTTAAGTAAGAAAATTTCAGTTTCAGAGGATAAATTGACACTAAGCCTCCGTTCTATGGGCAAAATAGTAATCAAGCCTAATTACCGACTACTGCAAAATATGCTACTCTACCCATATATATTTGATATCCAACTTTCTCACATTTATTGATTCGTCTTTTATTTGCATCTTTTAGAGTGAGAGACAATAGTGAAGCTTCAAACAAACTACAATGATTGGTGGGTGATATATTGAAGAAAAAACTCATGCATTTGTCAGTACATAATTCAGAACTGAGAACTCTTTGTTTGCTCAAACAAAACAATGTAGTAATGTAATTAGAACATAACAGGTGAGGGCCGCTCTTGAGATTTTAATGGCTCTATGCAAAACATAAATTGGGCCCTCACATGATTTAACATGAAAATACAAGATTAAAATAAAAATTTTGACGACTTAATGCCCTAAAACATTTTTTTTAGTTCCAACGGTATTGGGGGGGGGGGGGGGGGGGATCCAGGCCAGGCGGGGTGACATGGGGAAGGCCAAACGACTAAGCCACTCCACGTCTTCTAAAAGAATTGTTTTAACTGGAATTTATCACCAGTTAACATGTAATGAGCTCAACAATCTTTTAGCAAAACATGCCTAGTATAGTGGTGTGGTGTGGTAATCTTAGTTGGTCATCAATCCCAGGCTCAATGAGGTCATTTTATGGAGAAATTTTTGTTATTTTGAAAAAATTAGAAAAGAAATCATCGGAGCACACAAGTGGGATTGAAACTCGTGCCTCTATTGAAATTAAAAGTGCAACAAACCAACTTCATTGGTGCCACAATATTTATAAATATGTTGTTGGATCACGTTTATATAAAATATACATGCAAAATTGAGGTCCTGTGCGGTGGCACCACTTGCACCATGTTAGAACTGGCCTATGACTGGTGGCTCTTTACTCCAGTCAGGCTCTCTAATAAACACTTCTCTTGTAACGTTTGTATTGTACTAACTTACTCTAAGCACTATTAGTGACTACATATTATCATGTATTTGAGTTAGCAGCGCTGGAGTTCCTCATAATTTCTTGACGTTGAAAGATAAGATCATGGGATGGGCTTGCATTGCAAAAACTTCATCAACGAAACCATCCACCACAAGCATCTGCAATAAATAAAATTCCTCTATGATATGAGAGGGAAAAAAACCCAGCATCTGCGGCAAAAACTTCATCCAGAAAACTGTTGCGTACTATAACCATCCTCGTCATATTTTTGAACAGCTTAGTGTGATAGAGTATTTGCTTCTTCTTTTTTAAAATTGAAAGTAATTGTTTAAAAAGCCACACTGAATGGAGAATGTATTTCCCATCGTTTGACAAAGTTGCGGTAAAAAAATAAAAAAAAAATTCTGAAAAATTTAGTTTAAGAAGAATCAAATCACAAAAAGTTAACAAATGTAAATTAAAATGACCACAGAAGTGCAAAGAGAAAAGCAAAGAAATAGGCCTAAAAATCAACCAAATTAAGTTTAGAACAAGGAGCAAGCCATAAGGGATCAAGATATAATACCCAAAAAAAGCAAAATAGAACCACGTCACAGCTTGAGGAAAAATAATCCACAAAACATGAGCACAGTACCACAATTATAATAAATATAACATTCAAATAAGCGGAAGTCAACAAACACAAATTAAAATGACCTAAACTAAGTTTGAATTTTCATATTTCACAATTCCTAATAACCGATTGGGACATCATTAGCTTCGTCATGCTGCATGGCTTCTATTTCCAGCTTCCTGGCGGTTATTTCTTCTTGTTTTGACTGATTCATACAAGTCACACTCTCCTCTTTTATGGGTTCATAATCCCCGCACTCACTGAGTCAAAATCATGAGAAACCTTGTTACATACAAAACACAATAAAATAAAATGTTATTGGTGAAAACACAAGAAACGTGAAGGAAACTTACGGTGAAAAGCAGAAAAGAAGTTCAAACCATTCAGAGCCCTTGATATCCACAGAATGAACACTTGAATGTATGGTTTTGATCATACATCTTCCTCCTTCTCCAACAACAATTTGAAACGTGGTGAAAGTAAGATATTGAACCTTGAGACGTGAATCGCACCATCCAGTCTGGACATGGAAAAAGTCATGATTCCCCAAATGAACCAAATATTGTGTTATATCATTAAACCATGGTAGCTCCGGACGCGCAAACTCAAGGCCTTGCGATATAAAAAGTTGGCTTAGGGAATATGCAATACCATCATAATCACCTTTGCCCATACTAAAGGAGAATGCTATAATCTTTGTCTCCCCATATAAGGCATAGATAGTGTCGCCTACAACCACGGCCCTCCCTTGAAAAGGAGGGGCACAATAATCAGAAGTGTCAAGTTTCACTCGATTCCAGTCCTTTCTACCTACGTGAAAAGCAACGACACCGAAATTCCCGTTCCTCAAGCCACACAATGAAATCAAAATAACGCCATAACAAACAGCATAACCAGTTATTTGCATACGGTAGTCATAATCACCATAAAATGGAAAAGAAGTCATTTTCTCCCAAACCTTCCGATCAGAATCATATCTACCAAAGGAGTGCCCCATAACTGGTGAGAATAAGCTTGATGGACGTGCAAGATAATAAACCTTATCATACGCACACACAATAGTTTCTATTGATTTAGAGGCTAGGATAGGAGGAATAGATGAACAGTTTGACCAAGTCTTCGTGTCAAGAATAAATCCACCTTCCTTTCCAATGCAGTATAATTTTGAATGGTTGAAAATCCGTGCAGCCTGACGACAACCACCGTGGAACTTGGCGACATGTCTAACTACTGGGGGTTCATTAGTGACTTCTCCTCCGTGTTTGAATTTGACTTCATAGACTGCATTAGTGTGTTCTTTGCCCTCATAAGAAGACACGAATAAACATACAGATCTAGATTCGCCTTGATTTTCCGTCATTAACGAATGTTCCCAATCCTGGGGTAAGCTGGCCAGAGAAGAGAAGAGAGATGCATACAACAAGTCAAGTTAATCTTTTCAAATACCTACCCTGCCTAGAAAGAATTTGTCTAGTATATAGAAACTGGTTATTATATATTTAAAGCACAAAATAGTCAAATTGCATGCAGCAGCGAGAGAAAACTTGAGCAAAATTCTTCGAGAAAATAAACAAATAGAAAATTGATAGATGAAAATAAACAAACAACAGCAATGAGAAATATGAACATCAACAATTTTACAGAGAAACAAAAATGAAGAACACGAAAATCCACTAACCCATGCACTGACCTTGGGTAAAGATCATAGGCCTCTGGGTTGGGATGGCTGGGATTGTAGTTTTCAATCACCGTGGAAGGGGGACGTAGTAAGCGAAGCTCCTGCGTTATTGATTTTGAAAAATCCAACAGTTGGCCCAGAGTTTTCTCCATCTCCAATATCTTGCCTGCAGATTTCTCCATCTCCGATATCTTGCCCCCAGATTTCTCCATCTCTGATATCTTGCCGAGTAGCTCATCTTGGCGTGAAGCCATCATGCCCTGACCCAAGGTGAGCTCAGCGGCGGAGGCGGAAAAGTGAGATATATACCGAGTCCCCATGATAGCGCCTTTGCTATTGAAATGCTTAAATTGAGGCAAAAGGGATTTTAGGGTATATGCTAAAGCTTGGAGTTTATTCAGGAGATCAATATGCTTTCATTAATCCTTAAAGTCTGAATTGCAAAGCATATATATAATGACCTAATTAATCTTGCTAGAAACAGGAAACTTTAAAAAAAAATAGTTTTTATTTTTATTTTAAGGAAGAATCAGGAAAATTTTACTACTATTATTTTTTTAAAGGAAGATACACGAAACCTTCTTTTATTCCTTTTTTTTTTGTTGAGAGAGAACAGGAAACTTATGATTGTTTTTGAATATGCGTGAGGTGTGTGTGTGTGTGTATATATATATATATACGACTTACTTTTCTAATTTAGTAAGTGTAGGTGTATTGACGGCTTTATTGTATTTAGTTTCCCCTTTTTTTTTATAAAAAAGAAAAAAGAAAAAAAGATTTCCCTCTTTATTCTATTTGGTTTCCCATTTTAAAATTCCTAGAGTTACCTGTTTGTTTATTTGTTACCCTTTTAATTATTTTTTTGGGTTTCCTGGTGAGATTGGGTTTTAGGGCCAATTAAGGAAGTGGTTTAGTTGAAAGCCCTATATAATTTACCTTCTTCTCTCCCTCCCTCTTTGATTTTATTGCTTCACTCTTGTTAATCAAAGGTGCTGGTGGACTGGATCTCTCTGACTCCATCGTTTTTTCTTCATTGTCCAAGATAATCAAAGGTTATTACCTCATAATTTCTCAGTTGTATTTTAGTTTTTGGTTTCTTTTCTTTTGAACATGTTAGTAGTATTTTTTCTATTTGGTTAGAGTTGTGCATCTCAGTTTTCTTAGGATGTACACTGCTGTTTTTTTCGCCTTTCTCTTTTTGTTTTTGTTGTGTTTTTATAAGTATACTGTATCTTTGGACGATTTTGTTCTCTTCGTTCTTGATTAGCATGCTTATGTTGACGGAAATTTTAATTTCTCTTTTTGTTGGTCTTATTTTAATCTCTCAGTGTTAGTCTTTTCAAATTATTTTTGCATGATGTTGATGTTTGTTGGGTGTGATGTAATTTACTCTTTCTGCACAAATATTTACTTTCTAGAAAAATAAGACTTAACGCTAGCTGAAAGTAATTTTTGGGTAAAATTTCTAATTTTAAAATTTAAAATTTTCAGGAAATGGAGGTTGATCGTGATTTAATTGACGACGCTTACATTGATTACATTAAAAGTCAATGGCGCAACAATAATTCAAAGGACATTGTAATGGGTTCTCGTATTAGGTTTTACTATTTTCGTATCGATTATGCTAGTGGGAAACAACATTACAATGGTGAGCTGGTTTTCAAGGAAAATAAACTCGGTGGAACGCCTGTGACATTTATGAATGCGTATGCTAAGGCTGGAACTAAATTGAGTGTTGAAGAAATTTTTAGGTTAAACACAAGGGTACCTGATAAAAGGATTCTCCGCCCATGGATATATACATTTTGCAAATCGAAATCATTTGGTGGTGCGTGCAGTGTGGCTGAAGAAAATATGGTGAAGGGTTGGTGGAGCTTGTGTTATGACAAGTTTGATAACACACTCAATGAATGGTTGGTCAAATTACATAAGAAGGAAATTAGTGATCATGAAAAATTCAACTTGATTGTTAAAAATAATTGCCTATCTGATTTCTGGAGTTGTACAATACGGTGAGTGTAATAGTATTTTTGTTTTAGTGCTATTAATTTATGGTTTAGTTAACTAATGTATTTTATGACGTGACAGGGAATTAATAGAGGCAATTGCTCACATTCATGATTGTGGGCTCTTCCATGGTTCGTTGAGCGAATATTATAATTATGTTGTTGGGGACCAAGTAAAACTATTTAACATCGGTGGTTGCTTGAAGGGCCTTAGTGTAGATAACCAACATTCAAAGAAAATCCAAGATTTCAAAGACTTCAGGGACTTTCTGAAGAAGCTAATGCCAGCCAGATCTCCTAAATGGAATGAGCGTGATAGTTTTCTTAAATGTTTTGACGAAAAAGTAGACAGGTGAGTTATTGTGAACTTACTATTTGTGTGTTTCTAAGTGTTTATTTATTTATTTATATATTTTTTTTGTCTTTTCAGCTATGAAAAATATGTTGAGAAATTGAAGAATCACCCTTTTTTATTGACTCCTTATAAAAGGGTGAAATATATTACTGGTATTTATTATGATGATAAGTTTGGTGTGGAGGACAAGTTGAACCAGGGTTCTGAATTTCAAAAGTTCCGTGGTTGGACCAGAGGCAGACATAAGTTGAAGCCATTCTTGCGTGCAATACTCGAGTCTCGTAAGGGTAAACCATATAAAGATGACCCGTCAGAGCTTTTTAAGGGGGAAAAAAAAAAAAAAAAAAAAAAAAAAAAAAAAAAAAAAAAAAAAAAAAAAAAAAAAAAAAAAAAAAAAAAAAAAAAAAAAAAAAAAAAAAAAAAAAAAAAAAAAAAAAAAAAAAAAAAAAAAAAAAAAAAAAAAAAAAAAAAAAAAAAAAAAAAAAAAAAAAAAAAAAAAAAAAAAAAAAAAAAAAAAAAAAAAAAAAAAAAAAAAAAAAAAAAAAAAAAAAAAAAAAAAAAAAAAAAAAAAAAAAAAAAAAAAAAAAAAAAAAAAAAAAAAAAAAAAAAAAAAAAAAAAAAAAAAAAAAAAAAAAAAAAAAAAAAAAAAAAAAAAAAAAAAAAAAAAAAAAAAAAAAAAAAAAAAAAAAAAAAAAAAAAAAAAAAAAAAAAAAAAAACATATCCTGCCTAGAAGTCAAGTTAATATTTTTCAAACACCTACCCTGCCTAGAAAGTAATTTATGTAGTATAGGAACTGGTATATTTAATAATAAAAAATAAATAAAAAAGCAAAAAAAATAGTCAAAATACAAAAAACAAAACTAAAATTCCAAAAAAAAAACAACACACACACAAAAAAAAAAAAAAAAAAAAAAAAAAAAAAAAAAAAAAATTGATTGATTGATTGAATTTGAAAGAAAAAAAAACAACAATGAGAATTAAGAACACCAACAATTTTACAGAGAAACAAAAGTGAAGAACACGAAAATCCACTAAGCCAAGCACTGACCTTGGGTAAAGATCATAGGCCTCTTGGTTGGGATGATTGGGATTGTAGTTTTCAATCACGGTGCAAGGTAGGCGTCGTTTTTATGGGTGCACCTGGGCGTAGTAAGCGAAGCTCCTGCGTTATTGATTTCGAAAAATCCAACGCCCAGAGTTTTATCCATCTCTGATATCGTGCCCACAGATTTCTTGATCTCCAATATCTTAACGAGTAGCTCATCTTGGTGTGAAGCCATCGTCAAGCCATGGTTATGATAGGGCCTTTGCTATTGGAATTCTTAAATTGATATGAAAGTTTCAAACTCGCGGAAATTTCTAGGAATATAAATATAGAAGAGCAGATGCTTTCACTAATATCCGTATTTATATAATGACCTAATTAATCTTGCCACAAAAGGGAAAGTAATCCTAACCTACACTAGAAACAGGAAACTTGTTATTTATTTTCTTTTATGAAGGAAGAAATAATAAACTTTTCTATTTTATTTTTATTTGTAAAGAGCACTAGCATAGGGTTTAAGTTATAATCCAACAAAAAAATATATTTTTTCTTTGATATAGTGAGAGATAATTGTGAAATAAATAACTATAAAAATAAACGTGACCAAACCATGATAATTATTTATATAGTAAACTTGGAACATCTGAGCAAATATAATAGAGTAAACTTGGACGTCATTGGAGATGTGGAGCCCACTTACCTTCCACGTCAATAATTTAATAGAGTTTCTAACGGCAAGACTATTTTGATGTGTACTAGGTAACGTTAAGGACTATTAATGTCACAAAAAAAGATTACGGACGAAAGGTGATAATTTCGCTAACCTCAGGAACCATTTGCGATAAAAAGCCTTTATATAATGACCTAATTAATCTTGCCAGAAACGGAAAAGTAATCCTAACCTACACTAGAAACAGGAAACTTGTTATTTATTTTCTTTTATAAAGGAAGAAATAGTAAACTTTTTTATTTTATTTTTTATATTTGTAAACTAGGAACATTATATATCCTTAGGTACTTAGGGCCCGACTTGTATCCCTAGATTGCAAATAAATGCATCAATTTAATATCTAATCAAACACGGATACCCTGCTATGCTCCTCGGGTACTTAGGGCTCGTCTGATAACAGTTTTGGAGAATGTTTTTCAGAAAATTAAAATGAGAAAACGAGTTTGCATCTTTAGGATTCAAGAATGCATCTTGTAGATTAATTGGAAAATAGTTTCATAAAACAAAAACAGTGAAACGTGTCTGGTAATATAATTTGAGAATAAATAAGAGAAATAAAAAATGTTGCATCATCTATAATCAAAATGTAAAGCATTTTTCGAAGGCATTTTTGTTAATGTCTCATATAGAAGGGGAAAAAAAAGTGTAAAATTGAAAGCCCATATTTGCCCTCTTCAAAATTAAAATTCCAACAGTATTCATCTTCCAATAATTAATTAAAAATATATAACAAAAAAGTTCCAGTTTGTCGTCTCATCCTCTCTCTCTCACAACAACTCTCATGTCTATTGATAGGATTAGTACCACCGTTTAGCACTTCTGTTTTGTTTCTTTTTTATCATGGGGATGTCTTTTAGTCAAATAATCCTCATTAATTTGTAAGAAAGCACTGGTTGGGTTTAGCATCTGAGCAAATATAAACTGGTCCCGTTTACGACAAAGACATATATCATTATGTGAAATTAACAAAAATGAAAACACTTATACCCTTTAATGCTGAAATTAACAAATATAAACTGGTCCCGTTTAATGCTGCCTGTGGGCTATTTCCACCTTGGCTTCTATCTGTAAAACCCATTTACGTTCTGAGAAACTCGACCAGAAGGAAAATAAAAACACTTATACCCTTAGTTGAAAGAACCTGTGCATACACTTCATTCTTCTACGCAACGCAACAGCCAACACACACATCAGAGACCATGTCTTATTTTGCACTCACTTTGTGAATGCTTAGTTTTAAAAGAAATAGAACTGGAGAGATCAAATCAAATGTATCATATCAACTATCAGCTAAAGATAACAATCAATAACATATTTTAACCCTGTAACACCAAGGGGCTAGATGGCAGTAAAAGACCTCAATAATATCTTATCAAAGACGGATTCCCTGCTCCTCAACTACTTACATTACATGTTGTTTTCTACTACATGTCCCTCCTTCCATCCGCTTCTTATTTTTTTATTCATCTTCTTTTTCCGTTTGCAGTCAGGTTTTTTCTGGTTGGCTTTTTCAAGCTGCCTCAGGACTTTTCATGCTGCATGTGCGCTATTTCCTCCTTGGTTTCTCTGCAAAACCAAATTACATTATGAAAAACTCAACCAAAAGGCTAATAAAAATACTTATAGACATACAAACTATTAAGTCTCTTGATTCGTGGTCATTAAATAAATAAAAATATTTCATGTAAACGCATTTGTTTCACCTCCCACATCAAAGAATTCACATCCATAGTGGTTTCGTCTTCTTGTTTTGGATGCTCCATGCTAGCTGCATCCTCCCCTTCTATGGGTTCATAATCCCCACACTCTCTGAGAGTCATAATCAACAGAAACTATATTTATATGGGTTCGGATACATAAAAAGTGTCACATAATCCAATGTACAAATTAATGTTTTTGATGAAAACACAAGAAATGTGAGGAGAACTTACGGTGTGAAGCCGAACGTGACCATCAACGGACCACAAGCCTCGATATCCATTGTAAGAACTGTTGAATGTAAGGTCTCGATCATATGTCTTCCGTCTTCTCGAACAAATATTTGAAACGTGGTGATGCAAAGATGTTGAACCTTGTAAAATTCAAAATTATTGCCCGTCGTAACATGAAAGAAGTCATGGTTCCCCAAATGAACCAAATAGTCATTCTTAAGCCCCTCAAATGGACATGGCGGAGATGCAATCTTCAAGCCATCCAATTTACACAGCTTGATTAGTGAGTATGCAATACTACCGTCGTCGCGTTTGTTCATCTTCAAGGCGAATGCTATAATCTCATCCACCTCAAACAGATTCATGGCGTAGATGGTCTCGCCTACAACCACGGCCCTCCCTCGGAAAGGAGTATAATCATGAGTGTCAACTTCCACTTTATTCCAAATCTCTTTACCCACGTGAAAAGCAACCACATTGAAGCTTTTGAGTCCGTCAAACAATGTATACAAAATAATGCCATGACAAACAGCATAACCAGTTACCCTCCTAGGAAAAGGATAACGGAATGGAAACTCAGGCATTCGCTCCCAATTTTTCTTATCAGGATTGTATTTCGCAAAGGATGGAAGTGGATCTGCTTTGAAGGGCGATGCATTTTCAAGAAAATAGAGTCTGTCATAAGCAGACACAACTGTTCTACTCGGCTTAAACTCTAAGGTAGTAGTTATGAAGGGATCTAATTTCCTAGTTTTGGTATCAAATGACCTGAGGCAAAGTTTATCGCAACCATCCTCTGTAAATATATATAGTTGGGAGCGGTTGAAAATCCTTGCACCTGTTTTAAAACGGCTGAACTTGTCTACAGGTTCAAGTGTTGCTCCTCCGCCCATATCATCAACTTCTCCCCCGTATTTGAATTTAACTTCATACAGGGCACCTGTGTTTTCCCTATTGCAAGTCATCACTAAAAACACAGATCTATGTTCCCCCCGATTTACCGCCATTGATGCATGCTCCACCATGGGCAAACTGGACAGAGAACAGAGAGATATAGAATAAGTCAAGTTAATCTTCTCAGACAAGTCGAAAAAGTTTATAAAATAAAAAACAACGGCGAATCAGGAAAAACAACAATTAAGCCGTGCACTGACCTTGGGTAAGGATGAACGGCCCCATGTTTGTGAGCGCGGGCCCTACTGGCGCGTAGTAGGTGAAGCTCCTCCCATATTGATTTCTTCAAATCGACCAGTTGGATGTGCTGCGTGGATAGCGCGGCTAGAGATTTCTCGATCTCTGATATCTTGCCCAGGAGCTTATCTTCGCCTGAAGCCATCGTCAAGGCATGGTCCTGAACATCTTGAACCGAGGTGAGCACAGCGGCCGCCATGATACGAGATGATTGATAGGGTCTTTGCTATTGGAATGATAAATTGAGGGACAAGGGAATTTAGGGTTTAGGGATGCCGCTGCAGAGGGGAGTTTTTATAACGGTTGGTTTGGGGTATGATATGAGGAAAGTTTCGAACTCGTATAAAATATACCACACAACACATAATATTGGTTTACCCGTTTTATCGTGCACATTAATTAGGACCAGAGAATTGACTTCCCATTTCAGTCCATAATATTTTGGCTAAGTATTGATTTCTTTATTCTTTTTAGATTCCCTTTTTAAACTTTCTACCAATAATTTAGTGTCAGAATTTTTCAATGTTACTTGTTTTATCATGCAATATTTTATAATATTTGAGTTTTTTACTTGTTTTAAGAGATTGGTGTTTTAGAGTAAGTGGTTTAGTTCAAACCCTATATAATTTACATGCGGCTCACCCTCTTGGATCTCTCTTTGATTCAATATCTTTTTTTGCTTCCCTCTCCTTCACTGGATCAAAGGTGTCGTTGGATTTGTCTTTGACTCCATATCGTTCTTGCTTCACTGTCTTTGTCTACGATAATCAAAGGTTAGGTTACCTTATGTTTTCTCATTCATGATCTAGCTATTGTTATATTTTCTTTTGAACATTAATTGACCAACAATACATCTTTACCTGATTTCTTTTGGACTGTGAGTAGTTTTTGTTTTTTGAACATTGATTGACCAACAATACATCTTTATCAAACCAATAATGCGACTATCCAATAACTTAGCTCAAGTCAAGTCATTAAATTTAAACTATTTAAATTGTAAGATAATTAGTTTAAATTTTTTTAATAAAATGTTAAAACAAGAATAATGAGCGTAATCCTAAGCCCCCACGATTGGTTGTGTACTATCATAGCGATGCATGACCAACTTTTTTTTTTTGTTTTTTTTTGGTTGGAGATGCATGACCAACTTTCTGCTCGTCGAATGCACCGCCTGCCTCACCACCAGGTTGCCTCGCGCTGCCTCATGATGAACCAGTGCCTCTGTTGTTCATAATCCCAGCAGCCTTTCATAATCGCATGCCACGCAAGAGATTCAGGGCACACGTTTGTGATTGATGAAAACATATTCCTTCATAATCCTTACTCCCACAAGAAAATTTGAAACCATAGATTCTTTGGTTGATTTGTGAGGGATAAATTATTTTATTTTGGAAATAGCTGTTATATAAAAAATTACAAAAGTAAAAATAAAAAATTGAGTCATGCCAAGTGTTTTATCAGTTTTGTGTCTGTTTCGGGTCTGGTACAGTAAGCTGTTGTGGGGCTCTTTGTTGGCTTGTCCAGATTGACTGTTGTCTATTGCTTTCTCAGTTTCGCTTGTTGCTGTTGTCTCTTCTTCCCTTGTTTCCAATCTAATCTATTCGAATTTTTGTGGATTATTTTTTATTTTAGATTTCTTTGAATTGGAACGTCTGCCAAATTCAGGTATGGTGTTAAATATTATGCCAATTACTGTTGGATTTTCTACATATAAATTTACAAAGTTGGTTGCCGAAGAAAATGTTAAGATTTCAGAGGGACGAACCCTTGGCCCACCTCTAGCAACTTAACCGCCTGTTTAGCAGGTGTGAAGTTTTATACAAAAGGTCTCGATGTTATTAGGAGTGGAACCATTTATTATATGGAACTTTCTATTTTGTTAAGTTTCCGATGTGGGACTCGTATATTCTTCAACACTCCTCCTCACGTGGGACCACTTTTTAGTGGGCCACAAGTGCAATCAATTCCACATCAGTCACTTTTTTTTTTCTTTTTTCTTTTTATAATTTTTAATTTGGGGTATGTTTGATTTTGATTCAATTTGGGGTTTTTGTTTGATTTGAGTTTGTTTGATTTGGGTTTAATCAGGCCCAGTCAACCTACCCACTCTGATACCATGTTAAATTTCAGAGAGACGGGTCAGCTGCCCACTACTAACAACACCAATATTATCCCCAACTTAACCACATGTTTAGCAGGTGTGGGGTTTTATACAAAAGGTCTCGATGTTATTAGGATTAGGAGTGGAACCATTTATTATATGGGACTTTCTATTTTGTTAAGTTTCCGATGTAGGACTCGTGTATTCTTCAACAGAAAGGTCTTTTCCCAATGGTGATTTGAACTTTGCAAAATTAAATTTCCAGTTTTCGTTTTAGAAAACATCTTTTTTATGAAAAGGGCCTTTTTTCCCCTCTCATCTCTTGTTTAGCAGAATTGTTTGAGTGCTATATTTTAATTACAATACTGGTTTTCTTGCAGATTTCTTTTATTGTTAATTTCTAGAAATGGATGACCAGGAAGAGGTATTTAATTTTGCAAAAGATGAGTATGAGAGGAATGAGTCACATGACAAGGTTATTGGACCGATGGTTTGTTGTTACAGTTTGTCCTTTGATTCCAATATATCAGAAGAATCGTATAAGGGGTTTTTATATTTTAAACGTAACGGGAAACCGATACCTGTGACATTTGTAAAAGTTGACGGAGTTGATGGGAAAGATGCTGCTAGTAGGGCGGAATTAATTTTTCATACGACTTATGGAGTAAGTGATGATGTGGTTTTAAGGCCTCGGAGGCATTTGTTCATTAAGCAGAAGCATTTTGCCAAAATTCCTGATGACATAGAGATGAGGAAGGGTGTATGGTGTGTTTGTTATGATCGTTTTGAACCTCTCGATAAGGTTAAATTACCTATCCGGACTCCTGATGACCGTCCTGAAGACTTTTGGCGTATATCCATTAGGTAATTCGTTAGTTTTAATTCATTAAGGTTACTGTTTAGTTTCGTTTTAATTATTTCTCACATAATTATTTTTTATTATTCTGTGGGAATTTGATTCATGGTGTGCCTCTGACATAATTATTTTTTATTATTCTGTAGGAATTTGATTCATGGTGTGCGTAACATTCATGCTGAGGGCCTATACCATGGTGGTTTGAATGAGTTGTCTAATTTTGTGTTTGTTGATGAAATGCTGAAAATAATCAACATTGAGAGATCTTTGGCTGACTTGAGTACTACTCGTGAACAAAACGAACGAAAGAAAAAAGATATCATAGACCTTAGGACGATGTTAGATTCTTGGTTCAAGAAAATTTTGGGGTCCAACTATTTATGGGAGGAATGTAATAGCTTCTTGAAATTCTTCGACCATGCTGAGCATTTAAAGTGAGTTCTCTTGTACTTTTAACTTCTTTTGTTTTTTCTTCTTTCTACTTCATTTCTTATAGGATGTCCTTTTGGTCTTTTCAGCTATCATAATTTTGTCGAGAAATTGGCATCTCATCCGTTCTTGTTAAGCTCTGAAGAAAGGATGGGTATGTTTGCAAGTTATTATCGTAAGTGTTACCAGGTTAATACACGTCAAGATGTGGAAGATGCTTTCGAATCATCTGATTTTGATAAGTTCAAATCTTGGAACCGTATTGAAGTCCTTGGTTCCATGGATAAATTTATGAAAGAAGTTTATGACAATCATTATGGAACCTACTCTGGTAATGTGGTGGACCTTCTTAGTTATTTGAGGAATTTGTATTCTCATTATCATCAATCAAATGCTTTGGCTGTTAATATCGTGGATGTGGACCGTGGTGTTCAGAAGCTGTTTGCTGGATTTTTGGAGCTCCTGCACCAACATTTGTGTATAGATCCGTAGTGGATTTGTCTTTTCAATTTAGATTCTATACAAAAGAGGATGCATGTGTAAGACAAGCATATAAGATTTTTCTTTCCATTTTAATCAGCAGATCTTTGCCTAATAACATTACTTGTATTACGCATATCAAGCAAACTTGCACAGCAAAGGATCAATGTCAATCAAAAACCATTTGCCTTTGAAGACCCTCCAATCCTAGGTTGTTGGCGAGTCCTTACTTAGTTAGGATTTTGTTTCCTTACTTAGTTAGGATTTTGGATGCTTATTTCATTAGAATTTTGGTTACTTACCAATTATTATTTAGACCTATTGTAATAGAGATTTACTTCATATTGTAATTTAGATATATTTCCTATTTTATTTAGGGTTAACACATCTTTGTACTTGTATAAATACCTCCATATTGGAGAAGAATAAAATATGAGCGTATCTTAGCATAACTGAATATTTGCCCTATTTTGTTTGACATGGTATCAGAGCCTGGTTCCTAACATGTGATAACCTCTGCCAAATTGAGAGTCGTTGGCACTCCTCATTCCTAACCCATCATGGGTCTTCATTTTGTATAGTCACCATCTTTTGTTCATCCTCTCATATGTGTTTTCACCGCACCTAGCCTTCACATGCTTCTTCGCTACTATTCCAAATTTTTTATTTTTTTATCTTTGTATGCCAGATGGTCTTTCTTGATGTCTCAGCTTCTCTATCTTTGAAACTTCATAACAAGTCTCTTTACTCCGTGAGCCTCGTCACTGCTCACCGAGCCGTTGCTTTCCTCTATGAGCCTCGTCACCGCTCACCGAGCCATTGCTTTCCTCCGCGAGCCTCGTCACTGCTCATCAAGCCTTTCCTTTGACTGTTCTGCCGGTCTTTGTCTTCTTCAGCAACTCTCTTGAGTTGCCTTTCCGCTTCTCAGTTTGAGCACCTTATCTTTGTCTTTGTCTCTGTTCATGATTTGCTGGGTTTCCTCCCTTACTATTCTCCTTTTATGAAGTTTTTTCTTCATGGGACAACCGTATGCTACCACCTTCTCCTTTTGCATTTGTTTATGCCACAAGACTGGCATGTTTGAGTCTCTTTACTATTATTTCAATTTCTCTTCTTCCAAATCTCGACCCTTTACCAATGTCGGATTTGATGGGGAGATAGATGCAACTTTATTTGGGTACTGCAACTTTATTTTTCGGTGTTGCTTTCTCCAAATCTAGACTCTCATACATCGTCGGATTTGAGGGGGAGTGACACCGCTACTCATCTATTCCGCTGCAATTTAGCTACTTATCTGTCATGGCTGATTCTTCTACATCTGAGCGTCAGTCAGCTTCTGTTTCTTAAGTGCCACTTTTCATATAGTTCCGACGGCCCCTTCTCTTCAGGGGGAGAGGAGAAGTGAAGAGAAGTTGTCTCTACAATAATGGAAGTATTTGTCATTGTTATTGCTGTTGACTACTATGTCCTTTGCTGGTGCCAGTATCATTGCTCATACATGTTAGGTCTCTTGTTGGGGACAATATTATTGCTCCTGCCTATTATGACTTTTGCTGGGGACAGTGTTGATTACTGTTGATGATGCATGTTATGTCCCTGCCTTGTTGCTCTTGTTGGTGCCAGTGCCTTGTATTGCTGTTGTTGATACCAGTATTGTTGCTCCTGCCTGTTATGGTGCCAGTATTGTTGCTCATGCCTTTGCTGGTGTGTTTCCGTTGTGGTCACGCCCGTTGACCTTGCCTTTGCTCTTGACTTGCTTTCCCTTACCTTACCTTATTTTTTTGAGGTTTGGCTTTACTTTGCCTTACCCTATTTTTTAGGGTTTGGTTTCTACCATATCTACTATCGTGCTCACAGGGTTTCTGTGTTTTGTCTTATTTGTTGTCATGCTCACAGGGTTCCTGTGTTCTGCCTTATCTACTGCCGTGCTCACAGGGTTTTTGTGTTCTGTCTTATCTGCTGTCGTGCCCACAAGGTTTCTATGTTCTGCCTTACCTACTGCTGTACTCACAGGGTTTCTGTGTTTTGCCTTACCGATTGCCATGCTTACAGGATTTCTGTGTTCAGCTATGTGCCCTATTTTTTAAGGTTTGCTCTTGTGTTTCTGCTGCGAATTTTGCTTTAGTTTGTCACTTGTTTCACTCGTGGCTGACAAAAAGACCTTCTTTACAATTGGTGCTTCTCAAGTATGATGTTCTGTGACTCGCTTGTCAAGTTGGGCGTGCAAAATATCTTTGCCCAATTTGAGGGGGAGTGTTGGCGAGTCCTTATTTAGTTAGGATTTTGGTTCCGTACTTAGTTAGGATTTTGGTTCCTTATTTCATTAGAATTTTGGTTACTTACCAATTATTATTTAGTCATATTGTAATATAGATTTACTTCATATTGTAATTTAGATATATTTCCTATTTTATTTAGGGTTAACACATTTTTGTACTTGTCTAAATACCTCCATATTGGAGAAGAATAAAATATGAGCGTATCTTAGCATAACTGAATATTTGCCCTATTTTGTTTGACATAGGTGACATGCATGTTGGCAATATTGCCTTCTTTATTAGGCAGTACATGTTTGTAAATGTCTCATCAGTGGGATGTTGTGAATGAATTCATATCATATGTCATCAGCACATACTGCCATTACCGGTAATCCACCCTCTATATCAAGTAGCATTAAACATTTCCGACCACCATTTCCGACATGTAAGGTATGGTTTCTCACCTATTTTTCGTGTTCTAGCTGATGATTGGGTAAGATTTAATCAATTTCTAGCGTTGATAGTTTGATTTTGGATCCAAAGTTTGGCCGGATTTCGAGATGAAATTCCGACCACTTACAACCATTTTTTGGGATAGGTCCAAGAACAAAAGTATCTCCAAATGAGGTTTTACACCTAGGGTAGGAAGCTTGGCCCTTGATTATGAGATTACTTATAGTGTTTTATGTTAATTTTGGATATTATTTTGGTATTGGATGGTTATGAAATATTAGAAGTTATTTGTTTATTGTGTTGATTATTGTCATTGTATCTGGCTGATTATTATTGGCTGATTTAATGTTCTTGAGTTGTTATGTAATCAAAATTACTTTTCAAGGATATATTATTGTGTTCAGATGTGAAGAGTATGAGTATTTAATTATCTGTTTATACATCACCTGCTTATATATTCATGTGGTTAATTGTGTTCTAAGATTATAAATATAATATCGGAATGACATACTAATCAGAGATCGATATGGTTAACAAACTAGCTAAGTATTTGATACATATATTCAGTGGTTGAAAAGGGAGAATTATTCTTTTGGTTTTTATTAGATTTTGGTATATATATATATATATATATATATGTACGTATATATATTTTAAGTTTAGTTTGAGAACCAATTTATTGAAGGTTTATATAAATGACGGGTTATGGTTTTCAAACCCACCGCGAGGGTACCCCCCAGTTGCCTTGAGAGAGTTGTTAATTTATGATATTGCCCCATGATCTTTGGAGATGCCTGAATCGTGTAGTGCGAGAATGTGCGTTCTCTGGCTGACTACATGTCCCCCGAGTTCTACAAGGAATGCAGCTCAAGCTAACTAATGGTCTCCTGAGGCCTGCGAGGATTGCAGCTCAGATTAAAGTGTTATCTCTGATACATGGGAGGAATGCGGCTCGGTTAACTTTATGTTTCCGAGACCTGCGATGATGGAATTGACGGATAGATGGAATTGACGGATATATGGAATTGAAGGAATATATGGAATTGACGGATCAGGAGTGGGGGTATGCCTGGGTGGAGAGAACTTAAGTTTTGAGATGCTTTTTAACTAAATTGAGGATTTATATGGCTACCATTATTTTCTTAAGCGTTACATTTGTTTTCTTATTTTATTTTTATGGGAGAGAAAATAAAATTAATGATTGTTTATTTAAAACATTAAAACTATTTGTCATGTCTGATTTAATCTCAACCATTAAAAGTGGAGTAATCTAATGGCCCAAAAATTATGCCAAAATTTGTGTCAAAAATATGGTGCCACGGATCCACCCCCTATATATATATATATACATATATATATATTTATTTATTTATTTATGAACTTTACATATGTTCGATACAAGGGTGTTCGAAGCTTATAAATCTTTAACTTATTTTATTTTATTATGTTTGTTTATCTTTATCTTGCATTATTTTATATAGTATTAAATAGCTTAAGTTTTCTAGCATATTTTGCCCCACGAGTCTTAGATATATCCGAACCATGGGAGCGAGGATTGCGGACCAGGTTGACCAGATGTCTCCTGAGTCCATCAAGGATTACAAGTCAAGACGTGTCACCATTGGTGTCACGAGAAATTAATGGTTATGGCCTTCCAAGCATGATTACTTGATATAAATGCTTTTATTTATTAAATTGATTATATATCGCCATGTGAGAAATGCCAAGAAGCTTGAAACAAAAAGCTGAGATAAAATATGAGAACTAGAGTAGTTTTTCAACTAAAGAACTACGTGTGGCTTGATCACTCAATAAGGGTACATAGGCAGCCTAATGCTACAAGGTGCAGCCACAAGTTGGAGTCTTTGAGATTGCTAATGTACTATGGATATTCTGAAAGTTGAAATGAACTTATTTTACAGAATGATTTATTTGATTGGTTGAGGCCTGAGGCCATAATGAAATACTGTTGTTTTCTTGGATAAAATTTAATGCATGCTGGCAGTTGGGTTATATATAAACATATATGTTTGATAGGTGGAAATATTTGGGAAATGTTCAAGTTACAGGGAAGACTCTGCCAAATTCTCGGCAGGAGTCAAACTTGAGATAAATTGTATTTTTGTATGGAAGGGCAAATAGATCATTTGTGCCCGGCACCCGCCAAGTGTCGGACACACACACGGTTCGACTCGGATTCCAAAGTGGAATTTGGATCGGGTCCTATCATAAGTTGTTTAGCAATAGCATCATATTCAAAAGCAAAGCAATAATATCCCAATCTCAATACTCAAGCCAATGGAGACTTGGTCTGATTTGCTTAATTCTAGCTGGATTCATGGTGCTTCAAGATATGGCTGATAAATCTGAGGGTTTGGAGATGAACCCATTTGAGGAGGTGAAGTTCCAAGATGGGGTTCGGTGGGTTGGGTTTTTTTGGCGTTAACCCAAAAATTTTGCATGTGATGCTCACATGATTAAATTTGACAGAAAATTAGATGGTGAAACCAATTCACCGAATAATAAAGAGTATGTGGATCATTTGAATGAATACTTTAGTTGTGGAACTAAAATGCAAACTGTGTATAAGTTTGGAGACCGTTTGAGTTAAAAACCCAACATTATATTCATTCTTTTGTAAGCAAAGCAGAAGACAGCAGAACAGCAGATTATACAAGTTGAAAAGAAGCGGACATTGAACAACTGTTATTGATCTCTTTAGCCCAAAACACTGGACAAGACGACCCCAACATCAGTTTGAACGCTTCTTTCTTCTTCAAATTGGTTTCAGTTGTGTTTTGTAATTGATTTTTACACTTGAAGTGTCATGGGAGCATTTGTCGATACATAATCAGAAGTTAGCACTCTTTGTTTGCTCAAACAATACAAAACAATGTAGTAATGTAATTACAATGTCTTATATCAATAATTTATGAACGCATAAATCCTCGGTTTTGTTTTTGTTTTTGGTTTCTTTCGCAGGAAATGTGTCTGGTTGCTATTAAAACTCTTAAAACTGATAGAAGATATTTTAAGTTCATTTACAAATGCACACTCTCAATGGGCACATATTGTGTCGTCAGTTTTTCTGTATTGCATTTCTAATCCATCTGATGTTTGTCTTGCATTTCTTGATGTCAATTTCTTGAGCAACCAAGTTGGAACCTGCGCACCTTCATTCTTCCATTCAAAGCAAGAGCCAAAACATCAAATTCCTCCCAATACCAGAGCTCAGATAAGACTGCCTGAATTATATTTAAAGGACCTTGTAAGAGCATAGATAGGAGGATACACACAAATCACAGACCATAAATTAATTAGATAGCATCTGAACATGAAAAAATAAAGAGAAGAGTAAAGAATAAACTAACATAACATAGATAGATCTAATGGAATGTAATGGCAACCAGCATGAGAATGATATGACACGTTTCCTTGAACTCTCAATTGATGGAAAGCTCTGGATCTTATCAAGGATTCTCAAATTCCATTAACTATGAAAAGTAGTCATACATATACTATATATGAAAATTGAAAAAAAAAATTAGAAAACAAACCTAGTTTCTTTGAAGACTACATAAGAAAGAGACTTAACATTTTCAGCCGATCACTGCAATATTGAAACAATTACATGTGACACTAAGCAATGAAATAGGCTACTAATTGTACTCAAATAGCCTTTAGATGGTACTACTGTGGATGATGCTTTCCGGTGACCCAGAAACCTTGCAAATGATGTATGAAGAATAGCCGCATCATACTGCAGGAGATAATTATTACAACCATAAGATATTGGAGGAAAACTTAGCCTTTTCTATTATGGTCGTAAACTGAAAATAATTGAATACTGTGTTTTGCCTTTTCTGTAATGTGCGAATATTGTGTTTTGTGTAATGTTTTAACTGAAAATAACCCCTGGTTGGGACATATTCTATGTAGGTGATCCTAAATTGTTTTCTATTCGAATGTACCATGGTGGTCAAATCTGTGGTAACTATTATGCTTGTGGCAATGTTGCTTGGGTTTGATTATTGTGACAAGGATAGAATGTCAATAAATGAGATAGACAAAATATGGTAAGGGAGTAAGGCGGCAATGGGTTAGTTACTGGTATAGTATCCCTACCTATAGCAATGGTGGCCTAACAAAGCTTAATGATGATCAAGATGTCATTGACATGCTTGTATTTGTACCAAAGACAATGCTATAGACATCTAGACATTTAGGAACGGAATTGGAATAGAAATTTCATTCCGAAATTTTTTGGATTGGAATTGGAACCCCCAACCATAAGCGCACTTAACGGTTTGTATATGAAAATAGACGGAAGTGGTAAAGTGAGAAAATTTCAGCAATTTTTAGATATTAGGTTAAGTAAGAAAATTTCAATTTCAGAGAGTAAAGTCTCACCGAGCTTCTGTTTTAGGGGTAAAATAGTAATCAAGCCTAATTACTGACTAATGCAAAGCATGTTATTACTACCCATACATTTGATATCCAACCTTCTCACATTTATTGATTGGTCTTTCATTTTCATCTTTTAGAGTGAGAGAGTAGTGAAGCTTCAAACAAACTACAATGATTGGTGGGTGATATATTGAAGAAAAACTCATGGATTTGTCAATACATAATTCAGAATTGAGAACTCTTTGTTTGCTCAAACAAAACAATGTAGTAATGTAATTAGAACATAACAGGTGAGGGCTGCTCTTGAGATTTTAATGGCCTATGCGAAACATAAATTGGGACCTCACATGATTTAACAGCAAAATACAAGATTAAAATGAAATTTATGACGAACTCCCTAAAACATTTTTTTTATAGTTCCAAGGATATTATTCTATTCTAAGGGGTGGGGGTGGGGGTGATTTCGAATCCAGGGCAAGTGGGGTGAGAAGGGAAAGGGCAAACCACTAGTCCACTCCACGTCTTCTAAAACAATTTTTTTAACTGGAATTCATCATTAGTTAACATAATGAGCTCAACAATCTTTTAGCAAAACATGCCTAGTCTAGTGGTGTGGTGTGGTAATCTGTTGGTCATCAATCCCATGCTCGATTAGGTCATTTTATGGAGAAATTTTTGATATTTTGTAAAATGAAGTAGAAAAGAAATCATCGGAGCAAACAAGTGGGATTGAAACTCGTGCCTCTTTTGAAATTAAAAGTGCAACAAACCAACTCCACTGGTGCCACAAATTTTATAAATATGTTGCACTCACGTTTATATAATATACATGTAAAAAAAAATTTTGGGGATCCTTAAAAATTGAGGCCCTGTGCGGTGGAACCACTTGCACAATGTCAGGACTGGCCTGTGACTGGTGGCTCTTTACTCTAGTCGGGCTCTCTCACGTTACCGCCACCACCACACGACGCCACTTGGGGCGGCATCAATCCAAAAAGGACCACCACACTTCCCTCTTCCAGCCCTAGCCCTCTGCTGCCTCGATCCGCTGTTGTAGTCGCCAGAAACAGCCACGAAACAGGCGATTTTGGATAGTTTTTTCTAAACTTTCGGGAGCTCGTTCGGATGCCTCCGGCCACCAAATCTTTCGAATTTGGTATGCATTTCTATCCTTTCGAAGTGTTCTTGCAGATGGTTGTGGTATTTAGGAGAAATTTCTACATTTTGGGGTTAAATAAGCGATAGAAGTTTTGGCAGGTTTTGGCCTCCGATTCCGGCCATTTCCGTCGACTTTTTGGGGTAGGTACAAGAACAAAAGTTGCTCCACTCTATGTGGTGATCATGTAGATATAAGTCTTGACCGGCAATTTGGAGTTTTTCCAATCGTTGGAATTTGATTTGGGCACCCAATGGTTGCCAGTGCGTGGGGTGGCTTGTGGGCCACTTTTTGGTCAGTCCTTGAGTCCTAAAATCATCCTCATGTCGTCCCGAGCACGACGGTATGTTCGGATATGAATTTTGTTGTAGTTTGATCGTCGATCGGATATCGCATTTTCAGCGTTATCCGGGTTCGATATGTTTGGGTAGTTGGATCAACTCCAATTTAGTATATGTTAATCTAGGCTTTCCTAGGATTGTGTAGGATTTCGCGGATCGTGAATCGGAGGTCCGGATGTTCCAATTCAATAATTTAATGATGATCGTTCGATCGCGAGCGATCCGACCGTCCGATTCGGACCAAACTTGCAGGACAAGTATTATAAACCTTGTGGAAGTCATAGGAACTTCTAGATTGTGAAACAGAGGTCGTGGGTCCCACGGGCCCAATTGACCTTGAATCTTCCGAGGTAGTTTCACCCTTCGAGTACTAGAACGACCTTATTAACGAATCTCAACCGTTGTTTGTGACAGGACCCGTCCCGGAATTTCCCCCGAAACCAGGGCGGACCCCGTCTTTGTGCCAACATCACCCCGATGCCGGGCCCACTTACTAAAAACCGAGACTTTCTACCAAAAATTTGGCAAAGTCTCCCCTGTAATATGCATAAACCCAACAACATTCAACCTGCATAATTTACATAATATAAATCCCAACTGCCAGCATGCTTTCAACATACAACAATCCAAACTAAAGTGGCCTCCGGCCTCAAGTAACAACCTAACATGGGCGATAACAGAGCATCTAACAGAATTAGTTTACAACAACAGTTGAGTAGAAGGAATTTACACAAGTCCTAACTACGGATGGAACGATTTGATCTCGAACACTGCTTGAAAGCTTCCAAGAGCAACTACTGCTTGGGGGGCGCAAAACAGAAATATGTGAGTGGACAAAAACAAAGTTTGCATTTAAAACAACATAATAACCCCACCGTGTAAAAATAATGCTCAAGTCATGCAGGTTCACGATCATAAACAAATGCTCAAAACATCACTCCAAAAAATCCAATAAACCCAAAATCTCAAACCACAGCTCCATTCCCAAAAATTATGCAACTCTTACCAACCCATACATACATATATATATATATATATATGTATATATATAATATAACATATACTTATACTTCTCTCCATACTAATGTACTGGGGAAACAATCCAACCGGGGGATTGTTGGCTAGTACGCAGGATTTCCAAGAAGTAACCCGCGTCCAAAGATGAGTAGTCCAACCCGGGGACAGAACTCCATAGCTCACACGCTGGCACTGCCAACGACACGTGTAGCTCACATATCCAATAACAAGTCCTACGCGCGCAGACGACATCATCACACACCGGCACTGCCAACGACATGTGTGATGAATCAAGCAATATACATACTCTTCCCATACGCCGGCACTGCCAACGACACGTGTGAGACCTACAATCTCATGGCCTTCCCACCCCACCGGCACTACCAACGACATGTGTGGGAAGCCTAGTAACCAGAGGATGGTACTCATCTAGCATACTCCTACATCTCTCAACCATCCCTCAAACTCAATTTTTTCTCCGCTCACATCCACAACCCCTCATACTCTATACATAGGCAATATAGATAGACATCCCAAAATCCATGTAAACATATTCACAGTACTCAAATATAGCCATACCCAAAATATATTGCCGATACGTATAAGAATATCCAAATCCATGAACCAAATAATTATTAAATCATATATACCATTTAAAACATATGCACAAACCTTTTATCCATAAAACCATGCGTATGCTTGAAAACAAAGTCCACTCACAGGTAATCCCAAGCTGCCCGGCCCCGAAAAGGTCCTGCCTGCTGCGTACGATCGACCAGAGCACCTATTTCGAGATATGAACCCTTAATTAATATCACGCACTTCGAAACGGAAATTCACAAAAGAAAATACTTAAATCCCCAAGTTCCCGGTGCGTGTACGTCCAATGGGATATCCTAAGGTCCGGTTACAGGTTTAGAAATCGCTTACAATCGAACGGTTAACGCTAACCCACAAACTTTGTATTATTGAATCGGAACATCCGAGACTCCGATTCGTGATCCAACATACTTCAATTTGGAAACGATCCGACGGTTAGAACCTATCGAACCCGGATAACGCACAATATGCAAAATCCGTTCGATAGTCAAACGACATCCAAATTGAGATCCGCAAAATCCTACGCACTCGTGACAACCTAAGAATCTCATCAGAACATATTGTAGCTCCATCACCCTTTCCCACACACCGGCAGCGCGTGGGTGTGTAGAGAAATTTCCGGCGACAGAAAATCTCCAAATCACCAGCCACAATCCCTGCTACAGGTTATACCCAACGAGTGGAGCATTTCATTCAACTACGGCCAAGTCCAATTCGGACGGCAAGTGGCCGGAATCGTCACCGGAAACTCACGGTTTAACCCGAAACTTCACGGCTTCCATCCGGCAACCACCGTCACCATTGTTGTCGCACAACCTAGGAAATAGCTAGAAGGAGAGGAGGGCTACCTGTTCCAAGTGACGGTGTAGCTCGCAATGGCCGGAAACGTCGCCGATGACGTTGACAGTTTTGGCTGAAACTTCACGTCGTGCCACCGCCACTTGCCGGGTTTTTATCAAATAAAATGGGTGGGCTGGATAGAGGAGGAAGAGAGGAAGCTTTTGCAATTGACAGCACCTAAAATGGAGGTCGGACCGCGGAGTTCTTGCCGTCTGAAATTCCGACGAAAACGAAAGTCGAGGAGGGGGTTTCAGCGCGAGGAGAGAGAGAGAATGTGGGGTAAGGGCCAGTTTGGCATTGCTGTGCTGTGAAAATAATCAATATTAGATTTGCTGTGAGAGAAATCAGCTATGAGAGAAAGTAGTTTGGTGTTTGGTAAAATTTTTGTTAAAAGTGTTGTTGGTATTGATTTTACGCATAATCAAAAAATAATTGCCGCATAATCATTAAACTCAGCGCCTCTTCGAAACTGATTCCTACATAATCAGAAAATGAAAGCACCTCATTAGCTGTTTTCCCTTATAACTTTCTCTCACAGAAATTTTTAACAATAAGTGATTTTCTCACAGTTTACCAAACGGGTTGAGCTTCTCAAAATTTTAAAAAAATCACTTATTACCACAAATAAGCAATGCCAAACTAGCACTAAGAGTGAAAAATCTGATTTTCACTCTAACCCTTTTTGATATAATTACCGTTTTGCCACCGAATTACTTTTGATCGCCAAATCTTCATTACAACTCCGATTCAAGCCTGCCGCAAGTCTACGGATTTGTCTCAGGGACCATTTGCGATAAAAAGCCTTTATATAATGACCTAATTAATCTTGCCAGAAACGGGAAAGTAATCCTAACCTACACTAGAAACAGGAAACTTGTTATTTATTTTCTTTTATAAAGGAAGAAATAGTAAACTTTTTTATTTTATTTTTTATATTTGTAAACTAGGAACATTATATATCCTTAGGTACTTAGGGCCCGACTTGTATCCCTAGATTGCAAATAAATGCATCGATTTAATATCTAATCAAACACAGATACCCTGCTCTGCTCCTCGAGTACTTAGGGCTCGTCTGATAACAGTTTTAGAGAATGTTTTTCAGAAAATTAAAATGAGAAAACGAGTTTGCATCTTTAGGATTCAAGAATGCATCTTGTAGATTAATTGGAAAATAGTTTCATAAAACAAAAACAGTGAAACATGTCTGGTAGTATAATTTGAGAATAAATAAGAGAAATAAAAAATGTTGCATCATCTATAATCAAAATGTAAAGCATTTTTCGAAGGCATTTTTGTTAATGTCTCATATAGAAGGGAAAAAAAAAGTGTAAAATTGAAAGCCCATATTTGCCCTCTTCAAAATTAAAATTCCAACAGTATTCATCTTCCAATAATTAATTAAAAATATATAACAAAAAAGTTCCAGTTTGTCGTCTCATCCTCTCTCTCTCACAACAACTCTCATGTCTATTGATAGGATTAGTACCACCGTTTAGCACTTCTGTTTTGTTTCTTTTTTGTCATGGGGATGTCTTTTAGTCAAATAATCCTCATTAATTTGTAAGAAAGCACTGGTTGGGTTTAGCATCTGAGCAAATATAAACTGGTCCCGTTTACGACAAAGACATATATCATTATGTGAAATTAACAAAAATGAAAACACTTATACCCTTTAATGCTGAAATTAACAAATATAAACTGGTCCCGTTTAATGCTGCCTGTGGGCTATTTCCACCTTGGCTTCTATCTGTAAAACCCAATTACGTTCTGAGAAACTCGACCAGAAGGAAAATAAAAACACTTATACCCTTAGTTGAAAGAACCTGTGCATACACTTCATTCTTCTACGCAACGCAACAGCCAACACACACATCAGAGACCATGTCTTATTTTGCACTCACTTTGTGAATGCTTAGTTTTAAAAGAAATAGAACTGGAGAGATCAAATCAAATGTATCATATCAACTATCAGCTAAAGATAACAATCAATAACATATTTTAACCCTGTAACACCAAGGGGCTAGATGGCAGTAAAAGACCTCAATAATATCTTATCAAAGACGGATTCCCTGCTCCTCAACTACTTACATTACATGTTGTTTTCTACTACATGTCCCTCCTTCCATCCGCTTCTTATTTTTTTATTCATCTTCTTTTTCCGTTTGCAGTCAGGTTTTTTCTGGTTGGCTTTTTCAAGCTGCCTCAGGACTTTTCATGCTGCATGTGCGCTATTTCCTCCTTGGTTTCTCTGCAAAACCAAATTACATTATGAAAAACTCAACCAAAAGGCTAATAAAAATACTTATAGACATACAAACTATTAAGTCTCTTGATTCGTGGTCATTAAATAAATAAAAATATTTCATGTAAACGCATTTGTTTCACCTCCCACATCAAAGAATTCACATCCATAGTGGTTTCGTCTTCTTGTTTTGGATGCTCCATGCTAGCTGCATCCTCCCCTTCTATGGGTTCATAATCCCCACACTCTCTGAGAGTCATAATCAACAGAAACTATATTTATATGGGTTCGGATACATAAAAAGTGTCACATAATCCAATGTACAAATTAATGTTTTTGATGAAAACACAAGAAATGTGAGGAGAACTTACGGTGTGAAGCCGAACGTGACCATCAACGGACCACAAGCCTCGATATCCATTGTAAGAACTGTTGAATGTAAGGTCTCGATCATATGTCTTCCGTCTTCTCGAACAAATATTTGAAACGTGGTGATGCAAAGATGTTGAACCTTGTAAAATTCAAAATTATTGCCCGTCGTAACATGAAAGAAGTCATGGTTCCCCAAATGAACCAAATAGTCATTCTTAAGCCCCTCAAATGGACATGGCGGAGATGCAATCTTCAAGCCATCCAATTTACACAGCTTGATTAGTGAGTATGCAATACTACCGTCGTCGCGTTTGTTCATCTTCAAGGTGAATGCTATAATCTCATCCACCTCAAACAGATTCATGGCGTAGATGGTCTCGCCTACAACCACGGCCCTCCCTCGGAAAGGAGTATAATCATGAGTGTCAACTTCCACTTTATTCCAAATCTCTTTACCCACGTGAAAAGCAACCACATTAGAGCTTTTGAGTCCGTCAAACAGTGTATACAAAATAATGTCATGACAAACAGCATAACCAGTTACCCTCCTAGGAATAGGATAACTGAATGGAAACTCAGGCATTCGCTCCCAATTTTTCTTATCAGGATTGTATTTCGCAAAGGATGGTAGTGGATCTGCTTCGAAGGGCGATGCATTTTCAAGAAAATAGAGTCTGTCATAAGCAGACACAACTGTTCTACTCGGCTTAAACTCTAAGGTAGTAGTTATGAAGGGATCTAATTTCCTAGTTTTGGTATCAAATGACCTGAGGCAAAGTTTATCGCATCCATCCTTTGTAAATATATATAGTTGGGAGCGGTTGAAAATCCTTGCACCTGTTTTAAAACGGCTGAACTTGTCTACAGGTTCAAGTGTTGCTCCTCCGCCCATATCATCAACTTCTCCCCCGTATTTGAATTTAACTTCATACAGGGCACCTGTGTTTTCCCTATTGCAAGTCATCACTAAAAACACAGATCTATGTTCCCCCCGATTTACCGCCATTGATGCATGCTCCACCATGGGCAAACTGGACAGAGAACAGAGAGATATAGAATAAGTCAAGTTAATCTTCTCAGACAAGTCGAAAAAGTTTATAAAATAAAAAACAACGGCGAATCAGGAAAAACAACAATTAAGCCGTGCACTGACCTTGGGTAAGGATGAACGGCCCCATGTTTGTGAGCGCGGGCCCTACTGGCGCGTAGTAGGTGAAGCTCCTCCCATATTGATTTCTTCAAATCGACCAGTTGGATGTGCTGCGTGGATAGCGCGGCTAGAGATTTCTCGATCTCTGATATCTTGCCCAGGAGCTTATCTTCGCCTGAAGCCATCGTCAAGGCATGGTCCTGAACATCTTGAACCGAGGTGAGCACAGCGGCCGCCATGATACGAGATGATTGATAGGGTCTTTGCTATTGGAATGATAAATTGAGGGACAAGGGAATTTAGGGTTTGGGGATGCCGCTGCAGAGGGGAGTTTTTATAACGGTTGGTTTGGGGTATGATATGAGGAAAGTTTCGAACTCGTATAAAATATACCACACAACACATAATATTGGTTTACCCGTTTTATCGTGCACATTAATTAGGACCAGAGAATTGACTTCCCATTTCAGTCCATAATATTTTGGCTAAGTATTGATTTCTTTATTCTTTTTAGATTCCCTTTTTAAACTTTCTACCAATAATTTAGTGTCAGAATTTTTCAATGTTACTTGTTTTATCATGCAATATTTTATAATATTTGAGTTTTTTACTTGTTTTAAGAGATTGGTGTTTTAGAGTAAGTGGTTTAGTTCAAACCCTATATAATTTACATGCAGCTCTCCCTCTTGGATCTCTTTGATTCAATATCTTTTTTTGCTTCCCTCTCCTTCACTGGATCAAAGGTGTCGTTGGATCTGTCTTTGACTCCATATCGTTCTTGCTTCACTGTCTTTGTCTACAATAATCAAAGGTTAGGTTACCTTATGTTTTCTCATTCATGATCCAGCTATTGTTATATTTTCTTTTGAACATTAATTGACCAACAATACATCTTTACCTGATTTCTTTTGGACTGTGAGTAGTTTTTGGTTTTTGAACATTGATTGACCAACAATACATCTTTATCAAACCAATAATGCGACTCTCCAATAACTTAGCTCAAGTCAAGTCATTAAATTTAAACTATTTAAATTGTAAGATAATTAGTTTAAATTTTTTTAATAAAATGTTAAAACAAGAATAATGAGTGTAATCCTAAGCCCCCACGATTGGTTGTGTACTATCATAGCGATGCATGACCAACTTTTTTTTTGTGTTTTTTTTTGGTTGGAGATGCATGACCAACTTTCTGCTCGTCGAATGCACCGCCTGCCTCACCACCAGGTTGCCTCGCACTGCCTCATGATGAACGAGTGCCTCTGTTGTTCATAATCTCACCAGCCTTTCATAATCGCATGCCACGCAAGAGATTCATGGCACACGTTTGTGATTGACGAAAACATATGCCTTCATAATCCTTACTCCCACAAGAAAATTTGAAACCATAGATTCTTTGGTTGATTTGTGAGGGATAAATTATTTTATTTTGGAAATAGCTGTTATACAAAAAATTACAAAAGTAAAAATAAAAAATTGAGTCATGCCAAGTGTTTTATCAGTTTTGTGTCTGTTTCGGGTCTGGTACAGTAAGCTGTTGTGGGGCTCTTTGTTGGCTTGTCCAGATTGACTGTTGTCTATTGCTTTCTCAGTTTCGCTTGTTGCTGTTGTCTCTTCTTCCCTTGTTTCCAATCTAACCTATTCGAATTTTTGTGGATTATTTTTTATTTTAGATTTCTTTGAATTGGAACGTCTGCCAAATTCAGGTGGTGTTAAATATTATGCCACTTACTGTTGGATTTTCTGCATATAAATTTACAAAGTTGGTTGCCGAAGAAAGGTCTTTTCCCAATGGTGATTTGAACTTTGCAAAATTAAATTTCCAGTTTTCGTTTTAGAAAACATCCTTTTTATGAAAAAAAGGGGCATTTTTTTCCCTCTCATCTCTTGTTTAGCAGAATTGTTTGAGTGCTATATTTTAATTACAATACTGGTTTTCTTGCAGATTTCTTTTATTGTTAATTTCTAGAAATGGATGACCAGGAAGAGGTATTTAATTTTGCAAAAGATGAGTATGAGAGGAATGAGTCACATGACAAGGTTATTGGACCGATGGTTTGTTGTTACAGTTTGTCCTTTGATTCCAATATATCAGAAGAATCGTATAAGGGGTTTTTATATTTTAAACGTAACGGGAAACCGATACCTGTGACATTTGTAAAAGTTGACGGAGTTGATGGGAAAGATGCTGCTAGTAGGGCGGAATTAATTTTTCATACGACTTATGGAGTTAGTGATGATGTGGTTTTAAGGCCTCGGAGGCATTTGTTCATTAAGCAGAAGCATTTTGCCAAAATTCCTGATGACATAGAGATGAGGAAGGGTGTATGGTGTGTTTGTTATGATCGTTTTGAACCTCTCAATCATTGGACCGAAAAGGTTCAGTCGGGTGAAATTGTTCAGTATGATGATAAGGTTAAATTACCTATTCGGACTCCTGATGACCGTCTTCAAGATTTTTGGCGTATATCTATTGGGTAATTTGTTAGTATTAATTCTTTAAGGTTACTGTTTAGTTTGGTTTCAATTATTTTTGACATAAGTATTTTGTATTTCTGTAGGAATTTGATTCATTGTGTGCGTAGCATTCATGATAAGGGCTTATTCCATGGTGGTTTGCGTAAGCGGTCTAATTTTGTGTTTGTTGACAAAAAGTTGAAAGTAATCCACGTTGAGGGATCCTTGGCTGGCTTGAGTCCTCCTGAACAAGACGAAAGAAAGAAAAAAGATATCATGGACCTTAGGACGATGTTAGATTCTTGGTTCAAGAAAATTTTGGGGTCCAAATATAAATGGAACGAATGTAGTAGCTTCTTGAAGTTCTTCGACTGTGTTGAGCATTTGGAGTGAGTTCTCTCATACTTCAACTTCTTGTTCTTTTCTTCTTCTTTCTACTTCATTTCTTATAGGATGTGATTTTGGTCTTTTCAGCTATCCTGACTGCGTCATGAAATTGGCATCTCATCCGTTCTTGTTAAGCTCTAAAGAAAGGATGGGTATGTTTGCAAGTTATTATCGTGAGTGGCAGAAAGTTACTACACGGCAAGATGTGGAAGATGCTTTCAAATCATCTGATTTTGATAAGTTCAAATCATGGAACCGTGATCCTGTCCTTTGTTCTATGGATAAATTTATGAAAGGAGTTTATTATCATTCTTCTGGCAACTACACTGGGGACGTGGTGAACCTTCTTAGGTACTTGAGGAATTTGTACAATCATTATTATCAATTAAAGGCTTTGACTGTTAATATGGTAGATGTGGACCGTGGTGTTCAAAAGCTGTTTGCTGGGTTTTTAGAGCTCCTGCACAAACATTTGCGTACAGTTCCGTAGTGTTAAGATTTGTCTTTCCATTTTAGATTCTATACAATAGAGGATGCATATGTAAGAGTACGACAAGCGTATAATATTTTTCTTTCCATTATTTTAATTAGCAGATCTTAGCCTAATAGCATGACTTGTATTAAGCGTATCAAGCAAACTTGCACAGCAGAGCATCAATCAAAAATCATCTGCCTTTGAAGACCTATGTGACATGTTGGCAATATCTGCTTTATTAGGCAGTATGTCTGTATATCTGGTCAAAAGTTTTTAGCACAAGTCTCATCAGTGGGATGTGAACAGATTCCTTTATATGTCATCACCGCAATCTCTTCGTCTTTGGAAAGGCGCTGGACTTGCCTTTCGACATTTGAACCCTTAATGCCTGCAGTTATAGTAGCTTCTGCATAAACTAGTCAAACAAGCTAATTACTAGAAATGTTGTTCGAACACCCTCTAAAACCTCTTAAAAAGCATGAACATATGTATCCATTAGTGCAATCACAAAGCAGTATGAAGTTCCAAATAAATAAAGGACCAGCTAGTCTTCTTTTTTTTTCTTTTTTTTTTTGAAAAAAAAATATATCACATCAGAAAGAGATTTATCCGCAATATATCAGCTGTATCAACAGGGAATCGAATTCTTTGTTGACAATAGATCCTAAGTGAACACTTGTGTCAAGATTTCCACCTTATTTGAATCCTCCAATCAGTTAGAAAGGCTACCTGTTAGCAGTAATATTAACCTTGATAAAGCAAGTCTATCAATCATAGGTATTCTTTCCTTCACCTAGATACCATAAAATTTGTTCGAGTAAACTCTAGTCCAAAAAGTATCCGTCACTAGTCGCAGCTATTTTCTATTCCATGGTCAACCGAAACAAATAACTAGTGAGCAGCTACTCCAACATTCCCCAAAGTTTAGTAAATTTCGACAGGGACAAAGCGTATACTGGTTCGACAACATAATGTATGTACCCTGTATCTTTAACCATTCCTTCGATAACCCCACTTCTAAATTTTGATTTTGCAACTCCTTTTCCAAATGTTAGACTGTTTTGCATCATCAAGTTTCTACAGTAGGACAAGCTTTACCGTTCCTAAGTACAAATGAACATCCAGCCTTTAATTAATATGTCAAGCATAAGAGTATCCAATCCAGATAATAGAACATTTCTAGCACTCATAACAACCCTTATGGGCTCATGTCAAAATTAAGATCTCAAGAACTTACCCATGCTCTGTTACATTAGCCTTGTCAACTGCGGGAACAGGATCCCGTGAACCCATGACCCGAGGATCCTGTGAACCCATACCCTATAATAAGAAGCATGCAATATACAAAATTCAGACATTCTTGTCAGATGAGCCTAAAAAGCAAGTGCTAATCCAAAGAACAGTGGGTAACTCTCACCAATTTTGCAGGTGTGTTGGAATCGTAGTTATTCATGGAAGAATATAAAAAGGGAGAAAGAACATATTACTAACAACAGAAACGCTGAATTTTGTTAGAGAGATGGAAAACGTCGGGTAGAATCAGATGGTGTTATCTTGGTTAGTAAATATAAAAAGATTCTCAAAGTGTTAAGAATCAAACTGAGAAGATATGAAAGAGTGTTGTACAGATACATAAATTGAAGAAAGCAAGCCCCTATTTAGCAATCCAAACTGAAGGAAAAGGACTCAGATATCTCAAAACTCGTGTAGAGGCTAAAATCGTGGAACAAACTCATGTGTCATTGGGATTGTTTCTGATTGAGAGTGTAATTATTGCATCGTTTCAACTTCAAAGACCCGAAAACAAAGTTCTCAATCAATCTCAGACATTGAATATTAGTGATTTGAATGGTTCTGTCTTCTGTCTTCTTCACATTGGTTTCATCAGTTGTGTTTTGTATTTGAGTTTTGCATTTTTAGTGTCATGGGAGCATTTGTCGATCGATACATAATCAGAAGCGAGCACTCTTTGTTTGCTCTAACAGTACAAAACAATATAGTAAATTAGTAATGTAATTACGTCGTCTTATATCAATAATTTATGAACGCAAAAATCCTCATTTTTGTTTTGTTTTTGTTTTTTCGCAGGAAATGTCTGGTTGCTATTAAAACTCTTCAACTGATAGAAGATATTTTAATTTCATTTACAAATGCACACTCGCGATGGGCACATCTTGTGTCAGCAGCTTTTCTTTAAGGTATGTGTCGTGAGATCTTGTAATCCATCTGATGTTTGTCTTTCATTTCATGATGTCAATTTCTTGAGCAGCCAAGTTGGAAACTGCGCATCTTCATTCTTCCATTCAAAGCAAGAGCCAAAACATCAAATTCCTCAACATACCAGAGCTCAGATACGACCGCCTGAATTATATTTTGAGGACCTTGTAAGCTCATGGATAGGAGGATACACACAAATCACATACCATAAATTACTGTGGTTATAAATTACACATCTCACCTCAAATCCTCGGAGTTCATTATTTAGACGATCAACAAGCCCATGGAAGAAGTGGACCTGATCCCCAGTATTAGATAGCATCTGAACATGAAAAAATAAAGAGAAGAATAAAGAATAAACTAACAGAACATAGATAGATCTAATGGCATGAAATGGCAACCAGCATGAAAATGATATGACACATGTTTCCTTGAACTCTCAATTGATGGAAAGTTCTGGATCTTATCAAGGATTCTCAAATTCCATTAACTATGAAAAGTAGTCATTCATATACTATATATGAAAATTGAAAAAGAAAAAAAATTAGAAAGCAAGTCTAGTTTCTTAAAAAGAGTATAAGAAAGCGACTTAACATTTTCAGCAGATCACTGCAGTAAAACAATTACATGTCACACTAAGCAATGAAATAGGCTACTAATTGCACTCAAAGAGCCTTTAGATGGTACTACCGTGGATGATGCTTTCGGGTGACCCAGAAGCCTTGCAAATGATGTATGAAGAATAGCCGCATCATACTGCAGGAGATAATTGCTACAACCATAAGATACCGGAGGAAAACAAGCTATTTACTCTCAGTCTATCAGTCTACCACTACTATTGCACAGCGCACTAATGAGGCCAGGTCATGAAGATGAGATCCAGGATGCAACAACTATGAGTTCCATATGAGAAAGAATGAAATAACTTGTTGGGGACCACACAACCCCTTACCCCCAGAGGTCAGTTTGGCAGCCAAAAGATAAATCAGAAAGGAATAAGTTCTGTAAGCTTCAGGAAATCGTCACCTCAAGCAAGAGTTACTGTCGTTCATTTTCAAATTCAGGCAAAAGCGTATATTAACATTAAAACCTCAGTTCTAAGCTTGAGTTTATAGATGATCTCAAGTCATTAAAGAGTATTCTGTTAGTTAACTTCACAACTCTTAGTCTACATAGTTTTGGGGTACTATACTAAAATAAAATGAATTAAGACATAGGTATGGTTCTCACAAGTTGCTTCTCTGGTGCCCGTGGAAGTGCAGTCCTCAATTTTGCACGAATGGTTATAGGATCTGATCCAGAGATTACCTAAATTGGAACACAAACATTAAGTGCAAAAAAGTGATTCCAGCAAATAATTATATCTCATAAAGTTGCCTTGATGGTTAAACTACAAGACATACTACTGCATAACATGTCACGATGTCCTCATATTGGGGAAGGGGAGAGAAAATGCAAATTTGTAAAACTGTTGAAATCGAGAAATACCCTATTTTTACAAGCATTACATAATTCCTGTTTAACATACATTAAGATAACGGAGGCATTAAAGAGTGAGTACATAGGTTACGGAAAACAACCTGCCAGCACCCAAGAAGCACACCTGTTGAAGTTAAAACCACCCTGTCTAGGACAATTTTTAAAGGGCAGAGTTCCTGTGTGACAGCTCTAACAGCAGCTGCTTCGGCTTCAATCTGACCCCAAAAAAAGGGTTCAAAAACTAAATTGACATGTAAGTGAAAAGAGAGATGCAAAGAAACAAATAAATGGCTCCAAAAAGGCTGTTACCTCATCTTGAGTGGCAGGAACAGGTGAAATATGGTGTGAGGCATGGAACATACTAAAATGGTACAAGCTGGAGTTCTGAAACCAAATCACTAACAAAGAAATGCATAAGCATACCAACAAATCGTAAATACTGAGTTGATAATAAATGAACTAATACTAATTTGAGCTATGATTATGTAGTCTGTCAAAGATTTTATAAAATGACAAACAATAGCTTACCTTTATCAAAGTACGGATTGAGTATAGGTTTAAGAGCCTCCCTGCAACAAGTCAATCATGAACGCACAACTTCAATGAAAGAGTACTAAGCTGAAGCTATGAAATTATACCCAACGTTGTAATTTTGCAGATAAAAAAAATCCAAACTTTAATGTGCTTGATTTCAGAGAATACTTCTCTATGCTCCATTACTTTTAGAACTAATAAATAAAGTTCCCAAATTTAATAATCAAAATGATACATATATGCTGATATCAACTAAAAATCTTCTTTTTTTTATTTCACGTGTTAGCATTGATAATTTGAATAGGAAAACACAATCAACAACACACGAACAGAGAAAGAAAGCAAATACTTACGATATCGGAACCGAATACTGTGTGCTCAGATGCAAAACATTAGCACGTACAGGGGGATTTGCTGCCTACAGAGAACACATACAACCCAATTAGCCAAAGCTCCAAAGCCTAAAACTTTAATCAATCAATCAATCAATTGAGATATTAAGTTTACCTTAAGTATAGGTGCTACAGATCCATCCTTGATGGTAAAAATATCAGAAAGCGAGAGAGACTGAGAAGTGTGGCCATGTTGGAGAAAAAGCGGTCCGTGCTGATCCAAATCCCTAGCCATCTGATCGTACAAGGCGGACCTCTGCTCCTTATTGGAAACCATAGAATCTGGAAGGAAAATGTTGAATAAGAACCCAATTTCTCGGGAACCAAACAGAAAGAGTGAAAGAGTGAAGGAAAGCAATTGAATTTACCAGAAGCAGATGTGTAATTGTGTGA